GGATACTGTATCTTTGAAGTGGAATTCTATATATACTTTTAAAGTGGAAATTCTGTGCCTTACACTAATCATAAGCTGTGAATAAACTGAGCTATTATCAGATTTGCTCTTACTTCCTCGAACTTAACTATTACTTCCTGTAAAATGTAATATCCTAGAACTTAATTATCGATATTCAGTTAATGTGTTATTTACTCAATCGTATAGAAATTTCCTGATAAACTCCTGGAAAGTTAATTTTAAAGCTGCAAAATCAAAAATAACAACGACAGGGCTGCTTCCCAGTTATGTCCTCAGTAGGCGGATAATTTAAACCGCCGTTGCCACGTGTAATACGTATTATATTTGTTTACATAACTTACTGCCACTTCGTGTGTTAGAGATAACTTTGTTTTCTTCTGGAGGAGTGAATATTAGCTTGAATTGAGTGATTTAAAATAAGAAATTTTAAATTAAATTTAAGGAAATAATTTTAGTATTATTATTTCTGTTAAAATTTCGTATTTTAATTAGAATAATTATTATTCTGTTTGCAGATTGATATTACAAAAGAAAAAAAAAAGTATAACATCAAAGAATTTTTGTAACAGCTGAAGAAAATCTGAATAAATAATATCATAGGATTTTGCAGTTCAATACGTAACATAGGGGAAAATAAATTACCCGTATATCATTTCATTTAACGATTTTTAAATTTTTATTTAATTAGTATTATTGAAATTTTTGACGGAGTGTAACTTTTTTCACTTTTTTGTATTGAAAAAATACGTTCTATCCCCCCCATAACAATGGTTTTACAAATACAGTAATGGGAATAGCATGATTTAAGAATGCAATTAAGCATTTTAAGAATTCCACTACGATCATGCAATACCGAGCTTTAACAATACAGTCCATATTGATCTAAACGACTCATTAATATAAAAAAAAAATTCAAAAACCAGACCAAAATCTTCCTAATGACTTCGGTTGTATTCGAACGTGTTTAGCAATTATTTGTTATCTACATTATTTATTATAAAATAGAAATTGTTGAATTTTATTCTATGTCGTTTTTAAATATAGTATCAAACTAATCCAGTATAGTAACATTTTCGGATAATTTCTATTCTACAATTCAGTGAGGGGTAAAAATAACTCATTTTTGCCTCAACCTGTCGTTTTTGATCTTTTATGGTTTAATTAATTATTTTTATTCTGAATTTAGTTGACTTTCCGTTATTGAGATTTTATTTAACACGAGTGAATGTGTTAACGTGTAAGGAATTTTAATAAAACCATATCAGTTTTCTTTTGAAATTTTAATACTTTTTTTTTTTTTTTTTTTTTTTTTTTTATGCTGGTTACTTTTTAATGGCGCTGCTTAATTCTGCCTGTACTTAATCTAAAGCATTACACTTTCGAAGGCTTTCTTAGCAGACGATTTCACGTGGAACAAAAATATGGTATTGTGTCTTTTTTTTTCTTTCCATTGTATTATTATTGGATGAATCTGCTGTAAGAAACTGATTTGTTGTATTTACGATTTCAATTTAACTGATTGTGTTTGAAATCCAATATGAAACACTATTACGGTTTAGCTATGTTTGAAATCGTGTACATACGTGATATAAAAAATTAAAAATGCTAAAACACATTGTCACGTAAACGAAAGTTCTAATTTGAACTTTTAGCATTTTTCATAGAATTTGTAGTTTAATTGCAATGTTTAATTCAAGATGTTAATCAACACATATTTTCTTACGGATTAGTTTCACCATTGAGTAGTGCACGCCATACCATTCAGATAATTCTTTTTTAAAGTAGCGCATCACTAAACAATTACTATTTATATGTTGTGAAAGGTGCAATTCCAAATTTTTATTTTTGACACTGAAATTATTTCATCTTTTCTTATATTGAGCGCATTAAGCAAAACATTATGGTTCCTTTCTTTTCCATTTTTCACACTGAATCATAAAGCGCACTGAAGTATGTTTATATTCACACTCAAACCATCTTACCACATACCATATTTTGAAAAACACTATTTGTCTTTACATTTTAATGATATGAGGCCAACTGCAATTAAAACAAAGATTTAACAAGTTTATATTCTTCAAACTAATTTAATGTTTTAAAATTTTTATTTCATTTTTATATTGGTCTACAAAACACATGTATTTGTATAATATTAAGTGTCGTTTAATAATTAAATTGCATATTTTAAATGCAATTTAATTGGAATGGATAAAATAGCTACTTATTCATTGTTGATTTAGCATAACCTGTTTTACAATGTTTCGCTTTTTTTATTTATGGAAAGCAAAATATATAAATAATTTAGAAGTTAATAGCATTATCGAAATAAAATTCTGAAGTGATTTTTTTTTATAACTTCTAAATCATGGTCACGGCTATAATGAGATGTGAAAGTGCTTATCATATTTTTCATTACTAGATGGCAGCACCACTTATTACAGTTGAAAGTTTGTACTGAAGTTTTCGATATTTGCAATAGATGGCAGCACCATTACTTCAGCAGATTAATATAAAATTTTATAGAGATTTTAGATTAGATAATTTATGTACTTTTTGTTATAACATCTCGGTTAATTATTCCATGAGTGCCGACTGATAGATAATTCTGTTTAAATTTCTGGCGATTGTTTGCAGGACTTTCAACCACTGTCGAATTATTCGGTTATTGAGTTGACGTGTTGATAGTCCTCATAAATATGACGTGACATATGACGTGTTGATAGTCCATAAATGTTTTAAATTGAATAGCTGGATTGCATTCAGTCCTTCCTCTCCTTTTTTTTTGGGAGGGGTCAGTGTGATTTAGGAAGCAAACAAACAAACAAAAAAAAAAAAAAAAAAAAAAAAAAACTATATTTTTGTTCCTTAAAAACGAAGTTTTATTCTCTAGATCCATATGTTAAAAATTGGGTTAATCTTTGGATTATGGTAACTTAGCGATTTTTTGGCGAAAATTTGGCAACCAACCCTGCTACAATAACCTGCTAGTTTTGTTTTGGATGCCATTTTGTTTTGACGAAGTAAAGGCATTTTTTCTTTTTAAACTCAACATTTTTTTCTAACAATCTGCTAGCCGAATTACGCTTATACTAGAACTTTTATGGAACAAAAATGCTTAATCATGACGAAGATTAGGTGCGAAATTGGGAGAAAGTGGAGAATCGCAAACTGCTTGCCGCGTTTTAACAATTGCACATACACGATAACATCCATGTACACGTCGACCTATTTTCACTTAAAAAAACATCCCAGAATTGCACAAAAATGGCATTGCGCACACTCTTGACTTTATCCATGTACACTACTAAAGTCCTAGCTAGTAACTTTTATCGCCTTACCAAAATGTCGCCAAACTACCCGTTACCATATTCCAAAGATTAGCCAAAAATTGTAACGAAATAAATCGTATAGAATATCAACCAGGTCTAAGTCGTTTCATAAAATCGCACTTGGTTATATTTAAAATGCTTATTTAGTAAATATTATGTAATATTTTTAAAGAATTTCTTATTATTTTACATTATGAAAAATAATTAACATTTTGTTTATAAATTAACTGCTGTTCAGAAGCGCTGAATGTTTGCCTCTTCTCCTGTTTGAGTTGTTTGGACTTCTCCTTGATTCGTTTCAATGAAAATGCCAATTATTCAATGTAGATTCAATTCGTAAATTGATTGCTGAATCATGTCTGCCTGAAGGCGAGTATATGTATTGTTGAGATACGCTTTTTTTTTTTTTTTTTTTTAACAGTGGAGAATTAATTTTAACTGTGAGGCTATTTATTTCGGTTGCATAATTGTAGATTGATACTTTAAGAAAGCTTCCCACGAAAGTCTTGTGATAGTTCTGAATTTCGGAAAAGCAAAACACAGCTCTGGCTAATAATAAATCAAAAACTCAGAGTTTAATCGATCGGAAAGCGACAAGACATTCCCCATCCTCCATCTGAAAGTGAGTTAGCATTCACTTTCAGCTCATTTGATAGGTCTAGTTAAGCTTGATAAGCAATTATTCATATACTTGGCAATATATATATATATATATATATATATAGCGCTGGATTCATAAAGTGATTTTAAATTCGGCTTATACGCGGATGTTTCAGTTTTGGCTGAATTTTTGCAATCAAATCGTAGTTGTTTTATACGCGAATCGTCCTGTATTAGAAAATATACGATATTTAGAAATTCCAAAGTGATATGCAATTGTAATGTTTAAAAACTCTCATTTTTAATAAATGTTCTAATAGTTAAGTACTAGTGTGCTCAACTTATGACATAATGATTACATCGTTATGTTTCTATAAAAATTGCAATAGATTACATAAAGACAGTCATTATACTAATCAGTATTACCTTATCAAAAAGATCATTTTAAAGTTACCATTTTGAACTTTTTTTTTTTTTTGACTTACGTTCTTGTAGCATATATCTTTTTATTCGTATATTCTTTTAACATGTATATCTTATTATTCTTATCTTTTTTTAGCATATGTATCTTTTGATTCTCATTTTCTTTTAACATATAGTATATCTTTTTATTCTAACTTTCTTTTAGCATATACATCTTTTCATTCTTACTTTTTAGCATATATCTTTTGCTTATTATCTTCTTTTAGCATATTGTGGTATAGTTTTGTGATAAAATGTCGGCTATTTTTTTTCCTCGCAGTATTTCAAAAAAATTACCCAATGTAAAGAATTCTTACGAGTTTCCTGAGTGTGTTGCGGTGATTTAAGTGATTAACAGGCCCATCTGGCAATTAGAAAACCCGGGATTTGGTTCAAATACCAGAAAAAGCATACCTAATTTTTTACTTATTTTTAAATCTCGCTTTGAAAAATTAATGATTGGTACGCGCAAAAAAATAAAATAAAATTTTATTGCAAGTATTTTTAATACTAATTTCATATACTATTGCTTTTTCTTGTTTACATAAAACATTAGTGAATAATCTTTTCTTATATATATATTTTCAGATGTTCACGATGTTAATCAAGTAGTGTATAGAATCTCCGACACCATGACGCACAGCGAAGCGTTTCTGACTGCCAAATATGGCAGTTTCCACACGGCCTTTACCAATGATTACCTTCTAAAGCATGGGAACTTCTTCATGAAACCCACCATCCATCCAGACGGCTTCATGTACCCAGCTCTCAGCGACTCGGCCAGATACCAGGTGTACAAGGACGTCAAGTTCGAGGTGCAAGATCCCGACCTACCCCTGAATTTCGCAATCAAACAGGAGAAACCGCCGACACCTCCCACGCCTGCGTCCCCGACCCCGATGAAATCACCCTCCCCGACAGATGCCAGAACGTCACCACAAGTGAGTGATATTTCCCACTTCTTATTCTCACGGCTGAAGGACATCATGCCGCAATTATAGAAATAAAGATACCTCAGAATATTTAAATATTTTTACCTGTGTTGAAGTTTCGAAAATTTAGTTTATTATATAGTCATGAATAAAATGTAATTCGAGATTTTTGATTCAGAATGCACAAACACACACTTACTAAGGGTCGTTATGGTTGCAAAGTAGATAAAATTCCTAAATATCTGCCTAGATGGTACAACTAAGGGTCGACACTGTGATTGGGTAGTCTGCATTTTTATGGAATTGAACTGCCATAATGTTTGAATACCATTACTGTAGACTGATTTAGCTAGATTTTCCAAATATAAGAAGCTGGCTAGCATAAGAAACGTAAAGTTTGGCACAAAAGAATTTCGCATTTTGTTGTGGCATTTAATACTGAAAAGCAACAGTTTGTTATTCTAGAAATGTAATAAACTTTTTTAAGAAAAAAAATACTAATAAAATCAAAGTATTAATATTCTTTTCTCATGCGGAGTTTTTGTGAAAATAAAAATTGATGCAGAGGAAATTCGAAGCTGGTCAGTGGATATAAGAAAAGATTTGCTATTAATATGTCAGCTGAATGCAGAAGTAAATAATTTCATCTATTATTATTATTTCATTTCATCAGTCTTCCGCAGTGGAAGAGGATAAGAACTTTTGCCCTTGTGGCATTGCTTTTAGGATAATAATAACCTAAGACTGTGCTACGACAAAATTATGCAAGAAATGTCCTTGTCGGAGAGTACACTTTACAAATGACTGGTCTAATATCTTTTAGTGTTCTGTATAAGCATTGAGCTGCAAGAACTTTATCATCCTTGTTAATAGACAGCATTATTTTATTCTTTCAAGTAATGTGTATGTTGAGTTTTGTGCAGTTATCTAAAGAAACATGGCTTTTTTATTCGCATGCTGGCCAATCTCCAGTTGAAGTTTCTCGGCGCATGCGGTAATATAAGTAGTTGATACTAGATTTTTTTTTATATATTTTCCAATGCAATTCTTATCCGTAATTTCTTTTTCTTTCAGTTGATGAATGGACAGTCCAAGAACAGTACCTGGATCCTTGGCAAACAGAAACTGAGCTGGGACAATTCCACAGTAGCGAGTTACAACCCCGACACTAAAATGTTTCGGTGCGTTGTATGCAATGCTGTGGGTTTTCTTTCTAGAATTGCTGAACACTACCTCGGGACGCATACCAGTGCGAAGGTGTTCCAGTGCTTACATTGTCCTTACAGCAGCACATGGTCGCGGTGTGTGCGCATGCACATGGCTAAACATCACGGTGTGCCGAATGCTCCCCCATCTTTATGGAAAGGTCAGCCTCTTCTAGAAGAAATCTTTCAGTTATTGACCAATCTAAAAACAACAGTTGATAGTCAAGGTAGGGAGAGACTCGATCCAGAACTTTGCGACAAAAAGTTTATTTGTCCCAAATGTCCTTATACAACAGATCGGAGAGACTTATATCTCCGTCATGAAAATATCCATAAAGAAGATAAACCTTACCATTGTTACATCTGTTTTAAATTATTCAATCGAGCAGACCACGTTAAAAAGCACTTCCTAAGGATTCACCGAGGTCATCCATATGACATCAGCTTAGTCAGGAGGCGACCACCTAGAGTGCCAGCTTCTGTGGCTAATACTAACGTGTCCAGCCCTCAGACTGGGGCATCAACTAACTTTAGTGTCGATAAATTGATCTCTTCCTCTGTCGATAGCAAACCTCATGATGATGTGATCGATTTAAGTAATCGCAGTTTGTCCCCTAATGATTCTCTGGCTGGATCTGTTGGTAGTAAACTGAAGACATTTCGATGCCCGTCTTGTGCGTGGGAAGGAGTAGATAGTTGGTGTCTGCGGAGGCACATGAACGTGCACCTGAAATCTTTTGAATGCCCGGTGTGCGAGTTTAAAGCAGGAAAGGCAGAGCGTTTGTTCACCCATGCTTATCGAGCTCACAAAAAGCTGGTCTGCACCAAGTGTAAATTTCTCACTGATCTTGCACAGGAGTTTGAGGTTCACATTAAAGATTGTTGGTAAGTAACACATTCCTTTCGGAACTTCAATTTATAGCTTTCCAATCAGAAATTTACTCATACTTACATGGAAGTTTCTTTTTTATGTGGTATAAATTTGTTTGTAAAAGTTGGAATACCTGATATAAATTACAATCCTTAGGTTGAAAACAACTGGGTTTTTAGTTGTAGTATAAGAATACACTTAACTTCTTATTAATCGTCCAATTCCGGGGACAAGGTCCGCGCTTAAGTCATGGTTAATCCGAGACCAATTAAAAAAATACGGAAAAGAGGAATACATCATACGATAATTAGCAATGTAATACCAATAAAAACTGATTGCTGTTTTCAAAAATTTATGTGGGGGAAAAAATTCCATTTAGTTACGTAAGTAAATCATTAAGCACGCATAAACGGCAGAATAGATACGTTAAAAATGAATATTTTGTGGATTACATCCGTAAAAATAGATGCAGGTTGTAACCATAATACACAGATTTAATATTTTTCACACATTTTGAGTCCTATGCTTCATTGTATGATATTTTTCTCTTTCTACTTGAATTTTTGATATTGGTGCTACGTTGAGCATTTAGTTTGTGATATTAATTTCATTTATAAATGTCCAAGGAGTATAAAGAGCACAGAACTTCTTTTCTCTTGCCAAAAATAAATCTTATTATTTTGATCTAATTGCGATAGACCAAACTTCTTATTTCATTAAGACACAATAACACGCCGAATAAATACTAATTCCGAAGTCAAACAACAAAAATCAGCGTTATATTTTTTCAAAAATTTTCACAGGACTAGTTTCGATGGTTTTACCGAACCACCATCCTCAGCTGCAAAACCGCAAATGAACAAGATAGGAAATAATGATTAGATAAGATAAGAAAGCCTGGACAAGAATAAGCAAGTGGCGCCATTTGTTGATGAAACCAGAACTAAAACATAATTTCTTTAAAGGTCGAAGGCAAAGATGGATTGGAATTAGGATCGTTAACTAGAACAGAAAGAATTTTTTTGAATGTGAAATGTCTCTAGAAAATCCAGTTCTCCAATGGAAGATGTTTTTTGAATAATTTTGGCAGCAGAAAAATTGAAAGTGTGATTTTCGGACCAACAATGTTGAGCAACAGAAGACTTCTGTGTTTCCTTTTTTCTAACATATACCTCATGTTCCTTGAAGCGAAATTTTAAGGCTCTCCTAGTTTGGCCAATGTAAATCAAACCACACTGGCAAGGAATCCTATAAATACCCCAAGAACTCATATCCGGAATGGGGTCCTTGAGTATGGAACTCGGAATTTTATTGATGAAGAATAAAGAACCCGAAAGTTAAATTTCTGCAAAATATGTGCAACTTTATAGCTAATTGATGGAAAGAAGGGAATAACAACAGCATTTTTATAATCTCCTAAAACAAGAGTGTGCCTTTTAGTGTGTTGAGATGAGAATTTTTCAACTACTTGATTAATAATGTTGGGTGAAAAGCCCCTGTCAATAGCTATTGCTTTTAAATAATTTAGTTCTTCATCAAGGGCTGGTTTGGAGGAGCAAACCTGAAGAGCACGGAAAACATAGGAATAAAATGAAGCTAACTTTTGTTTAGTCGGATGACATGATTTAAAGTGTGGTGGAAGGCAAACAGATGAAGGTTTACGGTAAACCGTAGTACTGAAGTTGGATGTGTTACGTGTGACCAGAATGTCGAGAAACGGAAGAGAATTGCAAGTCTCAAGTTCAAAAATGAACTGAATAGCAGGATCAATAGAATTCATTGTTGAAAGAACTTTATTTAAATCATCTTTATTACCTTCAAACAGGGTAAAAGTATCGTCTACGTAGCGGAACCATGCCGGGAAGTTTAAAGTTTCAAACAATTTTGATTCATAGTAATGCATGTAGATATCAGCCAGGATGGGACTGAGGGGGCTTCCCATGGCTAATCCCTCAGTTTGCTTGTAATATTTATTTTGGAAAACAAAATGTGTTTGTTTCAAAACGAGTTGAGTGAGAGAAATTAGCTCATCAATTTCGATGCAAGAGAAATGAAATTCGCGAAGTCTGGTTTCTAGACATCTTAATGCACCCTCCACTGAAACATTGGTGAATAATGATTTTACATTCAAAGAAACCATGAGTAAATTTCTAGGAGAAATGTTTTAAACTTTTTTTTACAAACTCTATTGAATTTTTTATGGTGTAAATGTTATTGTCTAACAGAGTTGAAAATCTAGAAACTAAATATTTAGCTAAGGGATACGAGGCTGTACCTAAATTTGATACAATAGGGCGGAAAGGAATACCACTTTTATGAATTTTGGGAAGAGCATATAATCTGGCACAATTCGGAACGGATGGGATAAGCGAATGCTTTAAGTTCCTTGAAATGATTTGTGAAGATTTGATTGCAGTTTTTATTTTTGACAGGTCGGAAGGTGAAGGATCTTTAGGGATCGGATTAAAAGAAGGACCATATAAAACATTTCTCCTAGAAATTTACTCATGGTTTCTTTTGATGTAAAATCATTATTCACCAATGTTCCAGTGGAGGGTGCATTAAGATGTCTAGAAACCAGACTTCGCGAATTTCATTTCTCTTGCATCGAAATTGATGAGCTAATTTCTCTCACTCAACTCGTTTTGAAACAAACACATTTTGTTTTCCAAAATAAATATTACAAGCAAACTGCCGGATTAGCCATAGGAAGTCCCCTCAGTCCCATCCTGCCTGATATCTACATGCATTACTATGAATCAAAATTGTTTGAAACTTTAAACTTCCCGGCATGGTTCCGCTACGTAGACGATACTTTTACCCTGTTTGAAGGTAGTAAAGATGATTTAAATAAAGTTCTTTCAACAATGAATTCTATTGATCCTGCTATTCAGTTCACTTTTGAACTTGAGACTTGCAATTCTCTCCCGTTTCTCGACAGTCTGGTCACACGTAACACATCCAACTTCAGTACTACGGTTTACCGTAAACCTTCATCGGTTTGCCTTCCACCACACTTTAAATCATGTCATCCGACTAAACAAAAGTTAGCTTCATTTTATTCCTATGTTTTCCGTGCTCTTCAGGTTTGCTCCTCCAAACTAGCCCTTCCTGCCTGATGAAGAACTAAATTATTTAAAAACTAGCCCTTGATGAAGAACTAAATTATTTAAAAGCAATAGCTATTGACAGTGGCTTTTCACCCAACATTATTAATCAAGCAGTTAAAAAATTCTCATCTCAACACATTAAAAGGCACACTCTTGTTTTAGGAGATTATAAAAATTCTGTTGTCCCTTCTTTCCATCAATTAGCTATAAAGTTGCACATATTTTGCAGAAATTTAACTTTCGGGTTTTTTATTCTCACATCAATAAAATTCTGAGTTCCATACTCAAGGACCCCATTCCGGATATGAATTCTTGGGGTATTTATAGGATTCCTTGCCAGTGTGGTTTGATTTACATTGGCCAAACTAGGAGAGCCTTAAAATTTCGCTTCAAGGAACATGAGGCATATGTTAGAAAAAAGAAAACACAGAAATCTTCTGTTGCTCAACATTGTTGGTCCGAAAATCACACTTTCAATTTTTCTGCTGCCAAAATTATTCAAAAAACATCTTCCATTGGAGAACTGGATTTTTTAGAGGCATTTCACATTAAAAAAAATCCTTCCGTTCTAGTTAACGATCCTAATTCCAATCCATCTTTGCCTTCGGTCTTTAAAGAAATTATGTTTTAGTTCTGGTTTCATCAACAGATGGCGCCACTTGCTTATTCTTGTCCAGGCTTTCTTATCTAATCATTATTTCCTATCTTGTTCATTTGCGGTTTTGCAGCTGAGGATGGTGGTTCGGTAAATCCATCGAAACTAGTCCTGTGAAAATTTTGGAAAAAAAAAAAAAAACGCTGATTTTTGTTGTTTGATTTCGGAATTAGTGCTTATTTCATATTGATTAATACTAAAAAACTTTCACTTCACCATAAAAGCCACTGAAAATATCTGTGGAAACATTGTTGTATCGATATTAATTTTTCCTGCTTATTCACAATGGCATCATTGCATAGCAACTCGTGATGTAACATAAACAGGTTACCTTATTTGGAGCTTTGGGACAGAATTAAAGTTAGCGCATTGTAAACCAAAAAATACCAATCAGTGCTTTACAGTTTAAGATCGATAAAGTAAACGCAGCCTAAAAGCAAGGGCGCTTTCATATGAATCAAAATAATCAGAGACTTCATTTTCGTTTTAAATGTGAAGCTTTGGCGTCTTTACATGTATTTTAAATTTGATTTTATCTTTCAGCCTGGAAATCGTTGTGGGCTCTAGGGTAGACAAAACATCTGAAGAGAGCCAAAATGAAAGTGATGATGCCAGCTCAGATCGTAAACAAAATCCCACGAATGCCAGTCCATCTGAAATGCAACAGATGCCACCATTCGTCTTGCCTGAACATCGGATGGGATTCGACGTCAAGGGTTCCGTTAGTCTTATGCCATTGCATAATAGTATTTCTTATTGTTATCCTGCCTCGCCTCGATATCCTCCTGATTTCATGAACGGCCTGAATGATGGAGTTCCGGACGTAAGGGTTGAGGCCTGTGCTGATATTAAGACGACATCTTCTGTAAACTGCAAAGTAGAAGTCAAACCTGAGCTTGCATCTCCAGTTCAAAGTTGTAAGTGACCGTAAATTTTACTAGAGATTTTTTTTTTTTTTTTTTTTTTTTTTTTGCAATCAATTATGTACAGTTGTCATGCTCTTCCACATGTAGGAACGACCAAACAAGTCTAACTGAGCATTGATAACTCTTTTGCTGAAAATGGTTTAAATCTAAAACAATTTGTGTGATTTCTCGTATGTATAAACCCAGAATTTTTCCCTGGAGAAACTATTAATGGAAGGTTACTCTTTTAATAGACAGATGCTTCTTACTGCAATTGAAATAAATACCCTTTATTTTAAGCTCTGAATCATTCTTTAGAAATTATGAATGTGCTGTCGCTTGCTGCCATTCAAGTAAATTTCTTTTCATCTTAAGTTTTTGAAATCATTCGCCTTAGAAACTGTTAACGGAAGGCATATTTTAACATGCAGCGGTCGCTTGCTGTACTTCAAGTAAATTTCCTGTATCTTAGCAATAAAAATATTCTTGCGTCAGCGAATGTAATTTAAGGCAAATGTTGTTATTTAATTAAAGTAATTCAAGAAAGGTCCATATTTCCTTATATCTCAAGTTAAAGAAATAAATGCATGAAATTTAAGTTCATACCTGTTTGATGTTTTGTGAGTTGTGTGCCAAAAAGTTTTGATTATCAAAATGCTGTGACATACTTTGCTATTAATTAAGGTTAAAGGAAAATATTTGTAAATTAATAATTTATGACCCAGTTGCACTATGTCAAAAAATGATTCGGCGAATATTAGATACACCAGAACGGAGTTTGTTATGTATCTATTAATTTACAAACTCTTGTTTACTTGTTCATGCAAGAAAGAACATAATGTAACGACGTTCTGAACTTCTTTAAATGAAAGTAAGTTGTTTCAACCGGAAGTAAAGATTCAGAATTTGCACTCCAAGCACTAAATATTTTTGAGTACATAAATTACGCACTTTTTATTTAAATTGCAGAAACTGAAAAAGAATTATTAGCCTATGTCATTTTAAGGCTTGAAGCTTTCTGCTTCCTCCCGCCCCCTTACATTCGCCTTCCCGAAAATCAAAACATATTATAAGGAATCAGAATGCCTTACGCGCCACTTGATGACAACATCGATTTATAAGACATGATAACTAGAGTAATAAAAATAATTATTGATTAATTATGGGGCACAGTAAACAAAATAAAGTCGTCTTGTTAGAATGTAAAATTTGCGTACTTATTTTTTAATCGACATCATTTTGAAATGTTTTCTCTTTCTCATTACAGCTAGTGATAGCGGAGTAGCAGATGTTGCCAGTGATAACAACGATCAAGATATAGCATGTTGGCATTGCGGATGTGAATTTGCAAATCTTTCTTCTTTAAGCACTCACACAGAGCTGTATCATCGCGAGGACTTGAAGGAATCCGGGGTGCAGAACAGTTCACAAGAACACGTAAATCGAACCAAAAAGTTTTCGTGTGCCATCTGCAATTTCAATAGCGACAAACAACGGACCATCATAGAACATATGCGGTTCCATACGGGTGAAGTCCTCTATTGTCGAGCTGGTCCCCAATGTGCCTTTCAAACTGTTTGCGATTCCACCCTTGAGAAGCACGTGGAAGAAATGCATGCTGATGGAATGAAGAGATGTCCTCACTGTGGTTTTCTTTGCACAGATAAAGTCACTTTCATCAGACACTACAGGAAGTGCCACCATTCCAAATCGTGCCATGTCTGCAGAGAAATAAAACACAGTTTTGTTTCGAAAACCAATAAGAACTGCGAACTTGGTTCCTTGTCTAAAAGTAGCGATAGTCTATCAAATCCAGACGTAGTTCGACCTTATCTTCATCACAATCCCTACTCTAAAAAGGCTAATGCTATATCACCATATGCGCATTGCAATGCTGCCATGTCTAAAGTGGCTGTAGCCATACCACAATCGTTGCAAAACGTTGTTGCAGAGAGCATGGTTGCACCAACTCGTCATCACCCAGCAGCAAACCACAAACCTCGTAAGCAGTCAACACCTAGAAAGTTGCTGCAGGTTGGACCGACTTCTCATCACTTGCCATCGCTGAACTTAGGGGGTTTCATCTGTGATATGAACAAAGAAGTAAAACGAGAAAAATCGAAGAAGCGATCATCTGTTACGCGTTACAGGAAAAAGCTGCTCAAGTATGTTAAAGTACCTTCAAAGCGTTGTGTATTAAACCACGTTCATCCTTTTATATTCAGGAATAATATAAATTTCGTTCGTCATCTCTATTGGTATCATCATTCAAAAAAGTGCTTCTGCTACAAATGTGGAAGCAACTTCAAACATTTGTACCAGGTTTTGTTGCATCGTAGAAGGGAGCATGAAACTCTTTCATAGCACCGGTGCTTTCTGTGCAAATTTATTTCCCTGTGAATATTTATAAGAAATTTAATCATTCTATATTCATAACTGTGATACGAATTATATGGAAAGAAATCGGTTATGCTTTGAGAGAAACAAAATATTTAATTATATTCAGAACTTTTAGTATTTTTGTTCTCAATAATATTAGGCAGATGAAATCAAGTTTATAATAAGTTATCTGTTTACAAACTTGAACATTTTAATATTTGTTATTTGAAAGCTGTAGTATAAACACACATCCTGTTTAGTTATTTAGAATTAGTTGTCTTCATAAATTTCAGATTTCATAAAGGAAGGATGAACAAACCGACAAGCAAAAATTATAATTACTTAAATTGACGGAACGGAAAGTTTTTCAGTGCTTGTGGAATTCGTAGTTCTTGAATGTATTTTTATACTTAATGAAAGTACTGAAGATTTTACATTCAACTAGATTCAAATGTTTGAGCTCATGGGAAAATATATGAAATAATTGATAAAAACATTTTAACCATTCAGTTCATTTAAAGTTTTCTAAAATGTTTCATGTCAATATATATTTTGTTTCAAATCAAATATTTTAGTTTAAATCATGATAACTTTAAAACACAGTTTTTTTTTTTTTTTTTTTTTGTCAAACTTCAAACAAAAAATCTGTTTCTATTTTGTGATATTTTTAAAAGTTTTCTTTACCAAGTTTATACTTTACCAATCTTGGTAAAGATATAATTTCTATGAAAAAAGTAAGTTTGTTTTATGTGAACTTATGGATAATTAATTCCTTTTTTCCGAATTTTGTTTTTATTTGAGAGCAATGGGGATAAATTTTAGCATTAAATTACATGTTTAAATACAGGGCTGACTCGAAGTCTGTGAGCCGTTCTTTTTTTTTTTTTTTTTTTTTTTTTTTGTGAAAAATGAATAAACAACAGGAAAATGTAACTTACGGAGATTGCTGCAGTAATTAGAAATGATTGCCTCCCCCCTTTTTTTTTCCTTTTGAACGAGAGGAATTTACATTGATGTTAATAAAACTTTTTGCAATCCTCAAATTTTTAATTTTTATCCAGTGTCATTTAGCAGCATTTTGAGGTATCTCTTTATTGAGAGAAAATTTTGCGGGACTATCTGATCAAGGAATTTTCTGAAAGAGGGATTTAGTCATAACAAGGGAATAGATAAGCCATGAATTCTGAATCTTCTAGGAAATGATGGACTACTAGTTTGTCCAGACAATATGACCTTTGATTTCTTTTGTGAAGTGTACATATTTAAGATAGCATATATTTAGTAACTCAAACCCATTAATAAATCAAGCAACTGAAATTGTTTTGAAATCAGTTTTGGTTCATACTTTAGCTGAACTTGATTTTATTTATTTGATATCGGCGAGATTTTTTTTTTTTTTTTTTTTTTTTTTTTTTTTTTATTTTGAGAAACTAAATTTTGAAACTAATATAATAAAAAAAAACTTTTAACAACATCTGTTATTTATTTTGGTTGTACTTTCGCTGTTCTTGAAAAGGCATTTGCTGTAACAATATGTGAAATTCGTGTTTCTGTTACTTATAGCTTTTTGCAATTGATTTTATATACTTTTAGAACACTTATATATAAATTGTTATTATGTAGGAAAATAATTAGGACATCAATTGGAATATACTTTAAAAAGTGTTTTTTTTTTTTTAAAGAAATTATCCCACCCACCTCATGCACTGAAAGAAAGATATGTTTGGTAATGCAGGAGGGCAGAATATTTAATATGTATAATACGTAGGTGAAATAATCACTTAAAACGGAATTTGTAGTTTAATTTTGTTGAAAAGTTCTCTAAATGAGACATTTAGTAAGGATTTATTTTTATATGTTAAAGTTGCTGAATATTTGTTATACGTCTTGCTATATGCGTGATTTTTTTTTTATCTTTTTATATCATAGAAATTGGATGAATGGAAACAAAATTTAATAACTCTCAACAAATTATTTTTCACTGAAATTTTATAGTATTAAATCCCTCTACAACTACTTCTCTAAAATAGTATAAATGATAATACTGCAAGAAATTCAAATGGATTTCACAACTCTGGGAGTAGTTCCAATTTTTTTTTTTTTTATTTTAGTGCAGTTTAGATCTTTTGAAGTATAATAAAATCAACAACACTGGTATAATAAAATACAACTGTTACGAAAAAATAATTAAAATCTAACAGGCGTGTTTGCAAATTTCTGAATCCACCCAGAAACGTAAGAAAGTAAACGTAAAGCAAATTTCAACCAAATGAAACCTTTTACGTGAACAAATGTTCAGATTTGTATTCTTAATTTAAAAATATTATTTATTCCAATTTTCATGCTTAATAGAAGTAATTAAAATATATTTAAAATTTATGTGGTAATAGAGAAAAGTTTTAATTCTTATATGTTGTGTTTGTAATAATACCTGATAATCTAAAATATAAATTGACAAAAATAAGACATATTGATTGTGGTCTTTTGTAAAGAACCATTAGACCATTTAATGATTTTAATGTAGTTTGAAACACGCTAGACTGTTACGCTAAAGCTTAGCATTTTTAGTTACTATCCTTATTCAAGGTCGAATAACTTAAATAACATATTATATGAAAGCTGACATACTGATAAAGTTGTCACCTTAAGCTATTTAGCTGACACATTAAGTTAATCATACACTGTCCAGTTTGACACATTAACTTGCCAGCTTGCCATTTAACAGATGCTTAATAATCTCAAAGAAAGCATCTGAGTCAGAAAAATTACTGAAATATATTTCTTGAATATATCTGTGCGGCAGACCATGAGTCTTGGTAGAAATGTATTAACTTTCCGTTCATATTTGTGCTATTTTCAATGATAAACATGTGAAGAATGTGTTCAAAGTAACCTGAAATATATTTGCCATTATTATGAATCAATAAATATATAAAAAAATTTTACGTTAAAAAATATAGGTAATTTCTTTGAACTATGGTAATTTCTTCTATTGTGAAAGTACTTCCTGTTATTAATGTGTTGATTATTTTGAAATTAAAGCAGAAAATATTTGTATTTTCTAAAAAAAAATGTATATAATTTCTTTAATAAGAAAATATTTCAAATTATAAAAAAATACTTTTACTTCAAAAAAATATAAATGTTGAAAATGTTTACATTTTTAAAACGGGGAAATAGCTAATGTTTTTAAGCTATAAATTCACCATTAAACTATTTCATGCTATTGTTGTATCAGTTATTTAATAAAAAAATAATATATTTGCATCAGTAACAATTTGAGAAATAAATTTGAGATTCTAAAAAACATTTAATCTAAAAATAAGATACAATGAAAAAGAAATGCTATGACTATTTTTCTCCTAAAGAAATAGAGGAAAAGAGCATTAATATTGTACTGATTATGTATAAAATACAATAGGAATAATTTTCTATGTATTCAGACAAACAAATTTATATAGTTTTTTTTTAACTATGGTCATATTTATACTGAGAAAATATCTCAAGTTATTATTGTGTTGGTTATTTTATTTGAAAAAAATTTAATTTTTTTGTTCTTTAAAATTCATGAATGAAGACTTACTTATGTGTAAGCAAGTATCATTTTAAACTCACATTTTCACGAAGTGGTTATTCGAATTTTTATTTCATAAAGTGATTTTTAATTATATTATGGGTATATTTTTGGAAATTTTTTTCCCATGGTGAGTGCATTAAAAAAATTCATTGATATACTGTTTGAGAGAATATTTTTTTTGAGTAGATTTTTAAATTAAAGTTTTATCTTTTCATTTATTTATAATCAAAAGGGCAAAGTGCATATACAGTATTGTATGAGGTGAGAAAATGGTTGCATTTAAAAAATATTCAAGATTTCAAAATGATATAGTATCCTTAAGAGAGAGAATTTTTTAAATCTTGAAATGTGTCAAAATGATTTTGATGAACGGACGGACTTTAAGTAATGTATGACATGGAGTACAAAGTTAAAAATGATTAAAAAGATGTTAAGATTCATGTACTTAAATCTAAACTATCGATATATACATAAATTTATACAATCTATAAATGCACATAAATGAAACTCAAAAAAGTGGTTCAAGTCTTAAATGCATGGTAACTTTCTTTAACAAATCATGGAGTGGTAGCATTATTAAAGAAATTGTGTACTTGCATTTCTAAAGTGTACTATTTTGTGTAATTATAATGCTTTTTTCTCAGTGCATTTTCTTGTAAACTTTTTTCAGTCTGATGATGCTCTTGTAAGGCCGATATTACGCACTTTCAAAACGTTTTCATGAATTTAAAAATGTTATAAATCAAGTAACTATTTTGAAATAATCAAAACGTTTATTTTTAAAACTCAATTTAATAACAATTTAAAATTCCACTAAACTATAATTTTATATTTAAAAAATCTTTTCAACTTTATTTTAAACTTAATTTGAATTTAAATGATCCAAAATCAAGCAAAATTAAACTTAAAATGAAAAGCTTTTAAAAAACAAATTATACCATTCGTTAGGGTAAAATTTCCTTTAAAAACTAATTCAAAAACATCCATTCGTTAATTCTTTAAAAATTTCATGTAATTTTTTGGATGTGGACAAAACCATTTTAAAAGAAATAGAAAAGGTACTGCAATAGACTTCTTTTTCCTATTTTGAGTGCTCTCTTTTCTATTTTATAAATTTAAAAGAAATAAAGCTAATCTTAGCAGCCTTTCTTTCCGCAGTAACTGTCTATTTCGTTAACGATTATGCTAACCATAATGATGATAGTAAGTATTGTGCTGTCAATCGAGAAGCATTGGCACTAGATTGAGTGTCGTTACAGATTTAAGTACAAGATGACTTTTTGTTTCTGCTTCATGCTGAGGAAATAACTGAATTGTATAAAGCTTACTACGCAAATGTTGAAAGACTACATTTTCCGTAAAGGTTACTGCAAATTTCTGAAGTGGAAACGTTTTATACCAGAATATTTAATACTTCCGAAATAGGAAAATATTTTGGATGATGAGAAATAAAATTTCTTAAGCGGTAACCTTCTAAAACAGGTTTTACTGCATTATCTACAGAGTATCTTAAAAAGATTGCATAACTGAATATTTCTTGAACGTTTGGTTGCAAACTAATGCTTCCAATTAAAAAATTACGTCAAATATCAAACTTTTCAGAAATCAGAGTTTTTAAATTAAAACCATGTGTCTGCTACTAATCATTCAAGGGATTTTAGTAATCAGATTTTTAAACACTATATCAGACTTGTTAAGATCGATAATAATTACCCAATGAGATCTGAGAACTACGCGTTATATAATTATTTTTCAAACTTTAAACTGAAAGTTTGTTTTGTAAATTTTTCTGTAATTATTTTTCTATATTGAATTTCTGTCTAGAATCTAATATCTGTCTAGACTTTTATTTTAAAAGTGGAGAAAAATAATTTTTTCAATGATTTTAATTTTTAAAGATTGGATCAGTAGTTCATGAATTTATTAGTTCTGTCTTCGAAAAAAAAATAGAAAAAAGTGCAATTACAACAGCCTACCAAGATAAATGTTTTACGAATTACTATTGAATTTATATATGTACAGCTCCTTTTCTATAATTCCGTGCTTGAAACGTAGTTTCGCTCGTATTTCAGTTTAAAATTTTGTTTAAACGGTATATTTAGTCGGATGAAATGAGCACTCTTTTTCTCATTTTATTTTGTATGAAACTATTATCACTGTTGCGCGTAACCTCCTTCAACATATCTAAAATGTTTAAAAATATGATCTTAATTAAAAAAGTTTCATTAATAAAAGTAAAAGATAAAAAATATCTGTAGATGATGCGATGCACAAAAAATGTAAATTCAAAAGATTCGCGACGGATGTTAATTTAAAAATATTAATAATAATGACAATAGATGGCGCCCCAATAAAAAAGTGTAATGCAATATATTGTAAGATATTAATATTTTGGCTGAAATATTTAAGTGCATGAATGTTTGAAAAATTCAATAATAACTCATAATTAATAAAATAAAAATGAGAGTTTGGCTTTATGGAAGTTTTAATTCATTTATTAATTCTTTTCTGGTTTTTAAAAAAATGTTACTAAAATAAAAAAAGTAATTTTGACAGAAAGGGAGGGCTGTACGATGAATCTACATAACATATCTTCTGTATATTTTCTGAATAACTTTCATTATTTCCAAACGTAGATTTACCATCATTTTAGTTAAAGATAAGACAAGTGCCGGAGTTCTATAAAATAGTAATCTATTAATGGTAACTAGAATCCGATATATTATTCTTCACTGGTGAATAGGCAATAAACTTTATTATCTTTTGTTTTTTTGCTAGAATTAAGAAAAAGGATAATTCAAGTGTTATTAATACTAGTATAAATTTGGTTCTGAAAGAGGTTTTATATGGAGTAAAAAAAGAATTAAATAATCATTTTAGGAGTCGATTGTTTTTCCCTGTTCAAATATATAGTGACTTCCTGTGAAATTCAAATATTTGATAACTGTCATTAATTCCATTTATTTAAAAAACACACTATTTTAGCAACTTTTGTTACCGTAAGAATTCGTTTCTTTCCTACGACAGTTTCATTAAAGTTTAATGATCTTTGATCAGCTTCAGCAGTTTCTATCGTGAATGTTGGAGTGCTTGCAAAACAGCACAGCTGTAGTTTCAAGCTGACAGTGATGTTATGGAGCAAATGTAGCCTTATGCATCCATGAATGACGTACATGCTTCACTGTACAATCATTTTCTCGTAGTGAACCACCCTTGTGTTTTGGTGATGATTTGTTTGACTTTGAGTCATGCAGTTTTGTCTTGCAGTTCAAAATCAGCTGCCATCCATTTTATCTAAAGGCAGCTCTTCTTCTATTAGCTGTAAAGAAAGAGAAATTTTGATTCAGTTCATTGTTCTGTGCTATTTTTTTTCCGAAATAAATGGGAAATATCTTTATAAAATTTGTGATGAGTAAAACATTTAAAAATTTTAAGTAGGCACACACAAAATTTTTCGTGCATTAATATTCTTTGAACGAAAAATGTATGCTCGGTCATCCATTTATACAGTCGGGAAGAAAGCGTATATTGTACAATCATCCTTAACCGTCATATTTCGGCTTCAACGCGACTTATATAAACGTAACATTGCGGCTCCAATGTTATGTAGTTTGATAAATTTAGGAAAAAGAAAAAATAATAATTAAGCATGTCAACATGAAGTTTGGAGCTATGCACCACTCATTTTCTTTAATTTCTTCTTCCACTTAAACTTTTTACTTTTAGTGTACTGTATGCTCACATATACACTCATTTAAACAAAGTATCTGTTACTTAAAATAACATCAGTATGTAAAAGCTGAGTAACATCAATATGCAAAAGCTGAGTAACATCAGTATGTAAAGCTTATATTTATAAAAAAAAAATAGGGCTCCTGTACCTGATAGTAGTACCACATAACTTTGAAAATCACAAATAATGTAAATGGCAAAAAGAAAAAAAAATCCACTTCAGTTAAAGATATAATCTTGGGAGCCAACTGAAAGAAGAGATTTTCGATTTTTTACGTATAATATATCTAGATAAAACTTTTTAAGTTACACCACTCTTTAAGTTATATGCACTGAATAAATAAGTATGTGTTAGCTATTACAACAATTTTTCCTCATGTGCGAATAAAAAAAAATAAAATAATAATAATAATAAATAAAAAAACAGAGCAAATTTACCAAGAATGATAGGCATTTTATCATAATATATATATATATATATATCCAAAGAGAAATTTAAATGAATGTAATCATTTTGTAAACATGTCTCTCTTCTGTTATACTATATATTTCAAATGTCGGTTGCGACATGTTTCTGTTCTAATAAAGTATTATTGCTTTAGATTTTAGATTTATATACGCATGGAAAAACTGCTTCATAAGAGAATTTTATAAGACTTTTTAGCACATCATCAACGTAACTAACCGATTAATATCGGGATAAGGAGCAAAGTTGAATCGAAATTAAGGTTAATACGATCAGAACAGGAAAAAAATTAAGACAAGTTAATACGTGTCCTAGTTAATTGACAACTTGATAATAGCGGATCCAATTATACTTTCCCCTTGAATGTCAACGCATATTTTTTCGTAAATTTATATTAAATTGTATAATACATTACTATTTAATGCGTTACATTGCAATAAATACTATTAAATTTTTCTCACCTGTACTAGCTTTTCTCTGTACTGTGCGTCTGACTCCCTGTACCTCTTCGGTGGCAATCGAATGCTTGCTCTTTTCAGTACGAGCTCCAAATCATCATTATCAAAGATCTGGATTTGGATCTACTTTATGCTTGTTCACCAACTGGCCAAGGTATTCCACGTAATGAACTCTAACGAAAGAAAAATAATTTTAATAATGTTACTTTCAATTCCTTCCTTTTAATTTAAAATTCCACGTTAATTAATCCAGTTATCCTATCATCATTGTCTTTACTTTCAATTCTACTCTCGTTAACCCTTACCGGAATACAGATTACTTTTTAAAGCGCAGATGTCCTGAGAGTTAGAGAGAGCTTTTTAGCATTCTTGCTTGATTTATTGGCTTTAGTTTCGGCAAGTCGCGTTGGTTTCCCGAATACTTAAGACCAAACCAAAGTTTATTTAGGCGCGTTTTAAATTATATTGCGCATTTTAATTTGAATTTACTTTTACATTTGTCGTTCGTTAGTACCCACTGGCTTCGGAGAGGATTTTTTTATATTTATCTGTTTTGTGTTACCGTCAGACTGAAGTATTGATACAGATTTTTATTTTAAACCTTCATTTGAGATGTGTTTTCCGCAGTAAGAAGGTAAAAGTGGAAAATAAGTCCTCTGTTTCTCTCTTCGGTTCACTTAGTAGGTTAACATTTTAAAGTTGTGTAGAACAAATGTACTTGGATTTTTGCAATTTTAGGAATGAGAGCGTAATAGTCTTCATTTCGATTTCATCGTTTGGCTAGAAGTATTTTCACTTTTACTTAGTTCGCTTTCACCTATCTGTGATGCTCTAAAATCATCCGTATCAACCCTAAAATATTAAAAGAATTTTGAGAGCTTAGGAAAACTTGTTCTCTGCCGGCACAAGATCTACACAGAAACACCAAAATTGGTTTCGATCACGTGCCAATGTCGATTGTAAGTTAGCTATGATCCTATGCAAGTACCCTAAAAATCATTTAATTTAATCACATTCTTACTCTTTTAACTATGCGCTTTTGCAAATTCTAAGCCTCGTTAGCTATACCAATATGGATTCTATGCTGATATCGATTATATAAATATTAAATCCTATCAGTGTGTCTATTTTACACATTCTTGATACCATGCGGGACGGATCTCATACTTGTGACGATTCTGTAACGGATAAATGTGCGTTAATCCTCTTATTCATTATTACAACATTATCAGTTGTATGTAGGTCCTATGGGTGAGAGTCATAAACATTTAACATTTTGCTCCAGTTCTTTCTCATTTCTCAGCTTAACCTTGTTGCGAAAATGCGAGCTGTTAGTCGAATATTTATGAAGCACAGTCGAGCACTGAATTAGTAGATAACTTTTTTTGAAGGAGAAGTTAGAGTGAAGATATATTTTTATGTTTTTTCAAGTCATATCTTTGCGATATTTGTAATCAAACTGATTGCCTAGTTTTGGAAAGAAATAATATTAATAATTTATTCAGCACCACCCATTTCGTAAGTCAAATTAAACTTCTGTTATTCGGAGACTTTGATTTTCTTTAGTGTTTTTATGGTCATTAGTCCTTTTACTTAAATCAGCCCTTTTGTTTCAGTTTGTTGTTGTTTTGTTTGTTTGTTTTGTTTTAGTTTCAGTTTTAGCCCTTTTGTTTCAGAAGTTAAAATAAGATTGACAGGACGAATATCGTGTGTAGTAATTTCCTTTGTTTGCAGTTCTGCAAATAACACTGGTATTCAAATTCATATTAAAAGAAAAAAATCACATTTGGTCAATTATCTTCAGAACTGATTGAAAGATTTTATGAAATTCGGTGCAGACATGCGTTGATATAATACAAAAAATATACCGTACATCAGTAATGGTATACAAATATAATCGTGCATAAACCTTACGGCACAGGAAGGTCTGAAAGATTGCAAGATCGAACAAAAAGGAGGTTAATAGAGTTATGGTTCCCTCGAAAAGTCAAATAGCTCTCTCAATGTGATTTCATAGAGGAAATGAAGCAATTTATGAGATTCTGTGGCAGTCGGTCCTACTCCGCAGCAATGTAGTTTTTGGAAAAAAACATATCCTAGTTTTTTTGTTGAAACCAGCGCCATTTTAAGAAATAATAATAGAATCGTTATGAAATTAATTTTAAACTTTGCCTCAGTTTAAAATTAATTCTGGCATAATATTTATAAACTAATTAAAATCTTTTACTTTGTGAGCAAAGACTTTTAATTAATCATCCATTATTTTCAGCTGATATCGATTTTCAGACAGGAGTTCGTTCCATTTTATACATGGTTTAATTGACATGTATAGAAAGCGTTGCTATAAATGCATCAGCTTGTTCACTGTAATCTATGATTCACTGATGCAATCTAATCTGGTTTCAATAATCATCGGAAGGCATAACTGAAAAATACATTGGAATTTATTAAGCTAAGTAGCGTTTTAAAATACAGGATTCGCGAGGTTAGAAGATACATTTTTTATCTCTCATCGCTTTTATTTTCTTCCATAATTACAGTGCATTAAATAGAGAAGATACTTGGTACTGTTCATACTGTAGAATGTTTGTCGAAACGAATTTAGTTTTTGTAGAACTTAAATCAATCTAATTAATCTGACTTTACGCTACAAATATACAATTCTGCGTCAGTAAAATTAGCATGAAGGTTTTTTATTCGATATTTTGCCCCAAGTCATAACTCTTAAACTGCATACATGATTCAAGACTGAATATTTCCTTATTCGATACAGAATTAGACTACTCGTTGCGCATCTTGTTTTTCAGAATGACTGAGAACAAGTTGTTATTCAACATGTTGTTGACTGAGAGCAAGTTGTTATTGCTTGAGCAACAGATAAATTGGAATTTTTTCCTAATGTATCAACTTAGAGCTTTCCTGTCCGAATATAATTTGTTGTTGTGACTTATCTCACTTGTCTGATAGTAACATCAGAATAAGCCGACGAAATTCATCGTGGCGAGAAAGGTAAGACTACGCCTGTCGTTGGCAAAAGCCGTGAGCACAATACAGGTGACAGTACGACTTTGCTTAGTTCAACCCCAATTTTGATAGGGAGCACCCCAGAAGGACGGGCCCGAGGATCTCCTACCACCAGAAGACTTTCAGTTCGCCGCATATTTAAGGTGCTCCTATGATGCACAGATACTATACATTTAGAAACATTCTCCGGGATTCCAACCCGAGCCCTTCAATATTGAGTCACTAACCACTGTCCCGGTTGGGATGCCAAAATAGTTTGGCCAATATTGAATTACCGATTGTTCAGCATAGCAATACGGCTTACTATGAATACGTATTGAACAAAGATTGATGAAAACATTTAGAAATGTTTCTCGAGTTTGCATGTGAACACGTCACATCTCAATACTTTAGTTCATTGAAGAATTTCTTTACTATCTATTCAAAGCTTGCTCTTAACTTTTCTTTTGATATACTTTTCTTTTGAATTTTTCGTTTTTAATTATGAAATAAGTTGATTTAAAATTTTAGTTATTATCAACTTTGAGCATGTAGACTTTGGAAAACATTGATTACCTGCATAATCCCGCAAAGCCGTCTTCTACCTCTTTCCCACAGTGGTCATCTATCATTCCATCTGCAGTTTCTTTTTGCTCCATAACCTGACAAGCACCGTTCACTTCCATTCCGTCAGGCGGATCCTTATTGTACTTTATATTATTCATCTAGAATTGGTCAGAATTAATATAAAAAAGCAATATTTTTTTCTATATTAACAATTAATGACGACGCTATTTTATAAGACCTGCAGGAAGGTCTTAAGTCAGATAAGTATTTATGTTGTCAATAAAAACATTAGAAATTAATTAAGCCTAAAACTGCATAAATAATTTACGATGTTTATGTAATTGTACGAGACAACTTAATTAACAAAACTGAGCCTGCATCTGAAGAAGTGTAGCAGAGAACGCAGGACTAAGGCCCAGTCGAAGGTACTTCTCTCTATAGTGGCTACTTTTACGTCTTCTCTAAATGAGCATGGACTTATTGCAACATGTCGCCACCTAGCGCAAAATGTAATTTACTTTTTGATTCTAACGTGTAATTCCACAATGTCTACAACAGAAATTTTAAGTATGCTTCAGTGAAGATATGTTTTGCGAAAGTTTGGGACGGCTAGAATTTTTCCAAGAACTTGATATGTATGAATATAAGCAGAATCGTTAAGTCATTCCTACTTGCATTCAAACTTACCTATGTCTTGTATTGTAAAGATTTTGAATCTATTATTAAAATTTTGAAATTCGAAATATTCCAAAGCGTAAAATATTTTAAGTACAGAAATTATGTCACATGTATGACGAGTGGTCATATGAATCTCATTTTAATTCTATTATTGCATGAATAAGTGGATACTTATCAATATATAAGAATCAGAGAAAAAACGATGTTAATAACCACTGAGCTGAAGGAGCTAATGATATTTTACTTTCTTATGATTTATTATGTATACAATTATTAAAAATAATTTATAAACTCATCTTTATAAAAGATTTTTAAGGTTCATATGAAATAAAAATTAGTTAGTAACATGACTTAAGTCCTGTTTAAAAAATATACAATTATTTTTACCCAAATATTCGGATTCTGAAAATACCGAGATTTGGAATCCTTGTGGTCGTTAAGTATTTCGGATAAGGAGTATTAGCCTCTAATATTGCACAGCCATTTGTGAGAAAAGATCCAGTTTTCTGGATTCTCAAAATTCCCCAGATCCTGCGATTTCTTACGAAGTTCTCGTGTACACTAATTTGTTGTTTAATACATGCATTAAACTGGGGCAGTTTATTCTAAATCCACAAAAGTACTTTATTTGTTGTTAGCTGGAACAGATGAAAATTTCTTTGATAAATGAAGAAAGACACATTCATGTTGGGCTGTCTCCTTAATAGAGAATTAGGCTGAATGATTCTTTCTTTATTTAATTTAGCTATATTTTTATTTTCAATCTTTACTTTTCCAAATTTTAATTTAATATGTATCTAAAATTTCAAATTTAATAATTTTTTAAAAATTGTAATTAATTTCCAATCGCAAAATCTTTCGAATTTAGTGCATTATAATTTTTATTATTACATAGCCTGCATACACGTTTTATTATTCGTGTTTTATTTTAGTTTCTTATTGGAAAGCAATACATTATTAATTATTACTTATTTATTAAAGCTTTTAATATTGCTGGTTTAGAACATAATTAATAAAATTTCTTTAAAATTTAAAAAAAAATTGTACTTTTAAATTGTATCTTGTTCGATTAAATTTATTTACTTTCATTATATTTTTCTATACGCAATATAATATCACAATTATAGCCCTTGAAAATTTAATTAATATCTGATTAACAACAATAATTGTTTCAATATTCACAATTAACATAAGATTTTTTCTTTTAGTGAATTTTTTACTTTCAATAGGCAATTCTCGAAATTTTTTTTCTATACTATTTTATTACAGTTCACTATTTTTATTATAATTCTCATATTAGTTAGTGCAAATATATATATTTGTTGTTGATATAAGCTGTTCAGGATAAATCACAAATAAGTACTCTAGCCACTTAAGTTAAATATTAAATGAAATGATTGGCTAGAAATTGGAAATTGCGAAAGGCGATAGTAGGGTGACATTGTTGAAATCTATTGGTAAAGATCATAAGTAATAATATATAGAAATAATAATATATAGATATAATTTTGGACCGGGGAACTAAAAGTATCCAACTGTGCTCCTTCCTCGAATCACGGATATTTCAACAACCAACTGGACGTGTTGACCACTTGCATCAAGAAATCATGTCAAGGAAATGCTTTGATTCCTTGCAGATCCAACTGCTTTGCTCTAATTTATACAATAACTTGTCTAAATAAGCTGTATTAGTGAAGAACAGAAATTGAAATATAAAAGCATAAAATGCAGTAATTAAAAGATAAAATGTTTACAGTATGCTTACATCCAGGAGTTTTTGTAAATCCCCCGGTTCTTTATCTCTGAGATAGAACAAGCAATTTCTTGGATGATGAGCGTGCAGACCTAGTTTCGCACAAAATTCTGATACACCACATTTCTGTAAGAGAAATAATTCACATTACTTAACAAATTTTTATCATGATATGTTACATAAAATTTTCTGCTGCTACGTTTCCTGTTTTCGGGATTTTTATATAAAATTATTACATAAGTAACTGCATAAGTTACCAGTTTACCAGTAAGTTTAATTAAGCAGTTTCGGTTTTGAATTACTCTTCCCTTTCATTTTATTATTCTCAGAATCTCATTACTGATTTCTGAGTAATGCAAATTTATTAAATAGGATGGATCCATTTTGGATAACATTTCTTTCCACAAATAATCTATATCCAAGGCTTGATTTTAGGAATAAAAGGAAATGACTAACTTTGGAGCAACTCCTTTTCGAAAGCAATGCTATTTTGAGCATATTTTCACAATCTGAACTTTAAATTTTCATTATAAAATTTTTATTCTCATTTAAATTACTTAAAGGAAATAATGTGCAACCACAATTGTAAAATAATTGTTAATTTTATTTATCTTTATCACAATTATTGTTTTTCATAATTTTAGTAATTAGTGGTTTTTTGATAATTCATTCGCATACTTAATGCTTCCATATTTTGGCAGTTTATACCTTTCAAAAAATACTTACGGATCACGTAAATTTTAACTAATAACCATGCGGACAAAGACTTTACTGCTTACCATAAAGTTCAAGGGAACTTTCAGTCATAAAGAGATATTTTTCTCTTTTTTCTTTTTGCATTATTTAATAATGTAAGATATGCCACCTTTATCATTGTGGCGGTTAACTAAGCCGATTGCCATATCACCGGGAATGGGCAAGGAACTTCTAAGCACGTTCTTTGGCCTGGGTTCGAATCCTGGTGAAGACATCGATATATGCAAAAATTATCTATCCCCCTGTCTTGCAAGTGTAATATCAGTCGCTACCTGGGACAATCCTGGGTAACGTTCTTAGTAGTCAGAAGGCTAAATGATGGTTAACCTTTTTCCAGGGAATGCTTTAGTAACAAGTGAGCCATTGAATAAAAAGCAAATATAGTAAATAGTTAATATACGAGGTACAATAGGAGCCTTTATATCTTCCTTTTTCTGCTAGCTCTGACTTCTTATAGACAAAGGTCTAATTTAGGCTAGTTTAAATGAAGAAATTACACTGAAAAAGATAAGCGCAATTAAGTAGAAACTTTAAAAAATATTCTTTTATTTTTTACATATTTCCTGAACTCTATTCAAAAAATATTTACGTATCACGTAAATTTTAACTAATTTGATGCCGTCAAATTCATTATTACCAGTAAAAATAACATTAAATTTACTGTGATTCTTTACCTGGCCCATTTTGAAAGGTCTTGAACAACCGCTGCAGAAATCGTGTTGGCACTGAATACAACGGAAATGCATGCAACCACCTTTAGCTAGCGCATACCGGAAATGACAGCTTGGACAATCTGCAAAAATATGTATTTAAAATATGCATTTAACGTATTCAGCTCAGAAGCAACAGTCAGAATCTAAGTAATTAATGAGTGAAAGTCAACTGGAATAACATTTTGAATAATTATTAGCATTTTTAAAAAATTTTATATTTGTATATAAAAACTAGTATAGATGATCTGCAACATAAATAATTTTTTGTTTACTAAATAATAACTTAGCAGATATCTCTGTCCTGTGTGATATCTCTCAATATAAGACCTATTTCACAGGAAATTTTCGATGGAATTATATTTGAGGTCAGTCGTCTCATCTTAATATAGTATGTTATAATTCAGCCTAGTCCTCAAATACGATAATAATTAAACCTATAAAATTTCTCATATAAGAAGTTTTCAATTTTGCGACCGAATAGTACCCATGATATCCTGCATTTCCTTAATACATATTGTTACGAAATGTACAGTCGCGGTGAGATAGCTTCCCCGCAAAGCAGGTTTAGGGTTGCCATAAAATGGCAAGGAAAGTTAGGGTTGCCATATCTAAAAAGAAATCGCCCATTTGGCGACATTTGGCGATATGCCATGGACGCATGGAGAACCTTCTGGAACGAATTCTTACTGGTTTAGCCCAGAATGTTCTCGAATACAAGCCAAAAACTATATAAACAAATGCTGGTACGCGGAGAGTGAGTGCGAGATGTTAGTTTCGAGTTAGTCCGTGCGGACTCGATCGAGTTGACAGCTGGGCAGCAAGGGCCGAGTGGGTCGTCGAGTGCACCGAAAGATCCTCTCAGTGTATCGCGGTTAGTCCATCGTCGAGAGAGCGTGTTGTGCTCCGGGAACGACTGAACCGAAGAGTCGGAAGCTGTGCTCTGTGTGCCGTCGAGTGCAACGCGAGTTGTAGCGTGGAGAGTCTCGAAAGTACGTAGAGTACGGCCAAGCAGAGTCGGGAGTTGTACTCTGGTGCTTTGCAGTGAAGCTGTCTTCATTGTGATGGCCTGATAACCTGAAGGCTGTGTCGCTGATTGTTCCAGCGTGTTTTTAGTAGTTCTTCGACGACTGTAAAACGTAATTTTGGATCTGTCCTGATTAATATTCGCTAAATAAAGTGTGTTTCGATACTTCATCAAGTGTCGTCTTTATTCACTCCAAATCCGCACGAACCACGTAACGTACGTAACAAAAAGGAAGGAAATAACGTAACAACTGATGTCAGGGGAAAAAAAATAACAATATGTTAGACTCTTGACTTCGCCGAGACGATTTCCAGGGCTCACCAACTGAAAACTTCCGGTCAATGTTTCCCGATGGACAGGCACGACAGTCAGTATGGCAGATGCCTGCAGCCAGTATGGCAGATGGCATATGAAGTCTGACACGGAATTGAAGCCGCATAAACAGCAATAATTCAAAATCTCTGTTCGAATCTGCGCCCAAACGTATTAACAGCTGCTATTGTTTACGGAGATACTGACATTCTTTTCCACGATACAATAACTTTAAAGTGTAGTATAGTGTACAGCAGCATGTAATGTTATAGCTTACTACTGTTACTTTCTCTATGCTAAGGGTCTAGCAGCCAATTTATATACTAATTCCCCGTATAGATTTGTTTAAATATGTGCTTGTTATTATTTAATATTAAATTTACAGAAACACGAATATGCTAATGGAGTATATGAACATTTAGATGAAAAGATACAGAGCCACATAATTGTCCATTTAGTGATGCGGATGTTTAGAGTTGTAGAATCTCATTGACTGGCTGTAATAAATTTTGTTCATCGCTTTGCAGCAATTGACATTACAAGTGGGAATGGCGTAATTAGCACATGAAATTGGCATAGGAGTTTTTGAAAATATGAAAAAAAAATTGTTTCCAAAATATTAAGGCCATAGAATTATAACTAAGAGCCACGGAAGCTGAACAGGCGAGCGAATGAATAAAATGATTGTTTTTTTGTGCATATCTAAAGATAGTCAAAATGTTTTTTAGTAGTTTGTAAACGAATAGGATATTTTCAAGATGGTGCAAGCCTGAAGGAGAACGTTTTTAAAAAGTACTAACAACCGATTTGGGACTGTTTGTGAGCAACATTTGAATAGCAATTCTGTTCAGCTGGATTAACTACATGCTAAGGTTTATTTTAATAAGCATATTATTTTTGCGTTAATTCTGATTTGTTACTTTAATTGCTTACGTCATTAACCAGACTGCATGGATCTTATAAGAAATAGACTAACCCAAACGGGTTTTTTCCATTGCAGTGCGTAAATTGTCAAGAAAAAGCTGGTTGTAGCGCCTCATTTCACAAATTAGAATTTCTACATATTTTTATTTTTGAAATTGAGACTGATTTTTAAAAATTTAGCATATTTATCAAGCATAATTAACGTTCCAAATAATTATAAAGCTCTTGCATGCTTTCAGAACTGGATATATTTTTAGCTTTCTATGCTGTAAGGAAATTTGTAACTATTTCTTTTAGAAAATAATATTTTAAATCTGAACTAATAGAAAAATTTCAAACAAGCAATTTTATGCTTTTTATTGGTGTTGTAAAAAAAACGAATTTGAAAGTTTTTTTTGAAAAATTTCTAAATTCTGCTGCTTTTTAAAATTATAGATGAGTATCATAGCACAATTTGTATAAAGGAATTTTTATTTCAATTATATTCATAATACATCATAGTGATAAACACTTTTGACTCCTTGAAAAAATTTTTATACATTTAATTCTAATATTAAAATTGTATTTAACCGTAATAATTAATTTTGCTTGTATTTTCTAGTGATTATTTTTTAAAATTTATTTTTAGTTCTGCATAAGATTTTTTTATTTACTGTTAATTTAATTTATTAACCTAAAGGGGCGGTAGCCTAGAAAGGCTTTTAGTTTCGAAGCGGCATTTTGCGCTGTTTCACTATAAATGTCCGTGTCTCCTTGCAAATTGTTGTTACCAAATATTATCGCCTTGTATTATATGTAAAGAAATTAAATAATGAAGAATCTGCATGAATACATGTATGTTTCTCGCACTGTGAACAAAAACGACAGCAAATTTTGAATAATGTAATCCTCCACCTGAACATGGGCATCTTTACGGCCGAATTTCGAATTTGTTTTTAACCTATTTCATATTTTGTAAGACTTTAACGAATTTTTGATTAACAAACTCAACGAGTTCAGAGCGGAAAATAACAGTTTTATCTCCAGTGCGGAAATTCTAAAGATATGCTATTTTCAAATGTATGTGGTTTACGGGCAAAGAACATGATATTCAATACATATAGGTAACACACAAAACGTTAAAAAAAGGTTCCTTTTGGAGGTAATATAAAATCTGAGTGTTTCTAGATTTTATTTTATCTTTTTTTTCCCTTCATTACGCTCAGAAAATTTTATGCTCCGAATTTTATGAATTATTAAAATAACTAATCGAATTTAATGTTAATAACTTAATGGTCATATAATCAAATAAATATGATCGTTTTGTAATGTTATTATAGTTTGGAAAATCCTGCCTGAAAATGTTCATTAAATTAAAAAAAATTATCAGATCTTGTTTAATTTTACCTTACTTATTTCAAAGCATCGCGTACTATCAATCTTATTTAATTTTACTTTATTTTTACGCAAAATTAAGTTCATAAATTTTGTGCTTAGAGTTTTTACCGTTTTACCAAAGTAAAGATGTTTGTACAGGAATTACGCGTGAAAAAAATGCGAGAAATGCAGTAAGAAGTGCTTTAATGATATATATTGAATCCTACTTGGAAAAAACTGTGGCTTTCATATTCTCATCACTATATAACGTATCGCATTTAATAATTAAAAAGAGTTATGTGATATAAACGCCATAGGTTTCTGTGTTAAAGTAAACCAGATCGTCCCTACTCTTTCTGGCCGATATGTCGGTGACGCGCGCCCCGCCCACTGGTTTAGTCTATCTCTTATAAGGTCCATGTCAGACTGCAAATTAAGTGACATTTAAATCTCGCGCGAAGGTGTAAATTAAAAAAAAAAAAGAGTTTAGCAAAACTGTAGGAAAGCTGCTGTCTCTATTAGTTTTCGGCATTTGTTAGTGTTTATGATGAGAGGTCTCGCGTTATTTGAAGCCGAGTTAATAGATATTACATCCATTTATTATGCAGTATATATTTAAGATTTTGCCTTTCAAGACCCTTCAAAGTTTTGTTATATTTTCAGAAAGAAAAAGAGTATGAAAAGTAGCGTAAGAAAACTTTTTAGTTTAGTTTTACCATCTGATTGTGTTTCGTAGAGTTCCATACCTTTTAACTTAGCCGAAGGACGATCATTCATCTACAGCGCAGAAAGATTAAACTAAGCAAAACAAGGTACAGTTATGAAATAATCAGCTTTAATCTTAAAATTTTTCTGTTGCTTAATTTTGCTTCTGCTAAACGAACATTTTCTTGAGTATTTATGTTAATCGATGCTCATTTCAAGAGAGAGATTGAGAACCGATTCTGAGCGAGGCAAGAATTTTCGTAAAGAAATTAATGGTCAGTACTTTTGAATATCTTGGTATCCCAAATTGTTTCAGAATTCGATACCTTTTTAATGGCTCCTGCAAGTTAATTTTAGTTACAACATACTTTATGTATATTGATATTCTTTAAACTCTTTTCCCTTTTTAAAATCTGTTAGTAAGAAAAAAAAAATTCCCAATTTTAAAACTATGATGTGTAGAAAGTGGAGTAGGTTACTAAAAGAAGAGTTATTTACCAATGCCGTCTTCTGTCAGAAGCTTCGCCAATCCAGCAGCGTGAGCTTCTGGGTCTGTGGCATCTTTCCAAGCTGCAAAAGCTTCACAGGTCATCCTCTGATGCTCCCTTTCCCACTAACAACAGACAAAACACACATGAATAAGAAATGATATTAAAATCTGTTAATAAACTCAGAGATTCAAGCTCAGTAGTTACGTTATACTTTTATACATTTTTTATTGGATAAATAGAAAATGCAAGCGTTTTATTTTCTATTCCTTTTTAATAAATACAGAGATTCCTAAATAAAAATATGCTCAAAGTTATCAAAAAAGCGTACTGATTTGATTTGTGTCTCTAATGCTAGATGTACCTTGTTTTTTGATAATTCTGTTTTATTAATTCAAAGTTAGTAGCAATGCGAAGAATCTAATTAATGACGTTTTTTGGAGAAGTGCACATGAGCATATCACTGAAGATGATGTGCAGTATATAAAGAGGATGTAACATGGAAAATTTTTCAAGTCTTCCTCGAGGAAAACATTGTGAGCAAAGGACGCGTGGCTAGCTCAGTCCTCTAATCTGTTGCTCTGTAACTTCTTATGGAGAACACTTAAGGGTCAAGCGTATTCCAATAATCGACTAACCATTGATGAACTTAGCATTAAAATCACAGCAGTAATTGTGAAAATTCCTAAGAGTCAGCTTCAAGGTACATTTTAGAATATTACAGATCAGATATTTCCTATAGAGAGATTGCTCTTAAACGTGCCATAATGCGGTAGGTACCATGTAACGTTCACATTACATTAATAAAAGCAGTGTTGGAATGCAGTTGAATATATATATCCAATTTCATTACAACATAGAAACGTTAATCATTTTAACCTACATTACGGTTGATTTAAGTAAAGTTGTGCCTTCTTTCTTTACTCATGAAAAATCAAGAATCAATTTACGTACAGTAATTTTTCCAGTTTTAATGTAAGACTAGAATGGGAATCACAAAAAGAAATATTAACTAAGAAAAGTCGTTTTCCAGTATTCTTCAGGAACATTAACAAGAAATGGATCACATTGTGCGCTTTCTGTCATGGGTCAAATATTACGCTCTAGATTGTTTGATTAAAGAAGATTCTTTCCTTAACAAGTCTTATATAGAATTGAAATATATTATGCGCTATTGTTTTCCTTTTTTTATAGGGAGAAAAAAATCATTTTGAATGACACTGATACAGACAAACTCCCATTCTCTAAATACCTGGCTGTTGGCCTTTTTTACTTACCGGACGTCTACAGTTTGCGCAGGTAACAGCATTGCAGTCGGGACATACCAGACGTTTTAAATTTGGATTTGCAATGAAACCTGAAGAACACTAGAAAGAAAATGTATTATTAAAAATTAGAGCCAGCATCCAATAAAATTCTCAAATACAGATTAATAGTTATATGAAAAGTAATCACAGTAAATATTAAAAAAGAAAAAGAAAAAGTACTGGATATAATATTACCAGACACAAAAATAACTACTTCAGAACATAAGGAGTATGCAAGAAAATTTTCAGGAAAGATAGATTGCAAATTTTTATAAATTTAAATGTACGTAAAATATTTTTACAAGAAAGCAAAAACGTAATGACAATTTTTTAAACATTTCTTAGACAATTTCGAGGCAATATTTCTCCCATTGTTCACAAAAAATATTTAAAGAGTTAGCTAAAAATATTTAAAATTAGGCAAAAAAGCAAGAAACTACTCCCGAAGGAGAGGAACTTGCTTCTCATCGCCTTTAAAATTGATATAGTTTCATCAAAATTGCGCCCAACTAAAGCTTCCCTTTCCCCCCCCTCTGATTTTAAATTTTAAATTGACTTGTTTCTCTTCCATTTGAGTTTAAAAATTGTCACTAAAAACTTGTAAAATACTATTAAAAAGAGATAAAGAGAAGAAAAAGGAAAGGAGGAAAGAAGAATAAAATTAAGGGTTCGCAAAAATATTTACTTATGCAAATACATTTTGGATATTATCCAAAATATATTCAACAAGTAGTAAACAACAACAAGTAGTAAAGTTTGGTCAACAAGTAGTAAACTGCGTAAAACTTAATGTGTTAAATCACTGTTAATGTCCTTATCGACACTAGTCGGCTTATTCTTGCCATTTACCACACGTTTAAATAATTTTTGTAGAATTCCTATATGTAAGCAGCATAGAATTGCTTTTCGTAAAATTCGTGAACAAAGCATAGCCTTTGAAATGAACCAAATTGTGTAAAATATTTATACAAAGCGAAGCATGTAACATAAATGACTTGAATCAGAAAAAAAAAAAAAAAAAAAAAAAAAAACGAAAATTAACAAACGAAATTTTCTCTAGCTCATGAAACATATTTTCTTCCTTCAGTTCCTATATGATCTTCAGTTTCTGTCTATCGCAGTCAAGAAGAAAGTATTTTTTGACCTTCGAAACACAGAACAGCACATTTTATTTAGTGTCAATTATTTTGCTAATTTTTATGCTCTTCCAAGTTAAACTAAGAATGTTGTAGAGACTTTAAGTTTTTCGAAATTTTTCACGTTTCCCGCATTGAATAACTTGAGCTTAGCATTGAATAACTTAGCATGTCAAGTTAACAATTAACAAATTTGTGGTTCATATCTCATCGAAATTTGACCTACGGATCTTAGGATTTGATGATGGAACTATTAGATGGACATTTAATCCATGAGTACATGCGCGCTATCTATTATTATCTGCTGAATGAATAAGATCACTGTATGTTGGTAGCTTGCTCCGAGTTCAATAACCGGTTGTCATAGAGGGGTTCCATAGCCTTTCCCAGGCTTACTGTATTACACGGTTTGCTCTTCCCTACCAGAAATCTTTGAGTCTATGACGTTCGCTGACTTATTGCCTGTTCAAAATCAACTATTCCTTACTCCCTTTATCTCTTCGTTTCTCCTAATTCTATAATTCAAATGTTGGCACTGAATTGAACAGAGAAAAGTTACCTGTTTGTCTACTGAATTTGGTTTTTCCCATCTGTAACATGAATATGGTTCAGTTTTGTATAAACGTCTTTACCAAATTTGGCCCTTTTAGGAGGCATATAAGGAATTATCGTGTATGCTGTCATGGTGTAAATGGTTAGCAAGTTCGATTAGCAAACTGCAATACCTGTGGTTTGAGACACTGTGAGGGAGCAAATGATTTTTCTCAATTCCTCCTTTGGAACACTTAATGATTTCCATAGACATCGAACCTTTAAATGCTTCTTGTAATAAATTAGCTGTCTATAAAACATTAATCAATAAATATTTCCTTCGAATTAGTATACGAGTAATATCATCTTTAATAATCTATACAATTCAGTCTCTGTTATGAGGAAATTTAATATGAAACGAAATTCAATAGAAATTACCCTAAATGGAGCGTGATTAAATTTTGATTGTACTTTACAACTCATTTGACAAATGAGGGCCTTGTTTTGTTTGCATTGTTGCAAGGTTTAAATTTTTTAAAGAATATTATTTTTTTTACAAAAATAATTTCAGTAATTGAGTTATATTTCTAATTTTAATATGAAATATACTCTTTTTCTTCACCGCAATTAAAAGTTAAGCTAATACATAACGGTCTACTTGAAAATAAATTAAAGCGGTTAAAACAGCTTAAAAATGATTTCTTGTTGAGTAAATTTTAGATAGCTCTTGAATTATGTTTCTTAAACTTACCTGAGAACACCACCTAAAATTCGGATCTTTCATCAACACACGATCTCGCAGTTTCCTTTGGAACAATTCATGTATATCAGGTTCCACTAGCTTCTTTAACTACAAAGAAACATATAAAAACTGTTCACTTGCAACACTTTGCAACTTGAATTGCAACACTTTCAAAACTGATTATGTATATGTAAATCAAAATTATAATTTAATTCTTCCTCTCTGTTATAAAAATCATAATAACGTCTCTGGATTGCGTCATTTCAAGATCATTCGATTTTGCATGGCCTGCGCAGCGCTGATGACGTAATAATTGGGAACTGAAACTGTTAACTCAAACCAAAACCTTTCTCTTCGTGTGCTTCCATATCGGACAACTACGCACTTCGGCTTCGCTCTGTACCCTGCTAGGATGAAATTTCCCAGATTCAGTATCTTAGGTTTCGCACTGTGGTAGCAGTTACCAAAGGTTGGTTTTAGGACTCCAAGTGTTACAATGTGTAAGCTTCCAGTGTTACACACCACAGGTATCCAAGTGTTACAATGTGTAATTTATTCCCAATTCTTTACGAACGTAAAAATCTAGCAGCTTTAAATTATACCATTTCCATTTCGAACATTCTGAGAATTAGTTATGTTCGAAATACATGGAAGATAAGTTGACTGGAAAAAATGTGAGATCACCCTCGCGAAGACAAGCAGATAATATCTAGAGTAGTGTAATGTAATGTAATGTATCGTAATGGCCCAAGAATATTGGAAAGAAGAGGGACGTTTTTTACGTCGAAATGTTTTACTAATTTGAAGAAATTTAGGATCATAGAACTTAGAAATGCGACTGAAAAGTAAGTAAATACAATAAGACAAGTTAAAAGGTAAAAAAAAAAAAAAAAAAAAAAAAAAAAAAAACTTAAATAACTATAGTAGAAATGTAATTTTGGCTAGTAGTTTTTTGTTCATATAAATTTTCACAAATAATACTTAATTTGATTTCAAAACACAAATATATGGCAATTGTGTAAAGCAACGTTTCCCAACCTTTTTACTCTTATAGAATTCTTGAGACAATTTTCAAGTTCTAGGGAACACCATCGTTCCTGTAACAATATTTCGTAATATTTTTATTAATGGTCACTAATAGAAACAAAAAATGACCAACATTTTAGTCGTTTATTTAAAAAATATCAGTTACATGCTATTGGTCTAGTTCTTAATATAAGTAAGTATAGATAAATAATAAATTTATTTAGTCTAAGAATTTATGAAAAATATTAATGTGACTCTACAACTGTTTTTTTTTTGGAACAGAAATGTTGAATTCGGTGTCTGATTTTTTATATACATGCGCAGATTTTTATCTCTCATCGAAAAGAGTCCATTTCTATTCTTATTCTTAATATCTGTTAAACGGCAAAGAAAAGCTTGTTCACGCATCTAGAATGTTGAAAACTGCAATATATTAATAGTTTTTCTATAAAATGTTGGATATTTACTTTCAACTGAAATCCAGAATGTCCTATATCATGTCATTAAACCTCATTTATAATGAACCATCCGGTTTTAAGTCCCAAAATTCTTCTTTTTCTTTTTTTCTTTTAAAAGTACGTTCCGAGGATGAATGGAAGTGAAGAGAATGAATTCCTTTACCCAATCGTATTGTTTCTGTTCACAGGGATGAAAAATAATTATAAATTTGTTTCGGCAGCTTCTTATAATAAAACTTGACATTTCCTGGTATGCATCTTCCGTTTTTAGTCCCGCCAGTGATTCAAACATATTAGGATTCCCTTTTACATGATCTTTTAATAAGTTTAATTTTTAAATCCAAAAACCTTGTAGCTTGAAGTTTATATTTTCTCCGCCGTCTTGTGATAACTTATTCAGTTGATTCAAGGGATGAAAAATATATTCTAAATATGCTAGGATTTGCGCCCATCTTTGATCCTCAAAGCACGTAGTAAAATATTGTTTGTCATTCTGTTGAAAATGTGCATCTATTTTCTTCCTTTAGCTCAATAACTTTATTAAAAGCTTTGCCTCTACTTAACCACTGGATTTCATAGTATACCAATGGTTTTGCGAGCTCTTTGTCCATGTCTTCATAGAGTTTTTAATTTTTTTTAAATTGAAAATTAGAGTAAAGTGGCTTTCGTTTAATGAAGTTTGCCATTTTTATAATACAGTCAAAACCTTTTGATAGTTCATTACCAAAAGATTTCCTATCAGCACTTCTCTAGAATAAAATAGTGTGTGGAAACAAAGTTGGAATTTTTTTCTTTATAACAGTTGTAAAGCCTTTATGGGGCCAACCATGGAAGCAGCACCATCCATACAAATGCAAATACAAGTCTTTCAAGAAAGATCGTTTTTTTCCAGACAAATGCTAGAATGCTAGAACTTACAAATGTTAGAACATAATATTTGTATAATATAGAATCTTACAAATGCTAGAACATAATATTTGTTAGTTAAAACTGTTGACTCTTGCACCTAAATTGAAAAATTGTCATTTTTCAGTTTATTGCACAAATCCTCTTCAACATCATGTCATTGATTCTTCTAATTACTGTATTGCTCGAAAATGGAATATTTTTAGTTTTCCTTACTGCATCTTTTCCCAGCATTTTACCCACTATAACTTTACATGCTGGCATTATCAGGTTCTCACCGTGTAATTTTTTTCTTTTCTGTGCAAAAAACTCTGCTATTAAAAAGCTTGCTTCTTGAGTATTTCCATTAACCCTTCCCGGCACTCTACATTTTAAAGTCGGAGTTTTGATAAAAAAAGTAGGCAGTCTAATTAGGCCTAGAGGAGTACGCAAGTAAAATTTTGTGAAGATAGCACTTATCGTTTATTTCTATGGGTGTGCCCGAAGAGGGCACACTGATTGAATAGAGCTTCGAAAAGAGTGCTGAAACAAGCATTCTTGTCAATGAACTGACCGATGAGATGCAGAGAAACAAAGAGTACAGACCTACAAACAAAGAATCTAGACAGTTGTCCTAGATTATCGGTGAGCCCGGTCTGGGCACACCTAGGGTTCGCCGTTTGATTTTAGGCAATATTTCAAGGCGAAAATTTAAAACTAATATAGAATAAGGAGATTAGCATACAGCCAAAAATAACATAGAAATTTCTTTTCAAACAATTCCTTTTATACCCTAAAAAAATCTGGAAGATTTCTTTGAAAAATGAGGGTCTTAAAAAACTAAACATTGCTAAAATATATGGACTGGTCTGTGTTGAGCTGCCATCTACTATAAATAAAGAAGGTTCAGAGTAACCTATAGTAACCTATAAATCCTTTTCCATTCAATTTTGCTGTGCGTACAGAAGGAAATTTTTAGGTGTGTTCAGACCGGACAAACTGTGCCGCAAAGGGTTAACTATGAATGTGTTTACAAAAGCTACACTCTGCCTATTTTGAGATTTTAACACTTTTAAAATAATCAACATTTTTATTTTTCATATTATTATGATGATTTGTCGTGAAACATCTCTTCAATTTTGTTGGAACCACTGCTGTGTTCGAAAGTTTTTTTAATCGTAGACGTAACACAATGAAAGAGGATTAAGTCCATGTAAAGCCCATTGATAAAAAACTTTTAGTATAACAAGGAATCTATTTTGCATCTCTTTCTTTATAAATTTTTTGAAATTTTGCATGAGATTCTAAATTTTCATCATTAGTCTCATTAGAATTATCTCGGTTTTTGTCTTCAAGTATCGTCACATTTTCACCGTTAAAATTTACTGAAGAAATTAAAAAGGGAGAAACAAAATCGAATATTTTGTTAGTACTTTTAACTAATAAAATAGTAGTAAAAATAATAATAAAATAAACTAAATAACAATAAAATAAAAAATACGCATTAGGCATTCTATTTAACCAATCACATGATACTACTCCTGTTTCATCACTAACGCATATACAGTAACACTAGATTCTAGTCTGTGACAACTGAAAATGTGCCTTTTTCTGTTCGGCAGTGCTCGGTTAGATTTGTGTTGCATGCATAGCCTTGCAATGCCTATGTACAATTAACGAAAATTGCTAAAGAACAAATTAATCTCTTTCCATATTTTTTAATTTATCATTTTTTTTCAACAATGGAATTGGTAACGCAAGGAACAAAGAGATTCATACAACTGTTGACGACGTTAGGCGAATCTAACCGACCACAGCCAGCAGCCAAAGGCAGCTTTTCAACTATCATCGGCTTTTAGACTCTTAAACCCCAGTTACATTCGCTTCCCTACCAAAGTTATCCGAGTACAATACCGAATTAGGGAAAAAAGTGTTTTCTGTTTTATGATTTATATGTTATTTCCCTATTTTTACGTATCGCCGCACTCTGAAAATAGTTCTCAAATTATGCTTCGTGGCGCTTTGTAACACCATGGTTGGCTTATATATTGGAGGACAGCAAAATATTTCATTACTTTCATAGAAATGAAACTTAGTCCAGTACATATTCAGAGTCGGATTACCTGTGTATTTGTGCTACGGTAGGAAGAGTAACTAAAACATTCTGTACAAATCACTTGAAATTTGAAGGGTATTGTCACACACACTTGAAGATTGTTGCGAAAGACAAAATCTAACAACCTAAACTATAAAACACATACATTTGTATATAATCTGATAGCATTGTTATAATAACAAAATACATTTGGATTCATACGAAAATTTCCTCAGTGACTTGGAAAAACTAAAATAACGTTACAAATTTTAATCCTAAAATATAAGCATAAAATGAGTTTAAATATGGGGGATTTTTCAAAATTTTTAATGCTTTTTTGAGATCTTATGACAAAAATGCAATTCAAAATAAATGCTTTTTGAATTTTCTTTTTATTACCATCTGTGCCAAATGTAAAAGCTAAATTTTTCTTTGTATTTATAAGCAGTAGATTATAAGATCTTACCGAAACATGCATGAGCATAAAGAGTGCATATCTTTTACTGTTTCATTTTCTTAATGAATTACGTATTTTTTCGACATTCGTTTCATACAAGAATAGTACTTTACTTACCATTATATCTAAGTGATTGAAATAATCTTGAGCAATATCTTCATCGCTAATATCAGGCTCATTACAGAAAGGACACAACAATTCCACAATAGTTCGATCCCGTATCTGCACTGTGAAATAGGCCCGTATGCATTCCCGGCATGCTTTATGAGGACAATGGACCATAGAAATGATCTAGAATGATAGAAGAATGAAACAGTAAATTTGCGGCGAGTGATGACTTAAAAACGAAACTAATAAAACATTCCCGCAATTTTTCGTTGCTGTTCCAACAGCTCAGTTTTCCGCAGAGGAGGTCACATTTTTCAATTTGAAAGGAGTTAAAAGCCTCAGCATCATTTAGCTACCGAAACCGCTGAATACTCTTATTTAATTTCAAGTTCGTGGATTGAGACAATCTTCCAAGGTGCATATACCTGTTTATTATCAAGTATTCGGTAGCAGGATTCTAGGCTTTATTTCCCGAAATTGAGCCTAGACACGTATTACCAATACAGAGTTTCTCAAAATAAAACAGAGATTTTTATGAAAACGTTTTCAGCACTGAAGGGAGAAAAACACTTTAAACGCAAAATCTAATTTTTTATACAATTGCATTAAGGGAAAAAGTAACGACATTTTCATTATGCTTTGATAAATTAAATATAAAAAGCCTCTTACATTTATAAGCAAGATCATACAGATCTTCAAAACAAGTTTACTGATTTAGTCCACATTTCAGATCTCTTGTCAAGCTGTTTTACCAGATTACAAAAATGGATTGTTTTGGTAATTTGGCGATTAACTGCAATATGTCTGATTATTAATATCCCAAAAAACTATTGCAGTAAAGTACAATAGTTTGGTACCCGATTATTTGCGCAGCCAATAATCCAGTTCGCGTATATCCTCACAGGAGTGCTACTTGATGAAACTATGAATATGTAGTTCAGAAGTAATCGAGCCGTTCAGACGGTAGAGTGGTTAGGGGAGCCTACTGCGATACCGAAGGGCTCGGGTTCGAATCCCGGAGAAGGCATGGATTTTTATACATGTATAGTGCCCGTGCGGCATGGAGAGATATTATAAATATGCGGCGAGCTGAAAGTCCTCTCGAGAGGTTGTGTTAGGGAAAGAGAGGGGGAGACCCTCAGACCCGGCCTTTCTAGGACGCCCTCAATCTAAATTGGGGGCCGGAACTGAGCGAAGTCGTATGGTCACCTGTATGATGCTTAAGGCTCTTGCCAACGACAGGTGTAATCTTGCCCTCCTTACCACTGTGAATTCCGTGGGCTTGTTCTGATGTTAGTGTCAGACAAATGAGATAAGTCACAACAACAACAGACAACAGACGTAACCGATTGCATTCTCAATTTGTTTTGGAACCAGCATCAATATGGCTGAATGTTACGTAGCAAAATTTTATCGAACAAAGCAAAGGTCTTAATAGTCTCGATTATCCACTCTCGATCGACGAAATCAATCTAAAGCTTTCTTTAGAAAAGTTCTCTGGTCACATAAGGCGAAATTTTTTGAATAGGCTACTCAAAGATGAGCCGATTATAGAAAATACGGAAAGAAGTGGAGTGTGACAAAGAACAAAGTTAAACTAATATCACTTTTGGTAATGACGTTAAGCCATTAAATGCATTTGTGGAATTTACCATCGTTAATTTTAACCCCATATTAATCCATGTTAATGTAGAAATAAAGAATTTTTTCATATTTTTATCAATGTTGTTTTCACAAGAACTGGACATTCGAATTCTTAGTCTTCAAACAACAGCAATATAGTAAATTCCAAAACACAAATCGATTAAGAATAAATTATGCATATTCTGTAATTTATATTCAAGTATGTTACAATTATTAATGTATCCGTAAAACTACGTAGAACATTATTTAAAGTTTGATTCTCATGATAGATTAATTTAGTATAGTTTACTTAATTTATTTAAGCATAAGGACCGTTATGCTAATTGCAGGCGAACAACGTGAAAATTAGGTTTTATGTTTATAGAAATTTCTTACTTTCAAAGCTAAATTCATTTTTATAAAATTATGAGCCTCATATTGAGGGTTTTGAAACCGAAAGCATATGTGCAGGGTATATATAAGGATAAAAGTCAACTTTTTCAAACAGCATGTAGAATTATGAAGAGAAACTCATTTTACTTCTCCAACAACTTTACTTCAATGAAGTATTATCGTGTAGATTTCCTTTGACCAGGTATCGAAATAGTACCTTCAGTCTTCAAAAGGGTAAAAGGGCAATTTGCTACCTCATTATCCAAGCAGAGCTAATCATCTTTATTTATTCTCTACTTTTAATTCGTCAACTGCCTATTAGAAATGTTTAGCATTTTGAACTAATCCCATTTTCCTTTTCCCTTATAATTAATGATGAATATTTACATAAATTTATTATATGATGCCTTTTTTGATGAAAAGAATGCAGCTGACTAATTAAAATTTTATTTCTAAGCGTCCTTCCCACTTCCTTCTCGGGGTTGTAATTTCAATCGCCCCTTGGTAATGTTCTCGATGATCAGACAGTTAAATAACCAATGGGTTCGTCCATTGTCGACAAATGCAATAAACTGCAAATGTCGGAGCCATTTGGTTCAAAGATGTTCTTTATTAAATGAGTTCATATATCTCTAAATGCTGATAAAATAATGTCTTAACAATTGCCATTTTAAACTTAAGAGTTTATATCCTATAACTTTAACTTCTAGAAGACAACTCTAAAATTGTAATCCTATCCTAACTGCTTAGTTTAAAGCTATATTAGGTGTTCTGAATACTAAGATTATATTGCACTCCTTTTAAACTTATAATTTTTAGTCGATTTTTTTAACTTTACTGGTTAACTTTCTGAAGTATTTGACTATAACTTGGAGATTTTATTTTGCAATTAAAAACATGTTTCTTCACTATCGATATCATGATTTTCGGCTTTGAGTTCGGCCTTCTCCCTTTTGTCCTTTCCATTTAGGCTCTTCCCTGAAAGTATTTATATTATTTTACATAGTGTGATCATACTTATTTTACATGCAAGGACGTGTGATAGGTAGTATAACTATTTTCTTTATTACATTACCTGTGAGACGGGAAAGAAGCCTGCGCACAGCAGACACTCCTGCTGCAGATAGCTGATTGCCTGCTCTAAAGTAGAACATTCATTGGCGGCTTGGATCGCTTCTTCTTCCTCGAAATTCATATCCATCAACTGCACCACAATTTCAGCTTTTCTGTACGTCCTACATTTACGATCTGCCACCATTTTTCTAACTTTCCTCTGAAAATATTTACAATTCGTAAATGAAAACTTCAAAAGAGAAAAAAGTGTTAATTGATCCGTAAATTTATAAATTACAAGTAGAATTTTTAATTCATTAAGAACAATTCAGATATTAGTTTAATAAAGATTTTTATTAATTATTTGAGTTTTAAAATTTTATAAGCTTACAGATTGTATAATTTTAGCTTATATACCACATAAGACATAAATTTAACGAAACGAAGTATGGTCTGAAGCAAGCGAACAAATTTTAACGTTTTTAGCATCTTTGATCGTAAAAAAAAATCTATGCTGCTTTCCTCTGGAAGAAGATATTTGGAGTTAATCAATTTTTAAGATATCTATTATTTTATACAGACAAACCGTACACAGGTTTCTGTTTTAAACGAGCTAAATGGAATGTAAACCATAGAAGATTATTGGGCAAATAAATATAGCGATTTTTCCGGGATTAGGTGCAACGCTTTTGGATGATGAATTTATTGTGTAAAAAAGAAGGTATTAAGATAAGCATAATATTTTTTTAAAGAAGTCCGAATGCTAAATACCTAATGTCTGAAGGCTGAAGAAGTTTGTAAGATACATTAGCATTGTATCAGTTTTCTCTTTTCATCCTTTGCATTAAAATCATTGTTTGATTCAAAGGCATTGTTTATTGAATTATTGATCTGCGATGATATTTTTCAAGCTTGTTGTCGCATTATACGCTCGTTTGCATACTTTGTGTTTGTCGTATCTTGTGTAATTCTGACATGTAGCCCTGAAGATGTGAATATATTTGTTAATGACTGGATATTAATCTTTATGGAGAAAAACACTTTCGTACTATGATTTCAGAATGCTGTTATCGGGGTGTAATATCAGCGTGTAACATCGTAACATCATACTCGAATGCAATAAAATTAAGAACGCTTAAGATCGTAGTTCAAGAATTTTAGTATCCAGAAATTTCTAAAATTAACTAAATGCAAATTCAAAGGCCATTTAAGGAACCTAAAATCCTCAGCAAAAAGATAGATATTCAATAACACACATATTCTGCAGAAAGTGTCTAGTATACCTTAAAGGTTTGAATAGTAGTATTTATTAACCTTGAAAACATTTTTATTTAGAAATATAATAAATCAATGAACTTACTACTCTTCTAAGAAACAAAGATAACTATGGATCTGAAACCTTGGAGCTCTGACTACAGTATAAATTTGCGAAACTGACATCCGTAAGAGAACTGAACATGGAAAAAGGATCCTTCTGAGATCAAACCTTAGGAAGCAGAAAGTACTATAACGATTCAAATTTTATGAACCTGTCTTTGTAAGGATAAGTTTTACTAACGTATATTTTGTTCTAAAACTTTATTATCTTTTCTTATTTTTCACTTCCGGCCAGAATTAAATGTGTTAACTTGTTTATGCAAATTGTACTTGCTAACGCCCAAGTATTTAAGTTGTGGCTTTTTGCCAAGAGAGAGAGAAGGAAAGTGAGCCGCCTTCCGACTGCATTCTGTACGAGTTTTCAATCAGCTGTTGTCCGCCTTTAGGGCCAGAGGTTTAGTTCTCTTGATATTGTAAAACGTATTGTAGTTTCGGCAGTTTGAGTATCACAAACGTAATAATTTAAAAGGCCAGTCTTAGTGTTAGGCATTTGTAAACTAATTAACTAATCAAAGTTAGCTCTAATTTAAAATTTTATTTAGGAGTTTTATAGTTTTGCGTTCAGACCACAAATGGTTGGTCTCTGTATCCCGAAGTGTGGGAGCACCTGTAATCTTGCAGAGAATAAAGGGTAAAGTCAACCCTTCCTGCTTGTGTCGTCCATTCTACACAAACTTGAACATGGTTTGAGTACTCTCCCTGTTCCTATTCAGGATACGTAATGTTTCCGAAGCAGATAAAAAGGAATACGAGTCCTGATAACTTTAATTAATTCCATTTACTACGAACGAAAGTTTTAATACTGGACATTAATTTATTGTTTTTATACTTCTAGAATCTTTTCCATTTAATTTTAGAGAACGCGAATTTTTTTCTAGAGAAATTGGTTTAGTTTTCCCAATAGTAAACTGCATTAGATTATAAACTATATTTAAAATTTTTTAAACTATATTTAAATTAAGTTAATAATTAAGTAATTATTTAAATTAAATTAATAATTTAAACTATATTAAATTTAAAGTCATTGCTTAAGTTTCCTTGAGGAACTACATATTAGAAATTATTAGACACTCTAGATCTTAACGACTAGAAATTACTTAGTAATCGGTATAAAGGGGAGGAAATACGTAGAAAAAAATGAAAGTTAGACTGAATATAGGTTTATTGAGATTACGGCAAAGCACACTAGGGCTATCTGCCTAAGAGAAGAGATGCCTTCGTGGAGAACTTTCTAAGGGGAACTGACACGTTACACATTTAGACTGAATATAAAAAAATCAACTTAATATAAAAAAGTTGTAAAATAGTTTTCTAAATTTACCTCAATTTCCAGCTGCTGTTTGATACTCCTTTTTGGAAGAACAACCTTAACTGGCTCCTTGCTAACTTTTTGCAGAAACCATGGTGTTTTCTCTGTATTAATTTCCCGCTTTCTTTCCAGAGCAATTGCTTGTTTTCTGGAATTGAAAGACATACGACGGAATGGACTTTGGGGCCGAATTGTGCCCGTTCTTCGCATAGTATTACCATCAATTAAACCTTCAAATCTATTTCTTAATGCATCAACCGGGCTTGGTGGTGTGATACTATAAGGTGTACTTTCTTCCGAATCGAAATCTTGCGGCTCATCATTATTTGTTTCACCATTTACTTCACCATTTGTTTCTGTAGCTGCTACTCCTTCTGCCGCCGTTTGGGTATTCTGAGCATCATTTTCTTCCTGAGAATTTGAGTGACTAGATATTTCCTGAGCAAGGTCTTGTGCGGAATCGTTCATGACATTTGTATTTGCTATGGAATTTTCACTTCTTTCCTCATCAGTATTGCTTTCAGGAATTTGAGGTTTTTGTATAGCGTGTGTATTGAAATTTGACGAATTTATATTATTTTCTTCGAGATTTTTAGGTACTGGAGATACCTTACCAGACTTCTTTTTGTTTTTTAAACGTACAGAAATATTTGTATCTTCTTTTGATGGAGATTTAACTGTGCTTGTGCCGCCATCATTTGATGAACTGCCAGCGGAGACATGACGATTCAAAACTGATTCCTTTCCAACACTTACATCTGAAGGCATTTTTTCACTTTGCGCTGCCGATATTTCATGTGCAGTCTGAGTATTTGACCTAGAAATATCAGCTTCCGCGTCGGTATTGGATTCATTTATCTCCATAGTATCAGTATTAGCGGAATTTGAAATAACTTTGGATTCTTGTAAGTCTGCCGATGTGGCAATATTTTCCGCATTCAAGTTAAATGTTGAATCCCCCTTAGCAATAGATGTGTCCGTGCTGGAATCAGTATGCCTTGCAGAATTCGACTGAGTGTCACTTGTGTTTGCTTCTTGGTGTTTAACAATGCTTACATTTTCTGTAATTGAAAAAGATTTAGGCCTACCTTTTGAAACAGTTTCACTATTAACCTCATTGAAAATATTTAATGCTAAATTATCACTAGTATTTGATGTTTTCTTATTCGGTGATGAACTTAATTCTTCAACTGCAAGTTCATTTTCAGAACTTTTTAATACAGCAGAATGGGTTTCAGATGTTCCTATTTGGGTAAGCTCTGAAGAAAGGGCTTCATTTACTTCGTTTGAGTCATGGAGTATCATAGACTTTGTTTGAGACAACGGAGATTCTCTTTCAATGACTCGGTCTATATCTTTAGGCTTTGGAGATATGCTTTCAGTATTTAGGGGTGTGTTTTCAGACACTTGGGATGAAGGTGATGGAAAAGATCTGTTTTTCATGGAAGACAAGCTTTCAGACATAAGAAGTCCGCTTTTATCATCTAAAGTCTTATTTTCTCTTAGAGGTGATGACGCATCTTCAGAAATAAGAGGTGAAATTTTAGTAACAGAATTAGTTTTAGCCATGGAAAATGGTAATTCAGTAGAAGATGATGAACATTCAGCAATAGGAGTAGAAATTTCGAAAACTTGAGACGAAACATTTTCAGCTGAAGCTCTACTTTCTATAAAGGAAGAGGAACATTCAGGTAGTGAATATGAGCTGTCAGGTACATATGTGCTCTTATATTTTGTGGATTTGGAGTTCAATGACACAGGAGATGCAACTGAGGGGACGGGAAGTGAGCTTTCTGTTATTAAATTTGAATTATCAATTCTTCTTGATTCATTAGTCTCTTTTATTTTTGGATCACTATTACCACTATTGTGCGCGCTGTTTTCTGCAGTATCATTATGTTGAGGCTGCTGTACTACCTTTCCTCTACTTTCCAGGACCTCCATCACAGTTTCTTGAAAAAACGTTTCTCCCGTTTCTTTGGCAGTTGGATCATGGACTATGACAGAATCCATAGAAAGTATTATAGTTTCTTTCTTCCCTTTAATATCATCTACAATAAATGAATTCAGTTCATCAGTACTCCGTTTTCCATTAAGTGCATTATTTTCAGATGCTGAATTACTTGGTGCAGAAGATACGACTGTAATCTTAGTATCCGAGTCTAGCAATTTGTTTGACGGTTCGGAAACTAGGTTATCGGATTTTTCCTCAGATCCGTGTTCAGTTTTTGAAGCAGGCAAGTAATCTTTTTCTTCGATAAGTGGTTGGCTTATTATTTCTGATATAGTTGTATTTTCAGTTAAACTCTTGTCTTGTTTTTTTAACGAATCATTTATCGAAATTTTATTTGCTTGAGTAGTGTTGATTTCAGTGTTACTTACATTTATCGCAGTATTACTAACTGTGCTAGCTGTGTTAACATAAGGAAGTTTTTCATTGGAATTCTGGACGTCTGTGTTTTGGATTTCATTAGTGAGATTGAATGACGTCGATTGTGGTAATCTCGCATCAGCTTGAAATAAATTGCGATCATCAATTTGACTGTTATCTAGGGATTTCATTTTAGAAGTTGATGGAACTAAGTGCATTCTTTCAGAAGATTGATTTTCGTTTTGTTCTGATCTCTCTTTTGAAGTTTCTGCAATTGATATTTCGAATTTACTGGAAAGTGGTGTTAAGGAATTAGATTTTGGTTGTTGTTCGTGTTTGATAGTTTCTCTGTGTGATTCCATTTGTCTGTTTAGCATTCCTTCACTGGCTTTTGCAGTATTTTTTGCAAATGCATTTGAAATTTCTTCCTTACCCAATGTTAACGATTTACTGTTACCAGATTTATTAGAAGGTAAATCTTCAATTTTGATTTGTGTTTCAGATTCAGCCTTTTCGTTTTTTATCGCATATATTCCTGCGTTCTTGTTAGATAAAGTTTGTTCAGAAGATTTAATTTCTGTTAATTTTTTTGTTGCTTTATGAGATTTATCAGTTAAATTTTGCTTTTCCACTACTGTGTCTTTTGAATCCCGAGTTGATAAATTTTCTATGCTTTTAGTAATAGAATTTCTATCATCAGTACCGAGACATTTTATGTCATTTATTAATAATTTTGTTTTAGTTTGCTCCTGTTGCTTCTTTTCTGATAACTCAGCTTTTTCTATGTTTGAAGCTTGTATTTCTAAACTATTCGCATGATTTTCCGTTTCAGTACTTGAGGAAGCTTTTATAACAAGCGTATTTAGTGGACCATTATCAACATCAGCAATATTCTCGTTTGAAATTCGTTGTTCTGATATCTTTTCGATGTTACACTGATGCGTGCTTTTCTTTTCTAATTCTGAAGTGAAACTTGATGTTTCTTCTGCTGCCATAGGTTTCACTGAAGTAAGTACAACTGATTTAATATCATTATTGGACACTAGTGATTCATGAGGAATCTGACCTTTGACAATAATTGTTCTACGTTCGGGTGCCGAACAAGGCAGTTTCTTTTCATTCCTACCTGAACCGGTTACAGTGTCCTTAATGGCAGATATAGTGTTTTTCAAAATATTAAAAGGTCCATAGTTTTTTGACTGACTTGAAATAGAACTTGTTTCTTCAACGGTATCATTTTCAATGATATTTTTTGGGGATGTCTCAAGTTCCGTATCACAGAAAGTAGATGTTCCACCATTCTGATCTTTATTTTGATTCCTTAGAGATGCAAGCTTGCTCAAGAATCCAGTACCTTTCTTTTTTGTTTCTATTTGGCCTGGTATCACAAAAAACACATCATCAGATGACGGTGAAGCTGCATTTCTTTCCAGTGTACCGGAAGAAAAAGCATCGCAATAGTCACTCTTATCACTTTCAGGAGTTTTCATATCTTGAGAATGGTAATCATCCTCTTCAACGTGCTGTAGGTCATCCAGATCTCCTTCCTCTTCTTCATCAGGTTCTTCATCGTCATCCTCCCAGTCTACATCTTCTTCCCAAATTTCATCGCTCTCTATACATTCTTCTTCGGGTTTATGCCTGTCTTCAATACTTTCGACGTCATCCATTGTCAAAGGCATGGCTCCATCTTGGTTTTGAACTCCTTCTCCGGCACCCCATATCCTCATAAGAAAAGGTTTTGATGTTGATTTAGTCAGTTTTGCGTAAGCTCCCTCTACATCTCCTTCACTTGTAGTCAAAGCATCGACTATATCTTTACGGCTGAATTTTCCTCGAGTACTCAGTTCCAAGAACTATAAAAAAGTTATAAGTTACAATTTAATAATCAATATCACAAATAAGGCAGTTTGAATTGAAGTAATTAAACAATAAATAAAATAAAACTGTAATAAGATATCAGAAAATTTCTTCCAAGACTGCATGAGCACTTTATTTTGAAGACATCGGATGGCGTTAAGCAGTTGTGCAATTGATGTATCAATTTGAAGGTTCCATTTTGATAGCAGGTTGATGCATGAAAGGGTCCTATACAAAGTTGTTGTGCTATTGCTTTACTGAATAACCTTATACAACGTTATTATCTTACTAAATGACATCGTTTAGTGAAATTTTCAAGTAACCAAAAGTGGAAATATCTTTCTTAGAAATTTGGATTACAGGATTTAAGTTACCCACTTAAAGTTGTGGCTGTTGACGAAATGTGAGCACTGTTGTACAATAAACTGAAATTTTACTTTCAATTATTTGATCCTGATCCTGAAACCAGAATACTGAAGTAGGATGCAATCTCCTTGCTCTGTGCCATGGTAAGTAATCTGATCCCTTTATATATATAAACAACAACGTAATTATGCAGCATAATTTGTAATAATCATAAGCAAATATGACATTTAGGTGCTTAATAATGAACTTTAGGAGAAGCAGTGATTTCACTGTATTAAACTTCAAAATATTATTTTGCTTAAAGGGATATTGAATACTTTATTTATTTGCTTTAATGTGTAATTAATGAACTGAAAAATCATATTTTTGAAAAAGATAATACTTATGCGTTCATATTATCTAAGCTATACAGAACAATTATTTCTACAGTCATTGAAATTTTTATTATGAATTATTATATATATATATTGAAATTGAAATTATTATATATATATATATATATTTTACTAAAATTAATCTTAGGAGATAATATAATCAACATTTCTTTAGTAAATAAATTATATATATATATATTACGTATGTTATGTATTTTATATATTATTGATTAATGATTTTCCCCACTTAATGAAAAATAAAACCGTTTAATAATTTTAAGATAAATATTCAAAATTTGAAATAAGTTACATAAATTGAAAATTATAAAAGTGTACTTTATCAATAACAACGAATAGAATATATTTTTTAAAGTGCATACCTGCACTTTTATGCAATATTATGAACAGACTGAAAACTCCTCAGTTTAAATTGTTACATTGGCAAGAAAAAAGGTATTAGAAGATCGACACCGAAATTTTTCGTACTGGTTGAAAGAAAAGTACTACGTTTACACGAATAAAAGATCGGATTTTTGTTCCAGTATTGGGAAAAGGCGACAGTATTCCAAATACATATATATTGCAATAAAGTTTGTTTGGAACAAAGGGCTTGTTTTTTTCATCTATCCCACCATTTATTGAAAAATACCAAATGATAAAAAAGCATTAAATGCTTTTGAACAAAATTAAACAAAATCCTTTTTAGGCAAAATTAAACAAATTAGGCAAAATTAATTTTCCTCTTTGGAAAAGGGAAGAGCTAGTCTCGAAACGCAATTTTGCATTGTTTCAGATTTCATTCGAATCTGTTGCCTTTCGGAAAAACATAAGCTATTATTCTTTCATATCGAATCTGTTTTCTACCGACAAACAGACTAAACTATTTGAAAGCAATGGATGCAGTTCTTGGAAATAATATTTCTGTACTTTTTAATCTGATCGATTTAAATAAAAATGCATTTAATTCCTGATTTATCTAATTAAAAACATTAAATATTTTTTATAAGATTACATTGCATATATATATATATATATGTGGGAATCATCAACAACCAATGCTGAATTAGAATACCAGATGACGTCATCAGTATAGCCCAGCGCAGTAAGAATCATCCCAAACGGCGAGAGATAGCGTCAGACCTGGTCGAGAGCGGAAGGTGGACGTGAGCAGACGGCTCACTCGTTTTCAAGAGTTTATGAAATTTAGATTCTGCTTTTGATTTTTCGCCTTTAGCTGTGATGACTTTAGATGATCATACTATTTAAAACTAGCTGGAATTAGAACTCTGTGTAAAGGGACTAGGACTGTCTGTGATTGTACATCATTACATGAACCATTCAACATTTAAACTTTACTTAATTTATCTTTATATTTTTTTTATTTCTTATCTTTTAAATAAAAGCATATTCTAAAATCGTACGATGCTGCTCTCATGATCTGATTTAAAAGAGAATTCTACATATATATATATATTTGCTTTTTAAATATACAGAAGATATATAACGTTTCCATGTTAGTCTAAAGGCATATTCATCTGCTATTCCGTAAAACGTTTTGCTAATCCACCCGAGCCATTTCTATTCATAATTTCTGCTGATAAGCCATGTTAAACTTTAAAAGAGCACTGAACGTTGAGTGAACGTTAAAACCTGGGCTCTTTCAGAACTTCATTTTTTATATGTGCTCAGAGTGGAAAAGATGCTGAACAGGAAACTATTTTAAGTCTTGAAAAGTCGTATTTTTAGTTGCTGATAAAAATTACTATAAACGACATTCACTTAAATAGTAGTTGGCTCTTTGTAGTCGTCAGCACGCTGTTATTATTATTATTATTTTAGTAAACATGCGATGCATTTCTCTTTCATTTGAAATACAAATTTCTAGAAGAAAATTAATTTTTGTTTAAGTAAGTTTTAAAACTGAATTAAGAAAAGTAAGCCTACCTTTTTATTGAAGTTTATAAGGTATTTTCCCCGCCTTCTTAGCATGCCTTCGTGGTGTAATGTTCAGCACGCTCGGCGCGTATTCAAGAGGTCTGAGACTCGAGTCCCGGTGAGGGCATTGTTCATTTTTCATGTCTTCTGCTTCGAAATAACCTAATATCTCCACAGTAGCTCCCAAACTAAAAGGCGGTGGTGGATGATGATTCTCCACCACCAGGATTTGGCGATGGGTCTCCTAATCCCCAGTCGCCCTTTAAAAGAAGGAGTATATAAGATGTTTCTCCCGCCTGCTTAGCATGCCTTTATGGTGTAGTGGTCAGCACACTCGGTTATCTATTCGAGAGGTCCCTGGTTCGAGTCCCGGCGAGGGAATTGCACATTTTTCACGTCTTCTGCTTTTAAATAACCTAATGTCTCTGCAAGTTTATAAATAGGTATTTACCACACATTGCAGCCTAACTCCTGCGTCGTTTACATTAACTTGAATTAACATTATAATTTAATAAAATAAGCGTTGGACTGCATATTTTTATATATTATTTAAATCAGCGAACATAATTAAAAAAGTGTAAATAAATTAAAAACAAACATAATTTTTCTCGAGTTAAAAAAATGAGATGCAATAAAAAATAGAATTCCGCTGGAAACTTTAAAAAAAGTGTTAAGTCATTAGCGTCATTACAGAGCAACCAACTTATATTTAAATAATAAAGATAGCCCAAAATGCCCTTACTTTAGAGAGTAAGTGAGATTGCTAATCTAATCTTTAATGCACTACTACTGATGATTCTAATTCTTTTCCCTTCCTCCCCCCAAAATAGTTTTGAATAAATATTTTAATAACCAACAGACGTAGCAGAATTAATTTTTATTATATTCAAATTTTCATTACTTTTTTCACCTCAAAAACATATTTTACCTCGGTATGCAAAATAAGTAAGATACGCATGAATAAACGAAACTTTTAAGAAGCAATTTAATATCATCACCAGTCATAATCTGAGTAGATACCTAATAATTATTTTTTAATCCGTGAGAATTTTTGGAGAATCTTCTTAACAGTTTATTATAATATTAAGGTAACAAATTGTTTTACAATTTAGTTAATCAGGATTACTTTGACTGAAATTTTTGCTGCGATCTAAATGATACACGTAACGTTCAATTTGTTGGCATGTGCTATTGAACTAAAGCAGAGTTTCTTAAACTCTGACGACGGTCGCAACCTCAGATGGGGTCGCAAATCGAAATTTTGGGGTCGCGAAAATTCAATTCGATGGCTGAATTTAAAGAAACTGTATTCATAAGATTTTTAATGAAATTACATTAATTGACATTAATGAGATTAGACTTTTAAAGACATTATATTAATTGATATTAATGCGATTAATTACCTATTATATAAAGTGCAAAAGGAATTTGTAAAGCTATCTAGCGATTCAAATTTAATAGTTGAGTTTTCGCAAAAATCCTTGATGAATTTTGGATCGAAGTTAGAACTATATTTCTCCCTATCTCTGAAACGGCATTAAATATTCTTCTCCCATTAAGCACTACATATTTTTATGAAACTACTTTTTCAGCGTTAATGCTAATTAAAACCAAATGTCGTTCAACGCTGAAACATGCTGAAGATGCTTTATTTCCAGCAATGTCCCACCAACATTTAATATCGCACCAACATTTAATAAAATAAATCCTAAAATGTAACAATTAATAAAATACAGTAAGACCCCGCTTAACGCTGTTTCGTTTAGCGCTGTTTCGGTTTAGCGCTCTTTTATTTCAACCCGGGGATTCCACGAAATCGCTCGCAGCATACGGGGATTCCCCGAAATATTATGCAGCGATAGGTTTCAAATACATATCCGAAAGAGTGTACTTGTATTTCTTGTTTGGTGCGGTATTGTACAGACATATTTTGAAGGGGTAAATGTGGAAGACGTCGAAGAAATAATTCAAGAAGCAGCGGCTAGTCTTTCTAATGATGAGCTCAAGGAATTAACTGAACAAGAAGAAAACAAAAATGTTGACAGCAGTGATTCAGCAAAAAGAACTTTCGATGGCGTTTGTAAAAAGGAGTTTGTCTACCATAACTGAAATAATGGATCAATTCATTGAAAATGATCCGAATTTTGACAGGAGCTCAAAAGTAAGGCGTGGTGTTAGAGATGCTCTATCCGTTTATGAAGAACTTTTAAGAGAACAACGCAAAAGAAAAAGGCAAACAACATTAGATGCTTTTGTCACAAAAAGGCAGAACACTGAAAACGCGGAAGGCTAACTAAATACGACTGGCTTAGAATTTTTTATTTTATTTATTTATTTATTTTTTTTAAGAATATTCGTTTTGTTTATTTATATTTTGTTTTTATTTTTGCAAGAATAATAATGTGGTATTAATTTGGGCTTTAAGAAATAAATGTTTGGTTTTATTTTTTATTAAAAAACATACTTTTTAAATTTAATACCTAACCAATTTCCTAGCCATCTTCCCCTAACCCCAATATTTACATGTAAAGATAGCCTCGTTTAGCGCTGTTTCGCATTACGCTCTACTTTGATGGAACGTATCCCCCGCGTTAAGCGGGGTCTTACTGTAAATCCTCATTTTTATATGTATATTGTTTACCAAAGAAGTAAATTATTTACGGAGGATATTTGTTTTTTATATCCTTATTTTATATTAAATAACTGGGGTCGCGAGAAAATAATTGTAAATAACGAAAAAAATATTGCAAATAACGAAAATAGAACCATCATTAGACATGAAGAAACTGTGTTATGAATGGTAATATTTAGGACAGAACTTGAAAAATATTATTGAGATCAAACTTGTATAAAAAGAGAGAGAAGTTTCCCTTCACTAAAATGTTTCTATCCAAAATATGTGCAATTAAATTACGAAACATAGTGCATGAAAGCAATTTCGAAGTACTTGGCATTATATGCTATTGGTGCTGTCATTCCACTTATTTTTATTTTCCTTTTCTAACACAGTATTGCACCGTTCCGCAATTTTTTTCGCATACTACCCGGTTAATCAGTAGCTGGGATAATCCGTCGCTAATTAATCAGGATTTGACTAATACAGGAATGCTAGTATAGTGGTTAGTTTAATATATGTACTGCCGAAGCAAGTACAATAGTTTAGTGGTTAGTGACTTCGAGGCTGGAATTCCTTAGAAAGCGTGGATGTTTGTAAGCGTACAGTATCTGTGTGGCAAGGGGTGACTCAAAATAAACGGCGAGAGCAAAGTTCTTTCGAGAGGTTGATAGTAAAAAAAAAAGAGGGATGGGAGACCCTCGGACCGCTCCTTGGAATGTTCTTCGTCAAAATAGGGAAGGAAGCTTAACAGATAGATAGCTTCAGCAATACTTCAGTCACCTGTGGCACTACATCGGTGCTGGCCTAACTGCTACATGTATTTAGAAATTACTTTTATTCACAATCTATGAGCTTTTACCCGCATTTAGGAATTAGGATTCTTTTGCATATAAAAATTACTTTTATTCGTAACCTATAAGCTTCTACCTGTATTTAGGAATTAGGAATCTTCCGTGTTTAGGAATTATTTTTTATTCACAAAGCTAACTAATTAACCACATAGAATCCGAAAAAAAAATATATGCATTGTACAACAAGAAACAAGACGTTTTAACTGAATTTCTTATGCGGGTTTGAATATTTTGGCCATTCTTCAAGGTTTCTCGTAAATTTTGTTCTGTACTGTCACTTATTACTTAATTTCTTCATTTCTAGCGATGTTTATTCTTCTGCTGTTTCACAGTTTTCTTTTTGCTTTGAATATTGATTTAGTTTACTTAACCAAATTAATTTATTCACCGATACTCACTTAAAAATAAAATAAAATTGTTATTTTTTCCGTTAACTATAATTTGGGTTATTCCCCTTTCCTGTAGTTTTTTAACTGCCTTCGAATAAACTACGATTTTGAGTTAATCATGAATTTAATCTTCGGTGCTACCCCAGAAGTCGGGCAGTTGACTATAGTCTATTTTTCTTGTATATGAACTTTCCGAGTACCTTACTTACCTTTCTTTGCCTGCTTTCAACACATTCTGTGACTGCTGCCCAGATGTTACCCTTATGGAGTCTCAAAGCTTCCCTGGCTTCACTCTCGCTAAGCACTCCAATATCGTTTTCTTTTTTATCGTTACCGTAATTGGTGGATAGAGTGACGACACTGTCTACCATATTTCTCCAATTTTCTTGTAACCAGTCTATAGGAGTCTGTTTCCCACATTTGCTTAAAGCTATTTGGATATCCTCGGCAGTAAATCCTTGTTGTTCGGCTTCCTAGAAATTAGATACAATTATATGTATTAATGAAAATTAAGAAAAATCATATCGCTAAGCATTCAAGTCTTTCTGCTGAAGCATGTTTTGTTTAAGAGAATGTATGTGTAATTTGTTCATAAAAACTACATTCTAATATAAGATAGCTAAATTCATTTCGCTCTGAAAGAATAATATACAATAAAGCTATACATTTATTGCAATGTTTTCTTTCACTTTGAGGTGAAAATTAGTTAAGCAGAGACTAAAATACTTATTATTTTTACATTAGAATGTAACTACTCTTTAGAATTTTATTGCATCTCTTTTTGCACATATATTTGCAAATAAGAGCAAATAGCAAATAAGAGCAAATATAATTTTTTTTTTGAAAAGTTATCTAAATATTTTTTGAAGCATCCAAATGCTTTGTTACTGATTGTTTGAAGCACGAACAGTTAGAAGATTCCTTAAATCGCTTTAAAGTGGAAGTATAAATGTAGTAATTGCTTCAGCGAACTGTAAAATCTTCTGACTAATAACATACTTTTCATACTGTTACTGAAAACATTCAGAGCAAGCAGAACTCTATTAATTGCTTAGATAGTAACAACGCCTGCACTTTTCGCAAAATAATAAATTAAACTTTACGCAGGATCAGTATAATTGAGAAGCAGGAAATTAAAAAAAAAAGGAGAAAAAAAACCTGCCGTTGCCCGAAGTCGAGGACTGGATTGTTGTCCTTAACAGTTGCATCGCAAAACGACGTGGAAGGCAAGCGTTTCATTTCATTTAATTTAATTTAGAGAAAACGTATTGTGAAATAATGTAAAAATCATGTTTTTTATGCGTTTTATATGTCATGATTTAGTTATACGTTATGATTTATCAGTGATTATACAAGTAATTCACAATAGTTTTTATTATGATTCGTAGTAACTACTACTTTATAATATTCTCAATGAATGTCAGGGCTCAGTCAAATGAAACTTATATTTTATCATAATAAGTACTCTAATATACATTTGTAATAATTTTAGGCAAAAATATTTATTTAATTTCAAGATACTATCGGTACTAAAATATGAGAATAGGCTATTTTAAGAATTCGTATATTACCATACATTTTTTTTTATCAAACAAGCAAACTTTAAGGTTTTGAAGTAACATATTCTTTCTGAAATTCAGGAAAGAGAGGGAAAATCGCTATAAAAGCTTCAATAAACTTTTCTTCGTAGTCATTTTTCTCACTGAAGAAAGTAAAATGGTTTAATACACTGTTACATGAGAATAGAACAATATTTTTCCGAAGCGAATTAATTTTAAAAATTCAAAATGGAGTTTTTCAACATCTATAATGTTTGGAAGGAATATGAATGAGTAGCTTGATAGTCGAAACCATATTACGAAGGAAGAAAAATAATTATTGTTTTTTTAATTATTCATTTGAGTAAGAAAGCTGATATTTTTTCTTTTAAAATACGCGAGCTCTTTCTTTCTTTCTTTTCCTTTTTCTTTTTTTTAATTGAGCTTTTAAAATGATAAATATGTAGAAGTTTTCTTACTCGTATCATTCGAACAAGTTCTAAGCCCTGGGCTCTCATGGTTTCTTGCCGTCTTCTTTCTACCAATTCTTCCATACTGAGGTAATAATCAGGCTTTCGCAAGTTATGGAATTCAGAAAGTCGACTATCCTGAAATGAAAAATTGGCGAATTTTAAATCTTCAAGATCAGTTAGCTATAATAATTAAAATTAAAGAACACTTTTGTAAAATTTATAAATTTCTATAAAGCTTCTGGCAACAGTACCGCTTTATCAGCTTTTAAAATTAATGTAAGTTTGCAATGTAAGGAAGTTTCGTGATCCGAAGATTATTAAAATATATAGGAAAATATTTGCTTCTTATGCATTTTTGCCCTAAATATCTTACTATACTTATCTATCTATCTATATCTGTAAGAAGCTTCTGATATTGGTCCTTAAATCTTATCTACAGTTCACTCAATCAGTTACCCATAAGAATTTAAAAAATTACGAAATATAAATATCTTCTTCTTGTTATATAAATTCTGAAATAAAACGGTAAAAGAATTGTTATTAAATTTACTATTAATTAAAATTTACTTTTCGCAATTAACTTTAAATATTACAAGTTAAAGGGTTTACAAATTATGCTTAAAAATTCTCCGTGTTTCCTACTTTCACAATGTTTCAAAATTTCGGGGTTAAGTTTATGAAAGCAAAAATAATAAAAAGCACAAACACTTTTCAAGTTTTGCTCACTTAGCATCGATATACAATAAAAAACGCTATTATTACCTTAAATAAAAATTTAATTTTTAAAGAGAAAATCAACTTATCGAAATTATTTTGGTATTCTAAGCTCATTTGATATTACACTATATTACATCTCTTATATAATAGTTATATATTTCTGACCACTGAAAATGCAATACCATAAAAGAGAAGATAATCTGGAAACTTTCAAGATAGACAGATTTCTTGAAAGATGCAAATTATTGTAGTCTCATCGTGAACGGCATGCAGCACAGGAAGAAACTCGACTCGTTAGATATAAAACAATGGGTAACTAAGGAAATTTCGAAACATTGTGCAAGTAAATTCGACTTATTTTTGTTGTGTTCCTTTACAGAATGGTAGAAATTTATGATTAGCTGCATTAATGTAAGGATTGAAATTTATGATTAGCTGCATTAATGTAAGAAATGTAGAATTATCTTCTTTACATTAATTAATGCATTAATGTAAAGAAGATAATTCTACATTTCTTAGTGAGAAAGTTAAAAGCTCTTAAATACAAGCTTTGAAACGAAAACAATCACCAGCAATTGTACGTTAACTGTGAATCATATAGCGTAAGATATCGGGTAAATTTTGAAAACATTCTTGCCTACCGATTACTAAAACTAGGATTCTCAACTCAGCGTCCATTGTTGTATTTTCTCTTCGCCACAAATGTCGGGGCTGAAATGGTATAAAGATTGATGAGAAAATTAAGACTGAGAAGAGCGCAAATATTGTTTCGAGGCAATGAATATTGTTTCTTGACAATATTCAATTTCAGTTCGAAATTGGATCACTTCACGGTGTACGAAATTGGATCAGTTCAGATCCAGTTTCGTACACCGTGAAGCTGGTTTACAGGTATTACAAAGAACAAACTTTCTGAACAAAAGAACTTGTTACAAAGAACGGCAGCCAGAAAGGTACATTATATGAATTTTATTTTGATTTCACTCTTAGCAAGTAATTTTGTAACTGTTCCGTTTCCTTCACACTCTTACTTTGCGATCATGATAAACAATCAGCGATACTTCAGAGATTTAAAGACATCTCCAACCGATCTTTACCACTATTTCCTATCAACATTCGGCACTTCCACTCTGACTTATTTTCTTACCCAATTTGTATTTCAAAAACAGATTATGATATCATCAAGAATGACTCATCTGCAGTCACTTGAATTGAAAAATTTTCAGTTCATACAGAATTTCTTTGAAACGATATTCCTCAGAGGGTGCTCCACAGTCTCCATTGATCAGCGCCGCGGCATGTACAGTAAGTTAGCATTTATCACTGTTCTAGGGGTAAACCCAAAAAACTAATCTTAATATATTCACACTTGCATAAACATTTAACTCTGATGATTTAAATTTTCTATCACTATGTTATCTTGTAAATATATTTCGTTGTAGCTCAAATCGTTACTGAGGTAACAGTTTCAACAAATAACGGTTCAATTTAGTAAATCTTTGCCGAGGGCGCGAATCTGAAGAAAGCAATTTTGCGTGTATAATACGCTTTATCTTATAATTGCGTATATAATAAGCATATAAGATATAATATGCGTATTAATACGCACGCAATTATAAGATATAATATGCGTATTAATACGCATATTATATCTTATAATTGCGTATATGCTTTATCTTAATTGTTTCCGTTTAATTTGTCTAACTGTAGAATTTCATTCATACGCGGTAGGCAGCAAATCATGGCCGCGTTGCAATAGCAAGGTACACTTTACAAGTTATCCCCCATGCACGCATCTGGTCATTTTGGAAGCAATTTAATATAAGCCGCTGCATAGGAATGAATAATGGAAAGAAAATGAATTTATCAACATTGAATGCTTGCTGCTGTTAACTCAAGCCAGATGCCTTCAACAATTTTAAAGGATTTCGATCAGTTGAAAATGAAGCCAAAGAAATCGTAGAAATTCCAAATGCAACTAGCCGTGAATAGTTTTGAGATAATGAAAATGTCAAAGAAACAATCGAGATATGACGAATGAAGAAGTGGATCAAGTATAGAAGCAAACTGCAGCTGCAGTACAAAATATAAAACGGTAGTGAAGAAAGATAAAACGTTTTAAACTTGAAAGAAGTTAAAAGTGAAAAAAAGGCGCAGGAACTGTCTGATTTTGCAATGAAGAAAGAAAATGAAACTTTATAACAGACGATGAAAAGCTCTGCGTTCTTTACTGCGAAATGTTTGAAAAGTAGCGTCAGCAATGTTTTTCAAGCAAAAGTCACCAGCTTTTTAAAAACTAATATTGCCATGTATCTACTTATTAAACATTAACAAAAAACCTTTCAATTAACATTTGTTTCATTTTTATTTTAATTGGAACAGTTGTTTAAATTGTGTATACTTTCTTAATTTGAATCAACCCTAATACGTGTTTTTTCTTGGAAAGTTAACTTTACGGAACGCGATTTTGCCGTGAGCGCAATGCATTAATGTACATAACTTCTGTGTTTATCAAAGGATTCAGGGATATTATAATATGTATGCTATTAATATAAAAGAACAAAATGCAGATTTTGCTTTAAAACTGAGATGTAGTTATGCTGCGGTGGCCTTATTAGTAATCTTTCAGAGAAGAATGAGATCTAAGAAGTGATTAAAAAAATACTAACCACAGTACTAACTTAGGCAAAATTAATTCCTGATAAATAATTTAGTGCTCCAGATTATTTTATTTGAGGTTTTATTATAAGTTTTGATGAAAATAAAAACGAGAGTTTAGACTTTCATGTCGGTATAAAATGCAATAAAATTTCTCAAAATCAAAAATGGGCCTATCCTTCCTTCTAATAAATATTTTTGCGTTCATAAAAATCTTCTTTGAGAATTATTGTAAATACACTCATGTCCATAAATTAAGGATAATTCGGAGTCACGCGGAAAATCGACTCTAAATAAATATATCACCTGTAAAATCATACGCAATCTTCAAGAATCATTGCAAATTTCGGAAGTAACCAGATGAACCGATGGTACGTCCAATGACGAGAGTGTAAGAGAGTGATATAAGAATACAGGTAAAGAAGTAAAATTGTTCTTAGGCGCTTTATAAGCATTTCAGTGCAATAACCGAATAGTTATGACACAAAGACGCATTTGGATGATTTTTTTTTTTTACGTGGGAGTTATCGGTCGTCTGGAATGTGGGGGTACCCAACTGGAAGTACCAGACGAACTTGGAATTGCCCAGGTGTATCTCCAGGCCTTGGCAACGATTCCAAGATGATGGGTAATGTGAGTAACGTTTACAGCACAGGTCGCCCCAAAGTTACACGCCGAATGATAACGGTATTTGGCAGTTACTGCCAAAAGAAACAGGGTGGAGCACAGCCTCAAACCTGTCTCGTCAGCTCTTTTCAGCCACTGGTAGACAATTCAGGCAACCGTGTACAGACGCTTAGAGCAGATTGGTCTATATGCTAGTAGACCTGTCAGATGCGTACACTTACTGCAACTCACTGTCGCCTGCGTTAGCCTGGAGTAGAGAGCATGCATTGTGACACTGCAACAGTGGGCTTGGGGGATGTTTTCCGACGATTTAAGGTTTAGCTTGCAGTCTGATTTTCGCCAGATTCATATGGAGAGCTCCAGGTACCCGTTCCCACCAGAAAACATCATTGAACGACACACCGTTACGGTGGTGCGAGTGCTCGTTTGGGGTGGAATTATTCTGGGTTTCAGAACTGACCTACATATTCAAATTGTACCATGACAAGCCAAATCATCGGGGACGTCATTTGAACAACATGTACGTTGTTTCGGGGCCATGGCGCACAATTGTGTTTATGGATGACTACGGCCCGTTCTCACCGTGCAAAACATCGTAAAAAACGAATGCCTTCAATCGGAGGATATCATCCGTATGACTGCCAGCATTGTCACCGGACTTGAATCCGTAGAGCACGTGTGGATATGCTTGGCCGACGAGTTGCAGCCCGTCAACCTCCTCCTACATGTCTACCGGAACTTCGTAGAGCATTGCTTTTTGAGTGGTGTAATATCCCACCCAAATCAGATCGATAATTTGATACTCAGCATGCCTAGGCGTTGTACGGACTGTATTGCATCGTCGGGGAGACAACAAGTTTAACAATCATACCAACCGTTAATATTGGTTTTTTGTAATAGGTTCTTTTGAAATTGCCAGGGAGAAAAAATCGCTAATTTTTTTAATAATACCAAACATCTATCTTTTTGCTTTACCTTTTGTTTAATAAATAAGCTTTACAAATAAGTCAATTTTTTTTGCTTCTAACTTTTCCTTTGCCTGATTTTGCATTATCCTTAATTTATGGACATGAGTGTATAAGCAATGCACAGCCATTACTCATATACTGTTTGAAATATGTTGTCAAATCACATTTACGTATAAATGTACGGTGTGAAACAAAATTGTCAAATAGCTTACGAACTTGGATTCATTTGTACGATTTAAGACGCATTTTTAATACTTACTGGATAATCGCCAGTCAGAGAACTTCGACTGACACTTCTGTACATAGGAACTGGTCCAAACCCGAATCCCGCGTTGCCAAAGTCCATTGGAGCAGTGTCATTTAGTCTCCCAGAAAAGAGGGATGCTCTGGAATGCGATCTCTGCATCAATCCAAACCCACCTAAAAAGGGCCTATCGTACATAGCTGGCAAAGGTGATGTTATTGTGTCCATTCTGTCTCCATAACCAAATGAATTGTTGCCTCCAAGTCTGCCAAAATAAGCTTCTTCTTCTGCTTTTTTACGTTGTAAATACTCCAGAAGGGTATCCTGTTGCGTCTGACATGATGAATCCTTTCTGGAGCTTGAGTCATTTGGTGGATTCTTCCTCTTTAAGTCTGGACTTTGAGCTATTGGAGAATTATATGTTTCAGATGTTGTGGAAGAATTGGAAGCTCTTCTAATTTCTGTCGCATTACATGCTGTCCAGCCAGAATCACTTCTTGGAGAACCGGTCTGTGTTTCTGTTGAAGTTGATGTTGTGGCTGTTGATTTAGTGGGTTGCTTGTTTGTAGCTAAATTCAGTTTGTCCAAAATGCTAGTGCGCATCTTGCCAGTAGATTTATAAACTGGCTTACCTTTCTCCGGGGAATCTCCTGAATCACTTATCATTTCATTTTTAGATTCAGTATTCTTTTGTTTTGTAGGCGTTTCTGATAGGAAATCGTCTTTCAATTTCATTAGTTCTTCCAAGCCGCGGCTTATTTCCTGAAAATATTTGAGATTATGCATTATACAATAATAGTTTTGGTTATTACGTTGCTGTTGTTTTTTATCATTAATGAGAAATTCTTATTCAATAGCTGGCCATGCAGTGCTCACCTTTTCAGCTTCATCCAAAGCAGAATTGAGGTTCTCCATATCCTGCTTATCATCCAGAGTTGCCTTGTTGTTTTCAACTTCCATCTTTTTTACCGGTGACCTACGATCGTCATCAGATTGCAAACTGTGTTTTCTACTCCCTGCGCATGCGCTACTGGGACGACTTGTCGAAACGGCAGTTCCTTGAATTGGAGACGCAGTTTTGCAGCAAACTTGACAAATTCGATTGTCACTGCTGTTTATAAAAGTACAGTGTTTACACTGCCATTCGCTTGTATGGGTAGCAGCTGCAGATCGTTGACCTGTATCACTTTGATCTGTAAAATGTACAAAGCACAATTTACTTCAATAATAATTTTAAAATTTTCAACGTTTAATTAAAAGTCGCTACAGAATTTTCACTATCTGCCGATAGAGAATTTCGTAATTTCATAAAATGTTAGTAGTCGTATTTAGTATAGTACGCTAACGGATTCAAAGAAAATAGTCATGATGGAATTTAGTTTTTGAAGCTCTTAACTGATTAAAGCATTTTTGTGATTTTTTTATAAGATTGAGTAATGTTTTAAAAGTTTTATTTTTAGTTATTTCTTTAGTCTGCATTATTTGTCTCATTTTTAACTTATTCCATTTGAGATATACAAAAAAATTTAGTTATTTTCTAAAAGGACGCAACCCATATCAGTTATGTAACTTCCATTTAATATGAAGTTGAATGAAGAAAGTTTGCCTGTTGCGTAGCAAGATGCCTTAGTACCTGCTGAGAAATAGATTCTAGACTGGTGTAAGCAAATGAACCTTAATGCCTACGGGAAACTGAAAATCGATTTATTTTATCAATAATACCCTGGACTTCAAGTGAGATCTCAGGTTAAGTGTTTGAACATTTGAAAAGCGTTTTGGCTGACACAGCTTTGTATATACATTAATCTCGAGTTAAAGTATGGCTCAATGTGTCACTTTTCAGATATTATGCGAATGTTGCTTAAATTGCGAATTGCGTGCTTGTGTTTTTCAAACAGTGGGCCATGATTAGGCTACTCAAAATATTCTTGTACTTTCATGGAAAATTTAATTAATCCGTTTCGATTTTAAAGTCAGGCCATTCACGTATTGATGGTATGACAAGAAAAAACTCTACTCAGTATTATATCAGACGTAGTTTTGAAAATTATCTATCAACTTTCAATTTGCTTGAAAATTACTTTCAATAAAATAATCTCGATACAGTATAGATTTAAGGCCGTCTCCAAGCTACATGACTCTATCTGAACTTCCTTCTGTGGAAGGAAAATCTCACTGAACTGTCTTGCGAAATGCTCTGAAGACAAAATTCGATGGCAGAGAGTTCGTTAACTTTTGAAGTATTATCAAAAGATGAGTCACATTTGCGTGACATCATGTTTGTGCAAAGCTGTGTTTTCAGTGGTGGATGTGATAAAAAATATATAATAAGTACCGCGAGAAAAATCATCATGGAAAAAGAAATAAGGCTGTTGTGTTCTGTTTGATTCTATGATTTAAAAAGTTATGGGCTGTCCGAAAATGGGAATTTGTTTCAGTAATTGGGACTAATTTATTAGATGATTAAAGAAAACGAATTATTCACTATATAATTTTCGGCATTCAATCCTTCGGATACTATGATAAGATTCCCTTGACGCGTTCTGAGAGCTTCCAGATTAGTTTATAGAAATAAGTTTTTGCAGCTCGATTTGGTCCTGTCATTAAACTTTTCATGATTTCTAACTTTCTGAAAAGCTCCTGAAATGGTACCTTATGAGAGGAGATTTCTCTTCAGGGAATCAAAAGTAATCTAAAGGTGCACATTAACCCTTTTTACTTTCTTGTACGAAGTAAAAAGGAAGCATTGTAATCGCGAAAAGCTTCAGGCAGCATATTTCAACGAAAATATCCACTTTGACCGCTTTCGAATGCAGTTTAACGATGTTTATGCGTAATATCTATACGTAAGGACAGAAAAAAGACCTTTTCCTCCAAAAAAAGAAACTGCTTAAAATGAATTCTGAAGAGAATTTTTCGTGGCGTCTGTACAAAGGTACGTACAGACGTACATATCTCGCATAACTCAAAAACGAGTGGCCTCAAACGTTGAAATTTTGTATATAGACTACTATAACATGTAAATGTGCACTCGTATTTTGGTTTCAATCGGCCGCACCAAACGTATATAAATTATTTATAAATATATCCACTCTGTTACCCGGTCAGTGATCTCAGTTTCTTTACTCTTATATTGTTAAATTGTACATTTTGCTTAAAAATGATTGAATTATGTTGTTTTATCTTCCGGTTAAGTTTTTATGCCTTTGTAATTCTGGAAGCAATATTTGTAATTATCACAATTTAAAAGCTGTTTTAAGTGCGGTTAAGTTTTAAATAACATGGCGAACATATTTGTTTACATTTGAAACAGCAGAGTTGTAGATTTGTTGCCAATCTAGAGACACTAAGCTTCGCAACACAAAAATAACGCCTTCATTTATTATTGCGAATTAAATCATGCTTAATCCTTTCTGGAATTAATTTAAAATTTGTATTTACTTCTTTTTGCTGCTGTGAAAGTTATGGCGGTTACTGGAGTTAAAAGGTATGGGTTCGACTTCCATGATACTCCGTATATAAATTACTTTTCCCTCACTCTACGGAAGCAGTATCAGTCTACCCCTGTGATGTATCGTGGAAAATATTCTCGGTGATCAGATGAATAAGTAACATCCCAGGAAATGCTCAACCATTTAAGAAAAACAAAATTATTTTCTTTTCCATTACTTCATCAAGGCTTCCTGGATTCAATTTGAAACACCGCATGAAACTTTAAATTAATAGCAAGGAAATAACTTAACAACAATAAAGAAAGTTATGAAATTAAAAGTTATGAAAATTTACAGTACAAAATTTGGGGGGGGGCAACAAAATGACACTAAATTTGCGAACTTCAGTAATCTTATACGAAGATTTAAAGCTGATCATGACTCCAGTATCTTGAATAACCTCTGTTAAAAATAACTGATTACACAATGACAAATTACCTGCATTTGATTCTCTTGATGAACGTCTATCATTCTTAATGTTAGCAGTATCTGGCATTTCGGCATCTGAAAGTTTAGATATTTCTCGTCGTTTTTGCTTTTGGACTTTTTTCGACTCTCCATGAGGACTCCTGGTAGCTGGAGATTCTGTCCTTCTTGAACTAGAGTCTCGCCGTAAAAGCTGAAAATTGCAAGATGGTTTTAAGTTAACAGAGGCAAACGTTTATGAAATCTATTAGAAAAAGTGAAATCTCTTAAAAGGAAATAAATTTTAGTTGCATTTCTCATTGTAGCAGTAAAAATCCAAAGATCTATGTTAGTGAGTTTGATATTTTACTCCACTCTACATGCAACAGTTTACACTGAAGCATCATAACTTTACATGTTATTTAAGATATAAGCGGCGAAAAAACATCCGTTTCACTTAACCTGATATCTTCACTAATTCAGCAAAATATTGCTTTAAAGTAGCAGCGAATACATTCGGAAATCATTTAATTAATTGCATATTTTACTCAGTTACGAAAATTAAATATAACCAGCAAAAATATCGTAGTTTCAAAACAAGTTAAACATTACAAAATCCAATCTAAAATATTTTTCAAATATGTGCAGAGGATAAAAACTCCTTCTTGTCATCCAAGACAGCGTTCTTAACAATCTCAAAAAAGAACATTTACGCTGGAACATTTACGCTCAAAAAAGAACATTACGCTTTGAAGCTAAATCCGAATTTAAATTCAGCTAGCTGAAATTATTCTTCACTGTTTCATTATACAGGTACATACGACGCCAGGCAAATGAAGGAATTCAGTAAATTACTAGAGTTTCATTCCTGTTGGTTTTTTCTTTTATATTCTTTCGTTTTGAACTGTATTTACATAGTACAGTGAAAAGTTGCGTTATACGCAACAGATAGGATTTTTCCTACACAGGCACGGTTTTCCTGCATAAAAGGCACGGTAAGAAACTTTAAGCGAGGAGTGACTTGCAGAGGGACATAAACCTAACAAAATTTTGATTAGGTGCATTACTTCGAATAGAACAAGCCATTATTTCTCAACTGTCTTGTGACGTTTTGAGTAAATCAAATTGAAAAGACACAGATTCGAGTAACTATTGAAATTTACGAGTAGTTTCATATTCATATGGGTTTCAAATGAGACCAAAAAATAAATATGAATAATATGCAACAACATTTTAATACTTGGTAAAATTAACTATTATAGAAGAGAGAATGTTGGATTTTTTTTTTTTTTTTTTTTTTTTTTTTGTTTTTGTTTTGTTTGGTAAAGGGGTCGGTAGTTCAGAAAAGTCGGAGTTTTCTATGTAATCTTCTGATCTAAGTAAAGATTCATGAGAAAATAACCTACATATCATTTTTTAAATACTCCCTTAAACTTATACTACTATTTAGATTGATTTTTCTGAAGTTTCTAGAAAAGAAAAATTACTTTTTTAAAGCCGACAATTATTGAATGCTTTTTCCTGGAATATCTATTGTGACTATTGTTTAAGGTATAAAAATCATTCGGCTTAAAGGTATAAACCTGATATATATATTGACTGAAATCAGCTTCACATAAAATTTGCCATAGCTCAGTGTGAAGAAAAACTGTCACGCGATGAATTAGATTAATTAAAGCAAAGCACGTGAGAGCTATCTGCCGAAGATGAGAGATGCTTCCCTAAAAGATTTTCCACAAGGAAATTGATTGGTAATTGCGATATACAGTGAGAGGACAAACACAAACTCGCATGAAACCAAAACCAGAAATCGCTTTAATGATGAATTACGTGCATGAGCAGCTTTAATACCCAGTTACTATCGGCATAACTCAATAGTATCAGTTTATACCCAGCCTAAATACGAACTGTATTAACTATGTTTTTTAGGTCTTATTCTATGACATAATATTTTCTGCTTTTTGAACACAAAATTGTCTTAGCACTCCATTATGCAATAAAGGTATTTATTGCTCCATTATGCAATCATTAATGCAATAAAGGTATAACGACTTCATTTACTTGAATAAAAACATGTCTGAATTTTGCTTTTTTCAAATTAAAATAGTTTTTTTTATTTAGTTTTATTGCAACAAAAATAAAAATCTGTTTGTTTTTAGGACCTATAAAAATAAAATGTAATTCCGTTATTTCAAATTAGTTGAAAATAAAAATAAGCTTTGTAAGTAAATAAAAGATAATTTTAATGCTTAATTTTATCGACAAATGCATGCTTTGTTTATGTTTTACATTTTTCAGTTGTACGATTTTTATTAGGAATGTAATTTTTAGTTCCATGTTTCTGTTGGGAAATATGCGTTTTTTTAGTTGCATGCTTTTTGGGGGCATTGAAATTTTTAATTGCACTATTTTGATTGGAAATTTTTTAGTTAGCTCTTTTTAGTTACATAATTTTTACTAAAAATATAACTTTGCTTTTGTTGACTAATAATTTTTGTTGTGAATACAGTTTTTTCAGTTATATGATTTTTATTACAAATATAATCATTTTAGTTGCAAGATATTTGTTAAGAATATTCTCATTGCTCAAAAAAACTCTTTCATCTCCATTACAGTATACTGAGTTTTGATGTAGATGAAAATGTAACACAGTCACTTGAATTTTCGGAGTATCTGAATGGATTGTGGTTCCATTAAGCGCAGATATTTGGATTTCTACGACACACAAAATGACTTTAATGAATTAAATGACATTAATTACCTTTTCTGAGTTATTACTAATATTCTCTTTCCTTCTTCCGCTGTCACTGGTCTCTTCTGATGACGTAGTCTGTGTTGCCAGTGGAGCTTTACGAGGACTGCGGGGCGGTCGTTCGGAAGAAGAAGACTTTGGGCGACTCATAGGTGAACTGGACACCGAAAACTCTTCGTCATCATCTTCGCTGGCCGCCTTTTTTCTCCGTCTTGTTCGGCCCACTCTATTTAGTGATCTGACAGAACTCGTAGGGGAGGGTGGAGCATCCATGGGAACTGGAGTTCCCCAGGGTCCTGGTCCATAACCGGGGGGAAATGGACCAAAAGGATAAAACTGTCCTGTAGAAGATGAAAAATATCAATCAAAAGGTAAATTTTCATTCACATCATTTTAAATAAAATCGATACATACTAAAAGTTTAAACAAAGTGTTATGATTAAATAAAATTAAAATAAAGGTATGCGAAACTTCATGAGTAATTAGTTAAAAAGTTCTACGAAAAATAGTAAATGATAATCTTTATTGCACAAATAACATTAAAGAAATTCAGTGAAATTTCCCTTTTTTCTTATGATCACTCAGATTTTGAAGTAAGAAAATTGAAGCTTTTGGTCGTTAACACCAATGAAAATTTCCCGAAATTACAAGGAAGTAAGGAAATTAGAAAGAAGCATATGTTTATAGTAATTTAAACTATCGATATTCTGTGTTTAAAGTATTTATTTTCTCAAGTTCCTTATTCTACTATTGTAAAATATAATATAAGAATTATTGCCAATTTAGAGATGATCTTCAGTACAGACTAAACAAAATCCTTTAAAAAGAGCTTTCGTGGTGCTTTAATTGTCGTTAGTAGATAAAAAAAAGGTGCCAATATGAGAAAATGTTTACTAATGGTTTTAAATTCTACTTTTTTCATGCATAGATTGGAGACTACATTGATTGTATAATATAAAATCACGTCCAGTTCCCCTCCCTTTTAATTAAGTAATTCGGTTTGTACTTCGGAAAAGGATATTTTACTTACCATGATAGGCCATTCTGTCCATCATGACACTTTGACTGCGTTTAGCTCTTTTCCTGAAGGGATACTTTTTTCCCGAATGGTGACGAGAAGATGCTTCCGAATCACTTAAATCTCCATCAGTCGTTGGTGGATTTGACAAGTTAGCAAACGAATTTCCAAAATACTGTGGATAATTAGGATACTGAGGATACATTGGGTAAGGATAGTGCGGTGGTAAATGAGGATTCATTGGATAATGTGGATAATGAGGAGGTGGCATTCCTGGCAACGGCATGCCATCGACATTTGACATTTTGTGAAGATCTGTCGCACTGGAACTTTGATGCATTGTAGCTGCGTGATTGACAGGGTAATTTGGTCTATAAATAACAGAAAATATATGTGATAAGTATTATATTAAAAAATTTTTTTGACTTCCAAATAAAGAAAACTAACATAAAACATACTACTTATTTACATGACTCTTCACAGGTATACCTCATTTATCCCACTTTGGCTCAGCTTTATCTTGCTACTATCCGATACTTTAATTAAGAATGTAAAATTTTAAATGAAAAATGTTTTAGAGACAAATTGAAAGCATTAACTATTCGGGTATAGCCTGTATACGGTACGCATATCTGAGTATGTCATATTAAAATGGAAAACATAAATGGACGCTGCCAAAGTTCTTTCTAGTTAACTATATGATGAAAGTTACTAATCTGGTGAACGTAATCTGTATCCTGTACTGATATGAAGAAATGAAAGATCTGCAAGGGGATAGTTTAAAAAGAGTTTATGAAAATTGACAAGGCGAGTGTGAATATTAGGAGCAAAAGATGACATTAAGACTGTATTTGGTTCGAAAATGGGTGCACAGGTATATAAAAGGAATAACGGAAAATTGAAAACATTAGCTGCTTTCGTTAATAATAAACATTTTGTAAATGATTATTAGAAACATACTTAGACAATAAAATACATAAAAAACAGTAAAAACATATTTAGAGAAATTATTATACGTGAGTAACTAACTAGGACCTATAACAAAAGCATGATACATGAAGTTAATTTTGCATAATAATACGCATTATATGCCAAAAAAACATTAAACTATTAGAAAGCCTGTATGTAAAATTCATAAAATACAATATTAGGTGTATGTCTATTATTTACTTCAGGAGGAATATGAATGTATGCTTAAAATAGTGATTCTCAACAAATTTTGCTCCATGCACTCCTTTCACCATTACTAGAGAATCATCCTCCTCCCTCCTTTCCAAAATTCGAAAAACGCATACATTTTTGGGCAGAATTTAAATAATCTGCGCATTATATAGAACTTCTGAAAAAATAATGGAGAGATTTTAATGAAATTTGATATGAATATACATTTATAACAGAAAAAAATATGTACCAAAGTATGGTACAGTAAGGTTCTTAGCACAGGTATATCCAAAATCCGAACTGAAAATCAGTCCCATATGGGGTGTGGTCCCCTCCTAGCAGTCAGCTTGATCGCGCTGCTTTGCGGGGTACTGGACATAAGACAGTTGAGAAATCCTTTTGATAGTGGAATATGAATGTATGCTTAAAATAGTGATTCTCAACAAATTTTGCTCCATGCACTCCTTTCACCATTACTAGAGAATCATCCTCCTCCATCCTTTCCAAAATTCGAAAAACGCATACATTTTTGGGCAGAATTTAAATAATCTGCGCATTACATAGAACTTCTGAAAAAATAATGGAGAGATTTTAATGAAATTTGATATGAATATACATTTATAACAGAAAAAAATATGTACCAAAGTATGGTACAGTAAGGTTCTTAGCACAGGTATATCCAAAATCCGAACTGAAAATCAGTCCCATATGGGGTGTGGTCCCCTCCTAGCAGTCAGCTTGATCGCGCTGCTTTGCGGGGTACTGGACATAAGACAGATGAGAAATCCTTTTGATAGTGGAATATGAATGTATGCTTAAAATAGTGATTCTCAACAAATTTTGCTCCATGCACTCCTTTCACCATTACTAGAGAATCATCCTCCTCCATCCTTTCCAAAATTCGAAAAACGCATACATTTTTGGGCAGAATTTAAATAATCTGCGCATTACATAGAACTTCTGAAAAAATAATGGAGAGATTTTAATGAAATTTGATATGAATATACATTTATAACAGAAAAAATATGTACCAAAGTATGGTACAGTAAGGTTCGTAGCACAGGTATATCCAAAATCCGAACTGAAAATCAGTCCCATATGGGGTGTGGTCCCCTCCTAGCAGTCAGCTCGATCGCGCTGCATTGCGGGGTACTGGACATAAGACAGTTGAGAAATCCTTTTGATAGTGGACCTTACTCCTGCAGCAAAGCAGTTTTTATCTCAAGGATGGTTCTCGGAGAGGATGGCGAGATGAAATTGCCCTCCTAAGAGCTCCTCAGACATCGTAATAAGGTTAAGATCAATAGATCTGGCTAAGCAATCCATGCGAGAAACATTCTCACTTTCCAGGTAATCGTCGATTAGTTGAATCTTAAGTTACAAGCGTTGTCGTCCATTAACAGGAGCTCAGGACAATCCGCGCTCTTAAAAAGTCGAAAATAGGGATCTAAGATCTCCTCTCTGTACCATGTAACAGTATGGTGAACTTTGTGAAACACATGATGGAGGAGTGTGCGGCTGTCCAAACCTTCTCAAACCATCACACCTCCACCACCGTAATGATCCTTTTCCCTGAAAAGGGAGAGACGGTATTTACTGTATTATTTTCCAATCTCTCTCCACATATAGGTACGGCGAGCATCAGTGTCCATACTGAATCTCAAATCATCTGTAAAATCACCGTGCTTTATGGAGCCGCTTGCTGTCTGCGCCATTCTGGCATACAGCCCTATAACATGAAGTCTTCGAGTAATTATAAAATGTGAAACTCGGGTTTCATTGGCAACATACAGCTCACATGAGATCTGCGAAGCTGTAGCAACCCTGCGTTGCCACGCTGAATGTGCGAAAGAACTTTCCTTATTCACCGTTGTGGATCTTGGTCGATTTTGTTTAGGTCTTCGCGATATGGATCTAATGTCCTGAACCTGCTTCCACAACTGTTTACACTGAGTATTACATTGGGCTCTGTAGCCACCTGTGCTTGTGATTGGCCTGCCTACAGTCTACCGACAATTCTCCATCTCATTCCGTCATCTGTACATTCATGGCTATTCATTTTACTTAATAAAAGACTCTACAATGTAATAGTTTAACAGTGTATACTGAATCTGCATCGTGTAATGAAAGAATACGTGAATAACACAAGCGCGTGATACACATTGCTCAGTATTCTATTAAAAGAATAAAGAACACCTTAGAATAACGTTGTTATTTCATAAGGGGTTTTTGTAAATTTCTTTAGCATTCCTGTTCTTGAGAAATTTAAATAGGTGGTTTTAAAATAAAGTTTGATTTAGTTGAGAGTTACGAAGAAGGCCCATATTTTGCTAAAACAAATCACCTGCTTGAATAAAGCTAAAGGAATAGACTAATCATCAGATCGGAAACTTATTAAAAAATTTAAAAGAATAAAATAATTATCAGATAGAAAAATTATTATAAGCTGTAAGATCAAGAAAAAAAATGGTTACAAAATAATTAACATTTGAAGAAATTTTGAAAGGTACTATCACGTTTAAAATTTCTTCAAAACTTTGTTGTAATACTAAAAACGGAATAAAATTTCTGTTGATACTACTATCATTCTCAATCCCCCATCAGTACAGCTTTATTTTATAGCAATACTACATAGCTTGCACCGAATCTGTATGCGACTAAAACCTCGTGTAGAGGCCAATTTAGGCTGAATACAGAATATATATTATGGAAAGCAATTCTAAAATTGAATATAGCATTTTATTTTTCCAGTCTTTAAACGAAACAGTCCGTTGTTCTAAAGACTTTTTTGAAGGGAAAGCATATCTTAGGCATATTATTAGAAACTAAAACTGCTAAATACTTGCTGTTCAACTATATTTTATAAAAACTATTCGTCTTTCTTCTTTGTTCGTCTTTTTTAAATTATTCATTTTAGATATAGAATCTTTTATCAAGTGTGGAAAAAGACTTAAGTTCTTATACTTAACTACTACTTCGCATAAATTGCAATCCCAGAACCGTTCAGTTTTAGATAATCCAGAATGTCGTCTAGTAGTTAACGGGACTGTACGAAGCATTTACTACATACGCAAGAGAAGCTATGCGTGCTGTACTCCTTCATAGAATAGATGCTACATTTTTTACACTATTCTAAGGAAGAAATGCCGGATTCTTACATTATTAGTTTTTAAGCGAGAGATACTAACAGATGCATATCTTATATTAACATCGCTATGCATAATAGATTCTGCGCATTCCACATTTCTATTATACGCTATAGGGAATTTAAAACTTATCTAACTCTTCTATGCAAGATGTATAGGGTGTTCGAAAAAGAAATGAGGAAAGAACGATACATATACACGATATTAATGTGTTTATTGCGTTATGATTTACACCAGGGTTTCTTAAACTTGATTTACACCAGGGTTTCTTAAACTTTTTCAGTCACGACCCCTTTTAATCACTGAGATTTTTTCGCGACCCCCAGGACCCCGCAATATTTACAAAATTTTGGGAGACTCCATAAGTATTGCGCAAACAGACAGGCGCGTGCGTGAAACTGTCAATTTCTTCACTTGTATTGTAATATACTATTGCAGTTTTAGGTCATTAACTTTAATTTCTAATTTTAAGACATAGAACAATGTGAAAATTTTAAATAAGTAACAGACGAGATGATAGCGTCACGTGCAAAGCAAATAAAATGAACGTTTATATTTTAAAAAGAACGTTTATATTATAAAAAAAGAACGCTTATATTACACAATTATTATACTTTTATATTATAAAAAGAACGTTTATATTACACAATTATTGTACGTTTATATTATAAAAGAAACGTTTTCGTTTTTCTTTGTCTGTATTGGTTTATCTTTATCTATTTTCAGATACATTGTGCAAAAATATTTGGTAATTGTAAAATTATTATAATAAGATAAAGAAATATCAAAACTGTTAAAATTTTTGGCGACCCCTGCTGCAGGTCCCGCGACCCCCTTGGGAATCGCGACCCACAGTTTAAGAAACCCTGATTTACACAACTGGAAATTTTAAGTGCCCCTCTAAGTGAGCGTCATTTATAGACTATATAGCTTGGGCTATGCCTAAGCAATACTTTACCTCATTCAACACTTTCTAAAACATTACTGAGGATACTTAGTCTTTCGTTTCCATAATTTCAGCATACAAATTTAGAGGTAGCATACAGCTCAGTAGCCAGTTCGCGCCTCTTCAGTCTTTCCAGTGAACAAAACTTTTTAAATTCTTCTTTACAGCTATACAAACCGCAATGCAGTAAACATATTGAATTTGGATATATTTTTGGCTCATTTTAATGCCCTTTGTTGCTTGACACCCTGTATTATACTATATCATCTTATACGATCATTTTATGGATAAAATGATATATGTTTCATTGATCTGTTTTAATTTTCAAAGTATAATGTATTTTAGTTAAGTAAGTACTAATGCGGAAAAAATATTTACCCTCCTTGCTGGGTAAAAGCATGTTGATTTTGTCTGGTTAAGGTGGCAAACTGCTGAGGAGGCGATTGGTTGTCCATCATGCGTGCAGCCCACTGATTTTCATCTCCTAAGCTGTAGCCTCGGTTGCGATTCATGTGAATTGCGTCCATTGTGCCGTTTCGCATCTGGAGGGAAAAATAAATAAATAAAATAATTTATTAAGCAGAGTTTGGTTGGCAATCACATTTTTATTTTACTATTACCTATAACTATGTGTACGGTTACAAAAAGTGGTGTTTATTGCATATGAATGGGTCCACTTTCTTTAGAAGAAAAAAGTCTAATACTTGCTCTAAAAAATGGAATAAAAATTATCAATTACTTCCCCGTTCGGGGAAATTTTCGGAGAATTTAATTTTTCAGCATTGCTGCTGAAAAAAGTGGATCGGTGTAAGTAGCAATTTCAAACTTCAAACACAAAATGTATTTAGGTATAACGAATGCATTATGCGGAAAACTATTTTTTTTTCACAGAGGTAGTAATGACATCTCAAGCAAGTTTAAAAATAAAGAGAAACCTATTGCGATACAAGAGATACAAATAAAGAGGAAGCTATTATGATATTAATAACAAAATAAATTATGATGAATACTAAGAAAAATGATAATATGTTTTGTAAAATTCATCACGTTATTTTGAAAAAAAGAAACATAATTAATATCATAATGAAGAAGATTTTTTAAATACCAGACGAAGGGAAAGGATTTCATAGTATTTTACGGCTTCAGCGTTGACAGTATTCGGAGTTCTCTGTTTTCATTAGTATCGGAAACCTGAATTTGAGTAATAAGCATATTTTTATTTCAAGCGCGGCACGAGGTTTTCGATGCCTATCTAAAACATAATGATCTGTATGTCAATTCACATGTCACCGTTATTTTAACTTCTGCATCACACTTAAATTATGGCCATTCTCAAATTACAGCCACGCTATTTGAAACAGGAGAAACGGAGAGAGAACAAAGCTAGCAAAAAGTGGAAATGATTTGTCTATATATCGGGATTAGATAGAAGATGTGCCGAAGTCTATCACCCAAAATGTAACACTCTTACAAAAACAAGAAAAACTATATTATCTAGATATGGTATTTACATAAATAATGCCTCATTAATTTTTTTTTGCATTCCAAGCTTTATTATTCTATGCAACATTTTCCCTCTGCCTCAATTTGAGTAAACGTATACACGAAAGCCATCTTCTGATACTTTTACAACTTTGTTGTTTTTGCAGACAAACAAAAAAGACGAATAAAGTAAAAATTCCATAAATTCGAAGTTTATTGCTTCAGAAAGAGTCAGCTTCTATTATTTATATTACAAAAAAATTAAGCATCCAGCGAGGTGCCGGACTTCTATTTTCCACTCCAATTTTGAGGGGGAGCAAGCACCCTGAGGGTGCTCCGGAGGTCTCCCACCCCTTCCCTCAAACCACACGAGAGGACTTTCGGTTCGTCGCATATTTGAAGTGCCCTCAATTGGCCGGGCACATTTACAAACCCCATGTCTTTTTCGGGATTCGAAACCGGGCCCTTCAGTACCCCAAAAGGCTCCTCTAACCACTATACCGTCAGGGCGACTACGGTTTTAAGTAGTAATTAGAAATGAAACTGGACTGCAAAGCGACTCCAAAGAAAGTCTGTTTTACATTCCTTATATAATGAAATGCCAGTCGTTCAAGAAAGGAATAAAGGTATTGAATAAATGTTCTGAAATGAGTAAAGCAAGATTAACAAAATAGTTGGTTTCAACTGCTATATATTTGACCTACTAAGAATATCATAAGTATTATTAAATTTATCGATCCACTTATTTTCTATAAATTGTAAATGTTTTGAGATTTACTTGAATTATAAAACAAACGTACCAGTCATTTGGTTAAAAATATCAAACGTTCTGTTTCGAACTAGTATAAATTATGCAATATATATAAAATAGTATATGAAAATTCGACCAGTAAGTCTCTATCTAGAACAATACCTCTGGGTTGAAATGTCTTCCTATATCTCTTGGGTGGTTTTCTTTGTCTCCAGAAAACTCTTGAGGTTTCATAGAACGCTGTGGAAGTTGCGGAGGTCTGTCATCGACTGAAACAGAAAGCCAAATATTTAATGTAATACCAATACTATTTTTTTCTGTGTAATTAATGATTAATTTAATTTGCCTAACAATGAAGTCTATTACTGATACACGAAGAGGTCTGAGATGAAAATGCGCTTAAACAATTTTATATGTTTTCAACGTTCACCAATATGAGAACCATAACAAAATTTTCATTTTATAGAATGGATTTTTCTATAATTGTTTTAATTGTGGAGGCTCTTTTCCTGACATTAGAAACATCTATATTGAAGTCTTTTTAATATTACCTTTCGTTGGTCTATTTGTAACCACATTCTTCAACCATGTGGCGTCACAATCATCAGTTTTGAGATTTATTGCTATTACAAGCAACGTGATGTTTTTAATGAATTATTCGTATGACCTTGAAAATAACTGTTTGTATAAGATTTTGTCCTGCTCATAAGATTTTGTCTTGCTCAGCATTTTTAATTTATCTTTAAAATTGTAACAGTACATTATTTATCAATATGATTAAAATATTTAAGAACGTTTTTATAGGTAACGCTGATATGTTTTATCGCTATTTTTACTTTTCAAATTAAAAAGTAAATATTTATAATATAAATATACGAATTACTTAAGAGTACATAGAAATTTCTTAATAATACATACAGATGTCAATATTATAACAGTAACCTAACTATACATTTATACATACTTTTAAATAAAATTCTTTTGTAACATTGAAGGAAGTTCCGTTTGCCATTTGTTGCAAGAATAATGAAGAATTTCAGTGCCAGAAAAAATTGCGATTCCAGTTGGTCACTAAACAAGGACGGAAAGATTTAGAAGTTGAAATGACTGAAAGGATTTATTGCACTTTTAGATGCCAACTTAAGAGAAACAAATGTTAGCAGTTGGAATTTCGGTATATTTACGTAGAAATATTTTACTGAGAGTGAATTAGTTTATTGCAGTCATATTCATTACTCGGTGCAAAAATTTGGCTTCGAGCACAAAGTGGATGAATGAAGACCTTTCATCGACATTTCTTAAAAAAGTTTGCTAGGATATACACATTTGCACAAAGTGAATACAGGTGCCTCTACATCTGTTGGTTTTCGGAGTAAATACCAAATAAAATTTGGCTTCAAATACTTTTTTAAGATATTTCTATATCGTGTCTTATTACCAGGACTGAATATTTGTCACCTGAACAGAACTGGATACAGAAGGTTACTCATAGTTTTCTAAATTTTTATTTTAATATTTAAAACCAAAACCTTAAAATAAACTTTTAATTTAACATTTTATTACATGATTTTGGTCAATAATTTTTTTAACTCATCTGTCAAAATTTGTCAGCTAAGAAATTGACTGAAACCATTGATAGTTTAATTATTTCGTTATCGAGAATGTTGCCCGTAGTGCTCCACACGGAAGCTGGCAGATGTCGCACCCACAGAAGGAAGTTTCAGATTGATAGACAGTTGGAATAGCTTTCAAATGGATAAATGAAGTCTTGCAGCTTCGTATATAACGCATCAAAGTAACATTGTATTTAAAATAGCTGCTTCTAAACATTAAATTCGTATTTAATATTAGGCCAAAAAATCAAACTTAGTTTGGTGTAGATTTTGATTAAAATTCTATCGATTTAGAGGGTTATCAGACACAGCTCCCTGTTCTTCAGGAGCAAAATCTTTTAGAGTATCATGAGTTTTTTTTTTTTCCAACAGATTTTGAAGCCTATCAAATACGCGAAGTCAAGCACAATAAAACACTGCAATAGGTGAAAAAAATGCTTTCCATAGCTTGGATACTTGTTAAATTTAGTTGCTTATATAGACCTGTCTCATCTTTATCAAGACATTGCCATCTGGAGTTAACTTTAATTCAATATATATATATATATACATTCCTGGCCATTAAAATTGCAACACCAGGACGGAACAATCTGACGAACGTCAAAATCACATGAAAGGAAGAACAGGTTGGGATATGCAAATGATTAGTATTTCAGCGCATTTAGACGATGCAGGAAGGAAGAACGACATCTGAAGCACTGCATAAAAGAAAAGTTGTGTAGTGGATTTCTCATTCGTAAAGCGTTTTGTAAAATTGGGGTTTGCTCAGAATATCGTGTTATGACTTTAATAATAAGAAGTACTTACCAACAAGTGTCGGAATTCGATAAAGGCAGGATCGTTGCCTATCAAGAGGGCGGATTATCGTTCCGTGATATCGCCCGTAGCACTGGTCTACATCCAACCAATGTCATTCGAATATGGAATCAATGGGCTGCTGAGGATCATACTGAACGACATGCAGAATCTCACTGCCCTCCATGACTAATGCTAGAGATAACAGGCATATTGTGAAGTCAGCCCTGCAAAACCGTACAAGCACATCACGGACCACTAGTTAACAAATGGGCATGTTTGCAGCACGCCCAGTATCCGCTCATACGGTGCGTCGACGTTTGCAGCAGCGTGGATTATCCGCGCAGCGACCATTACTTCGTCTTCACTTGCTAAAGCAAGTACAGAGAAAGACGGCGACTCTGGCGCGCCGAACGACAAAGCTGGACACAGGAGGGGCACAATGTCGTCTTTTCAGACATGTTCCGGTTCTGTGTGCAGTATTCTGATTCTGATGGCCGTATACGTATCTGGAGGCTCTGAGGAGACCACAAATCACCGGCTTGCATTCGATATCGGCATAGGAGCCCCTGCACATGGTATGATGGTTTGGGGAGTCATTGGGTACACCATACGCACACCTCTGGTTCGGATCGAAGGTAATATGAACGAAGATCCATTTCTGAGGTCTTTCGTTCAGTGGTTGTGCCTTAACTTCGAGGCCTACCAAACGACATCTTCCAACAAAATGATGCAAGACCACATATTTCACATCGTGTTCTGGCCTTCTTCGATGCACAGGGTATTCGATTGCTGTCCTGGCCTGCACGGTCTCCGGATCTGTCACCCATTGAACACATCTGGTCATGAATTGCTGAGAGACTGACCCACCACCACCACTCTCCAGCTAATGCGGTTGATGACGTGTGGCATAGACTTGAAGCAGCATGGAATGAGTTGCCTGTTTCGATCATTCAAACCCAGTTCGACTCCATGCCTAACCGGTAAAGGGCCGTTTTAGTTGCCAGAGGTGGCAGCTGTTTCTACTAATTTCGCCCTCCTAGAAGCCCTCAAACTGCTTACAAGTTTAATAATGTTATCGTCATGCCATACTGTTTACGTATAATAAATATATTTTTGGTACTTGTTTTCCTTCATGGTTCAATTTTAATAGCCAGCACTCTAGATAAGTAAAAAACACAACTAAACTTATTTATATAATTTTTGCATCTCACAAAAATTAAAATTCAAAGTAAAAACCCTGAAAAATGTTCATATATACAGACATATTGATTATTTTCTCCCTCTAAAAGGAAAAGACAACCCAGAGAACTGTTAAATATAAAAATCGCCTAGCTCACAATCAATTAACCTGAAACTTCATTTACTTTTATAGTAGGCTCAGCAGCTTCATTATTCATATTACTAAATGATTTTAATCCTTTGTGAAGGAGAAAGGAATTACGATCGTGTATTTGTGGGAGGGAGCCGTCACTTATTTGCAGCAACCAAATGCAATGGGTTAAAATTTAAAAACTGGCAGACAGTCCAATTCTAAATAACAACAATAAAATAGCAGAAATGAATAATGTAACAGAGTGCCAAATTTCTCATAACACTTTTATATTAGCTGCTAATTTGTGCAATTCTGGAACGAATTATGAATTAAATAATAATTTTCAAATTGCAAATAAGCATTTTGACATTTTTAGAGAAAAGTTAGATAAGGTTACAGAAGTGCGTCATTTGCAAAACGGAATTGCATCTGACGGAATCAAAATAAAGATTTCGAATCTAGTTATTGTGTGTCCTATAGAGCAGTGATAAGACCGGATAAACAAACTTCTCGCGTTAGATTTGTTTTCAATACTTGCATCGGCCATTCAGTGGTAGAAAGGCGGCTTGGGTGGAGATCGGTTATACATATTAACGCTTCTATTCAACTTTCCCTAATAACAAGATTCTCAGAGAAGTGCTGAAGAAGAGAAAGGCATAATTAACCCTTTTTGTGATTTTCTCAAAAATGACTGCTCTAAAAGTAAAGAATCTGTAGTAAAATATATGCTTTTAATTGAAAGATTTTATTGTTAGCAAAATAATAGAAATTGTACAAGTTAAAAATTTAGATTTAATGCTCCCAATGGCACAGTGTCATAACTAGATGATTTCTCAAGTTCGTAAATTACTGCGTAGGCCTTGATACAGTAAAGATAACAGTACAGATATCTTAGAAGCAACAATAAAAATATCTTAGAAGGAATTAAGAATGCACACAGTTAGAAAAACCGTTGTCTGCAGAAAAATCTACAAAACATGAGGGCTAGAGAATGCTGAGAAAAACTTCTTATCCATCCAAAGGAAATACGTCTTATGAAACAGATATTATGACACAACACAAAGTTAGAAACAATAAATGCAGTTTCAATGGGGAAAAAGGGAACAAAACAAGAACTAGCCTTTAATTTAGGCTAGTTCTTGTTCTGTGAAATTTAATTAAAAAAATTAAATTTCACAATATTTTTAAATGTACTGACAACCGCCCCAAAATAGGTTTCAATAGATCATTTTTCACTGATTTAATTTAATCTTAAAGCTAGTTATAATAATATTATATCTAACGGAGGAAAGCTGAAATCATTTTTGGATACGGAATATCTGATTATTCTAATTTCCACACACATGTAAATGAATGTTTATTTTTGAATTTGCATTATGGTATCAACGAATACACATGATTTATCATTATTTCCATAATGAAAGGTTTCTAAATACCTTTAAAAACAAGTAGAATTGTTAAGCAGAATTTGTGATTTCCAAATCTGCATAAATAATAAAATATGCAGGTTCACAGGAGATACTTTTTCCAGATTCAAATTTTCTTTATTTATCTCAATGTTAAATGTTTTCGTACGTTCATTTCTTGTCAGAATCCCTTAGTTAGTAATAAATTAGTTCCGTTTTATTGAGTAGCATTTTCATGCGCATATATAAGATTATTTTCTTGAAGTCCCTGTTTTTTGAAATATAAAGGATGACAAATTTTACACACTAATATCTGTTCAGTCTGTTTTTGTTGTTTGACTTCTGAATTAGTATCTGTTTAGTCTGTTTATCTACAGATAGTTTTGCATTGTCTTGAAAGTTATTGCTCTGAATTAAACGTTAGCACAACGCTTTTTTAATATCATAAAAACAATTCATTAATTTATTTGAAACTAAATAAAACAATACCACAGATTGTAAAAACAATCATTTAAGGGTTTATTTTAATCATTTTCATAATCATAGAGGACAGATTTCCCCCCTCAACCAGCAGAACAAATTTCAGAGCCCAATCACAAACAAAAAAATCAACCGTCTAAAAGGCTTTATTCCTGCTGTCATTCAAAACTGCATTTAATGATGGAATATTTAAAACTATTCAATTATCGTTCTGTATTTTCTTACATTTCTGTGTTTTCTCTGCAGAGTTAATTATTGCTTGTAATGACGTATTTTGTGTTAGATACCCGAAAGAAAACTGTTCACGGCTAACTAATAATTTTAAGTATATGATATTGATCTTTTTCCTTACCTCTTTTGTGAATGAACGATAAATCACCTTTCTGGAGGTCGCTAGTGGGCGGCGGCTGAGCTTCCTCAGTGTCACTGTTGACAGGTAATGGTGGAAGTGGACGATTGCTCATGAATTTCTTGATGCTACCCAAGCGATCCGTCCAAGAATATTCTTTTTTAGGTAGAGTCGGACTAACCTGAATGATACAGATTTGTGAAAAATCGCTAAAACAGAATTAATTCTTACTTGATATAGCAAAAATTAAGAATGCCAATACTGACACGTGGCAGTAAAAGACACTACAAAATCTATTTATTTCATTTCCTTTTTTTACCATTCCTAAAAGCTGTTAAAATACAATTTTTACTTCCTTCTACGAAGCAAAGAAAGTATTGTAATCGCGAAAAAATTCGGCTATGATATTTCAGCGAAAATATACATAGTGAATGTTCCCGAATCCATTTCGAAGATTTTTTTGCATGAGGTCTGTATGTACGGACAGAGTAAAGGACTCTTTCTTCAAAAATGTATTATAAAATGGGCCTAAAAAGGGACCTAAAAGGGACTTTTCCGTGACGTGTATAGGTACGTGTGTATGTATTTCGCATGACACAAAAAAAATTAATCCTATCTGTAGAAAGCTGAAATTTTTTCTATGAGATTGCTGCAACATCTAGTTGTGCACCTCTGTTTTTAATGCAATAGGTAGTACCAAACGTGCATATATATATATATATATATATATATTAGAAGGGTATTTTATATATCTTCTAATAGGAAAATAAAGCAGTTTAGAAAATTTAAATAAAAAGCTAATTAAGATTCTATTGTAGTGATAATCTAATAAATAAATTTTTATTTTATTACTTATCAGCGTTAGTGCAAGTATTTGGCTTTTTATTACTAATAATTATGTATAAATATACCAACTTCCTTACTCGGCTTAAAAGTCTTTACTAGGCCTTTATTTTTCACAATTGTTTGACGGACATATACTTCTAAATACAATGACGTAAATTTTCATATTTTGGCAATGCAAAATTAAAAAAAACATTCTAAAAATAATGAAATCTAACTTTTAATATTGTCTCTCGGTTCCTATATTTATGTTTAGGAAAGTTTTATATTTGTTATGGAAAAAATATGAGAAGTTCGACTTCCGTAAAACAAAAGTTGAACGGGATATTTAATTTCAAAATTTGCAACTTTTGATGTCATTTTCAATTTGCTTTGAGGGATCGGTTAACAAACTTAGAATAATTCGAAAAAGTAAGTGTAAATGAAGTCATGTGGTGGTGTCCATATCAAATTTTTGAATTACTGTTCATATGAACAAAGAATTTTTTAGAGCCTCGAAAATAAATGGGAAAAGTTTAGGTTCAGTAATTTAAGTACTAAAATATTATTAAACACTCATTAAACAGAAAAGATACATTGTTACAGTATGGATTTGAGTTTCGTAAAAATGTGTTAATTCAAAAATATAGAATAACTTTAATAAAATCATTTGACACTTTTAAAAACTTTTATTTTACTGTAAACTTCTAATTTTTAGAATTATATTTGTTCTGATTTTTGACAGACATGATAAAATGGGCATCGCTTTTCCCTTTTTTGGCAAATTTTGAAAAATTTTCTTTCAAATTAAAATATATAAATAATTCATTTTTTATAAATTCAATCGACACCTGTTTCATTCACTTTTCCGTTTAATTCACATGACACTAAAATTATTTCATAGCATGCTGATATTGCAGTAATGAAAATACGTATGAAATTAGTTTTGAAATCTTGATACATTTATAAAAAGCACATTTTTAAACCATGTGCATTTGTTGCTTATTGTTTTGGATCCTGTAAGTTTTTTTAGTTAATGTTTCTTCACCAGAAAGGTCATCCATACTCAAGTCCAGATTTTTTTTTAGCTTCGAAAACAAATTTAGAGTTGAAAGTTTGACATATATAGAATTTCATCAAAGTATTCTAAACAGGAATTGCTGAAGAAAAAAATAATTTAAACTTCCATAATGTTTGCGATTCAGCATCATCTAATTATTTCAATTTTGATGAACTTGAAATTAAAAAAATTCTTCATTATATCGAAATTTAAGCCTTTTTTGAAGATGGTCAAAACATTTAAAATATCTACGCCAAAATATTTTCCTCTTTAATTCTTCAAAGGCTGAATATCGACACATTGCGAGAATAATAAATATAGTTCAATTATGTGCGTGATTTCTATAGATTATTTATTTTACTTATTTATTATCATTGGACATTTTTTTTCAGAACTTAAAAAAAAAGAAGACAAGGAAAAGAAAGCTGATTGAAAAAATGTTCTTTCCAAAAAAGGATGGTTGGCAACCCTAAATAAAACCAAGAAGCTTTTTTAGTTTTAAAGTAATTCGCTTTTTATTTACTGATTCTATGTCTGTATGCCGCTATTAACCACTATGTTTGTATCACAGATTTCTTGTTATTGTTAGCAATAAAAACTATTACAACACTTTTTTTTCTAATTTTCGGATATCGCACTATATTAGGAACTCTTTCAAATAAATAAAAAAATAGAAGGACTTAGAAGCTTTCTAAATCCCCCCAAAAGTTAGAGTATGAAACTTTTAAAAAATAAATTGATTTCCATCCTAGTTAACTAGTTTTCGGTGTACTATTGCAACATAAATTGCAAAATTTACATTGAAAAACGTTTTCTGTAAATTTTCTCTATATCTTATTAGAGTAAGTTTTACAATCGTTTTCTTTAAAATAGAATATGAAAAATATGTTAGGGCTGTTTACATTCAGTATAAGTCTATATCGACAATAAATATGGCTGAAAAATTTATGTAAAGAAACATTTAAATTTTCTGAGCTTAGTGCAATATCCAAAATAAGAATTTTTATAGGAGTTATGTCTATTTAGAAATTTTTACAGTAATTTATAGTATTTAAAGGATTTTTAAATACTTTATAACATCTAGAGTAATTTAACAGCAAACAAATTTTATTCTCGCATAGAAATACTGCACTTTCTTTCTTTCTTTCTTTTTTTTTTTTTTTTTGGAATTTATTTTATATACAAATAATTTACTCACAACGTTGAATGCAAGTAATTTACCCACAACAAAAATTTATTTTATATACAAGTAATTTAGTTATAAAAGAACTGCATAACCTTGACGCTCATTTGAAAGCAATCTGATAGGAGAGCAAACAAACAATGAAACGGTAATAAAGACCAAGGCAAATTAAGAAAAAAATAACTACTTAAGTTGAAATTTAATAAAATGTCACACACTTTATACCTGCAGCACAACTACAAGAGCTTTATATGTGTTAAAAACATAAAAATTTGTAAAATTAGCAACCATCGATAAAGTACTGTGAGTAATACGAATTGTTCACTAATCTATTTAAATTTTATGATTATTACTTATTTAAAGTATTTCTGTCTTTATGTATTATTCCAACTTACATCTGAAGAAGGACTGCCTCTTCGGAAAGTATCGAAAAAAGATTTCCCTGGTTTTTTCTTCCTGGGCGGTGGCAATGGCATTTTAGACGGATCACCTGGCGTTGTGGGTAAATGGGAAACTTTCATTGGCAACACGGGGCGTGCCTGTGGTATGGGTGGAGTGGGATCAACAGCTTTTCTGAGATGAAATCTCCTTTTAGGATGCCTGTGGTACATGTCGTCACAAGAGAGACAAAATATTTGACAGCCGCACTTGTCGCAACGGACAGCAGGCTGAGAGCAACCACATAAGTCACAGTGACGACCATCTCGAGGTCTATTTGCTGAAATAATAAAATATGTAAATTAATTATTGAACGCATTTTTATTATTAGTATTAATATTTGTGAAATAATAGTAAAAGAAAATTAGCATTAAGTTATTTAAGCCTTATAAATGTACCTCAGCTGGAAATTTTTGAAAAAAATAAAAAGTTGTGAAATTTCGAAATTTCAAAACAACGTTGTGCATGAGATCATAATGAAAAAAAAAATTTCGAAGCATAAAATTTTTGTTTATGTGATGCTTTGTAAATGGTTTCTGCTTTACTACAATGTTTTTCGACGAATTTTTCGAAATTTCGACGTCACTTTCATTGCTCATATGATATTCTAACACTATGAAGTTTATCCTTTTTCAGTGATTTGTTCAGCAATATTTACTGCTTTCCTTGTCCTCCGGGATGTTTTTCCACGATGATTTTTTTCACATGAAATTTTCACAGAGAGGTGTTAAGATATTTTAGTTTAATGTGCTCCAGGAAATATTAAAATTAGTACAGATGAGCATACGCAGAATACATAGTAATACTACATTTGTACATTATGTTCAAAACTGACAGAACCTATGCAAAGTAACAACACAAACATTTGTATAGGCTTCTAGATCTGTTTTCTGAATACTGCTATTTCATCCTGAGTTCGAACCCAGGCAAATGGGCTGGCTGTACGGTTAATTTTTGTGGCCTTCCCCATGTATAATGTGAATAGGAGCTATAGCTATGTTCCCTTAGAAAGTTCTCCACGAAGGTATACCTCCCCTTGGGCATATAAACCCTCTTTTGCTTTGCCGCACTGAAATGACCAAACTACAAAAACTGTAGAGGCTGCATAATGATATGGAATTTAAGCTGGTGTTCACGATAGGTACGTCTACAAAGCCCTTTACAGGTGAACACTGTGTTCGTTCTAATAGTAACCCGTTTATGTTATGCATTCGTTTTGATGTTTTGAGCTTATTCTAGAAAGGCAATGCACAGCTACGCAGATTATGATACAGCCGAGTTTGTGGCTTATGATATGCCACTTAAGATACGCAGATCCCATGTGTATGAAATACACTTGCAGTGTCATGCTTTCTGAAACTCACAAATCCTGAAACTTGAGATGTGATGAAACGTTCCATAGGAAATATAGGGTTCATTTCCTAAGGACTACTTCCGCATAGAGCATTTTTGCAGCTTTATATTTCCATGAGTGATCAACTAAGTATTGGATAGGTGCCCATCTTTTTTGGCACATCATTCTAGAATAATAAACCTTTGCTTCCGTCAGTTTTGCTCATCCAACGTAAAAAAGATCATCTAACAGTGACGTCTCAGAATTAATATCCGAATTCCTTAATTGACTTGCTTCACTAATTACCTTTTCACGCAGTGATGTTAGGAACGAACAATTTCACAGGAGCGAGGTATCTATACTAATTTAAGAAAAATAAAGAATATAATTCATAATATTTTTCTAAAATAGCAAATAAAATAGCATATACTCAAATGAAGACAATGATTTTCAATTTAAAATGCCTTGATGAACCGCAACCTTCGTACAAGCGCAGGTACGTTAAGATAATTTATATTTTATCCTTACACTAAAAGAAAATATATTTACTTAATTTTATTCCAAAGTAGGATATTTAGACCTTTAATTATCCATCTTGTAAAAGATCTACTCTTAATGACTCAGACTATCTTATATACAACCAATTTTTCTCGTAAACACCTTTAAAATTCAGTATCATTTTGCATGTGAGATTGTTTTATTCGGAGAGTACGAAATTTGATTTTGCACTTCTTTTTACAATGGAATATTTTTACTGAGATATGTAAAAACTAAGTTTGTTAACCTGGGAATTTTACGGCTTGAAATACAACGGCATGAAGCATCATATGGTTATAGATTTTAAGATTATCGCGAGATACGACATAGTCATTTCAGAAATTTTGTCAATTTGAAAATCAGCGATTTGCAAATTATTAATTATTACTTTTTCAAAAATTTATTCTAAAGTTAAGTACTATTTATCCATTTTGTTTCATAGCAGTTTCATCATACGATACTTACGCCGGGTTTCTGTTTTGCCCATCATGATTCTTGACAATGTATTTTACGTCTTTCCAAATGGCGAGAGTTTCTGGAAAGAAAAATTAAAATATCTTTTAAACGTAATTAAACATAAAAATTAGTTTTCATTTTATATATTTCAAGAACATAAACTTCTATAATTGTTTTTAAGTGTCTTTCTTTCTCATATTAACGCTTTAATTATATATTTTTAACCTCCAAAAAATAAATGTTTAACATCCACAATTATTAGTAGAATCCAATTTTATAATTTTAAAATTTAAATAATTATTTTTTTCAATAAATTATCGTTTCTTTTCCAAGAATGAAACATATATCTTAAATTCAAAACAACTACATACGTAGAGGCCTTGTATATGACTTATAGTATATGACCTTGTGTATGGCCTTGTATATGAATTAACAATGAAATTATTTCAAATTATTACTTAATAGGGCTACCACGCCGAAGGTGTCTCGGATTGATTATGGGCATGAGAAATACATGGTTGTTGCTATTGCAGTACCTTTGCGGAATGGGTGCACTTAAAATAGTCCATCCGAAAGTCTTGTAGAGAGGCTGATGATAGGAAAGAGAATACAGTACTTTTCTATGCTATTTTCTTTAAAGTAGAGTTCATCTTCTGAAAAACTGAGCGAAGTCATACTGTATCATTGGTGCTGAATATTTTAGAACCACGGCAGAAACATTGTTTGATCTATACATAACTTAATAATATAAAGTTCCTCCGTAGTCTAGATGTATCATTAGCAACAACTAAAAATATCTATTTCTCATGTAAATTTTACAGATTTGCGCATCATTTTCTCAGAAGCTATAAAATTTACAAATACGCAGTTTTTATCATTGTTAAATGACAAATACCTTAATGTAATTTGCAGGAATTTTCTCTTCATAAGAAATTTTAGCTGTAGATTTTTATATAAAATTCATTCGCGAAAAGATTTCAATAGCTGAAAGAGTAGTTTTTATGACTCTTGACATAGTATTCGCAATGCTAATATTACATGTTAATCCGAAATACCAATCAATTTGACAGTAATTAAGAGAAACACACAAAAGAGAGATAATCTATATTATAATTAGCAGAAAAATACTATTGGCATTCTACCTTCATTTGCTAAGCAGCTTAAATTGTGGAATAATTATTTTATATTATGTAAATTAAATTAGCATTCAAAACGAAATGAATGCACTTTAAAACAGAGAGAACAATGTTTATGATACTCTTTTATTTAGGTAGAAGTCAATAAGAAACAGAATATTAATGGCCGTGCACTTAATTAATTTTTATGACTTAGCAATTCATTTTTAACTGATGTTAATGACTAAAGTATGTACTGTTGAGGATAAAAACAGTTCTTAAATACTGTGATATCATCTGCTATTGCTGCTATTATTCTGCACATTGTGTTAGCGGTAAGAATAGGGCAGAAATGAGCAAAGTCGAACTGTCACCTAAAGACTCTGGTCAGCGATAATACTAGTACGACGATCTAGTTCTTGTCACGATAATAATTCGTGGATTTATTATGATTCAAACAAGTAAGATTAGTAACAACACCATATAAACGTCCCTAAAAATAGGTTATTCTTCGGAATTACCGACGTCTTAGAGTTGCCGAATTTACAGAATTACTCAGATTAATAACCTTAAATTATTCAAAAAAAGCGTAGCTTTCCAAATTACTGATTTAAACAGGAATATTATTGTTTTTATAAATCTTTGGCCTCCAAGAAAAAGAAGTCAGTATATTCTAACGTTAAAATGGTTTTAGCGTTTGATTTTACTCATTTTATTTTCTTGAAATCAAACTATTTTTCTCTATTGGTAAAGTTGAAGTTAAGAGATCCGTCTTAAAATCCATTGGGTCTTAGAATCGAAGAAATAGAAGAAATTATTTTTGGTTTTGTAACGTTATTCAGTATTATTGTAACGTTATTATTAAATCAGATTTTAAAATTTTTTATCAACTGCAGCTAAAGTTCTTCTGTGATAGCAAATTTATTTTAAACGAAAATGATAAAACAAAACCTTTTTAATTGTTAATTACAATCTCTGTAAATTCGACTCTCCTATAATGCATTCATTCTTTTCCACAAATAATTTTTTAAATGTGTAAATAAGTTTCGTGCGGTGTGCTTGTGTTGTGACTTATCTCACTTGTCTGAGAGTTACATCAGAACAAGCCCACGAAATTCATCGTGGCAAGAAGAGCAAGACTGAGCCTGCCGTTAGCAATAACCTTGAACACCATATAGGTGACAAAACGACTGTACTCACTTCCGTCCCAATTTTGAAGCAGAACACCTCCGGTAGGACGGGTCCGAGGTCTGCCACCCCTCTTTCCCTACCACAAAGCTCTCAAGAGGACTTTCGGCTCGCTCCGTACTTAGAGTGTTCCCATGCCGCACAGACACTATACATTTACAAACATACATTTCATCTACGGGATTCAAACACTGGCCTTTCGGTATGGCAGTCAACGACGCTAACCACTATCCCTTTTGGCGGCTGTAACTTAGTTACCCTAAGTATTAACCTAGGAATTTTACATAGACTTGATCAATATCACTATAATTAATTTTTAAATATTATCTGTTACGCAATCCTCCGTCTTTAGTCATCAGCTTCCTCCTCATTGCCAAAGCATGAGAGGGAGAGAAGCCACGAAGTAGTTAGTGTTAGACTTTAAGCTGTGGTAGCTTTTGTAGAATGTTAACAGAACACTCAAACAGAAGCTATTTGAAGTTTAAGTGTTTTTTCTTTTTTGGTGTTAAAGTTAACAGAACACAAATCAAATAGCTTAAAACTTTTGAACTTTTTTAAAATTATGTATCATTAAAACTTTCAAAGAGTGCTGTATGTAGAAGCTATAAATATGAAATAAAGATATCGAAAGGATTTATGAAGTTCATCTAGCTGAGCATCCTGTCTCAACGCATTATCCTTCTACAGAGTTTCTTGTGCACTTGTTTTCTCCAACACGTGTATATGGCTAAATGGTTTCATTAGTTCACATGTTTACTTCATATTTAATACAAATCTCACTCATAGACTTCATGGTTTTTGATGCTTATTCGTGATTTCTAATGTAAACTGCTAAAACAATTAAAGGGTATTATAAGTTTTATATAAAATAAAGATATAAGAGAAATTTTTTTTTGCCGAAAATGGAAGAAGAAAATCACAAATGCACATTTTTCTGATTTTCATACTATGCTAATTTTGAGTTCGACGTCAAAAACGTCGCTTCAGCGGCAGCGAATGAAATTTGCCTTTCAACTGAATAAAAGACAATGAAGACAAGGATGATCGGCATTCAGTGACTGCTTTGTTTCGATGACTACGATGTCTCAGCGAAGTTATTTAACCGATTCAGAAGGTTGGAGAGTTGTTGGTAGGTTAGAAGGAGGCCAAACTCAAGCCGAAGTAGCGCAAGCCAATGGAGTGTCACAAAGTGTGATTTCCAGGATCTGGAACCGTTTTTTGGAAACTGGAAGTGCAGACTGAAGACAACGCCCAATGAAGATCGTTATTTAGTGTTAACGGCTCGGAGACACCGAAATATGAATGCGTGTTCTCCAGACATGATTCCAATAGAGCACGTTTGGGATGCTTTAGGAAGACGAGTTGCTGGCCGGCAACCACCCCCACAACTTCTCCAAGAACTAGAAAGAGCTCTTCTGGAAGAGTGGGACAGAATACCCCAACTTGTGATTAATAGCCTCATTGACTCCATGCCTCAAAGGTGTTCAACGTTGCTGGCAGTCCGTGGAAGCCATACCTCCTACTGAAAATGATTTCTTTTGAAGAAAACACCTTTTATTATTCTTTTTTTCTCATATGCACAAATTGTGGGTTTTTCCTTTCGTACACAAATGCGCAATAAAATGCATTTTTTTTTCTGCCAAACATGTGTAATTCATTCTCATATAACCTACTACGTCTGTCGACCATGTATCAATCAGCTAAAAAGTTCCCAGCCACAAGATTCACCTAAAACCGCAATATCCTTTAATTGTTTTGAGCAGTGTATATACCATTCTAATGTAAGTTCATGTCTTCTAAAGCTGCACTTGAAGATCCGAATTTGAGCGAATTTCTATCTGAACTTAAATCTAATAGTGCCATAGCCATTTGCTGTGTTTATTCGCAGATTATATAAGCAAAGTAACGTTAACTTTTCTCACTTGTATGTTTCTTGATTTGAAGCAGAAACAGGATTCATTAAAAAAATCATGTACAATGCATCCTCATGTACATTTCCAATTTGAGCTTCTTTTATTTCAGAACTCCCATTCCCTGGTTCATTGTTTTCAGATATCTATAACATTCAGAGGCATGTCCAGATAATGATCCAAATGTACATGCCAACAGTAAGCTTTGTTGTGAATAAGAATCAAGCGATGCAGTTAGCCTTGCTGTGTGACGAAGTATTTGGCTCACTGCCTGGACTGCCGTCGTCGAAGTCTCATTACATCTTCTAAACTTAGTTTCGCTCAGCGGAAGCAATCGCCGTGGATTTACTTTTCCATTCTAATTTTTTTCTTTTTTAGCATAGGGAACGTCAAGTTCGTCCTTAACTGTATTACATTTATAAACATGACCACTTTTTTTAAGCCCACTTTGTAGTTTTAAAAATATGCTACCTTACGGATGAGATAAATGATAAAGGGTTATTAATATTTCAAAACAGTTTTACGAGTTCATTATATATTGCTTCCGGGTAGCGTCGACGAAATAATATGCTAATGCTAGGAAAGTAAAATACAAGTAAATGACGTTGAAGTCAATATTATTTTTGCAAATACATGTCTTTCGCATATCTGCAGTATCTTTTTCTTGACATTTATTTCTGGAATTTTGGAAAAATTGTAAAAATTCACAAAATCAACTGTACATGCTTTTGTAGCAGAATTTCAGATATTCAGATACCCATTTATCCGAATCACTTGTTCTTTTGAGGCCGTTTCTCAAGCATCCATGTTTTTTTTCTTTTTAGAAAATTGACGGAAATTAAATTAATTACTTTGCGAACTTCGGGAAGTCTTATAAGAATTA